GAATACAAAAAAACTCTAGAGTTGCGACGGCTAAGAAAATACTAACAGCAAACTCCAATTTCACCAACATTATAAATCGATGATCTACATAAGATTTTGTATTGCTTTCCTAAGAAAGTATTGTAGGAGTCATTATGATAAACCATTAAATTGGAAATCAGTTTTGGCTTTCTAATGTGTTTTAAATGTAGGAGATCAACCTATCTGATGGGCAAATTTAACTTAAAATCTAGCTACCTCAACTATGAACTGTTTTAGGAAGATTTATAAAAAACATACTAATATGAATTAATATAAGAGTTTAATCAAAGTCCCTCTTTACAACAGACTCATTCCGATGTCTAAACCATAAAAACGGTATATCGTTGGGGGAACTTCACAGCGCGACGTTATCAGAACCGGGGGCCTCGGAAGTCGTTCAGTTTATCTACTTACGATCACAAGTAGAAAGTAGTATGTTTTTCAGGAACTTGTGTTTAGCATTTCGGCTTTTCCCTACCCAGATTTATTTAAATTGGTCGCTTTCATTGCCAACCCGGACCGGACGATAAATATGGGGCGGGTAGTAATCCGGTAGTTAAATATTTGCCGTTTTACCTTTGAAGTTCGGAAAGGCGACGCGGATGGGGGGGCGTAGGGTTTGTTTTTCCGCTTATTCCCGGAAATTATTATCGGCCCGCTCCGCGAATTGTTCGGGTTTGTTGACCTATAAAAGTGTGGACCAGCGCTTTGCCCGTTTCCCCAAGCTTTGTAGTTGTTCTCAAATAAATACACTATATTGAAAAAATTAACGGTGTTTCTATTACCGCATAGTAATATTGGGAAAAACGTACGAACATGTGGGAAAAAATGCTACAAAATTTATTAAGGCTTCCGCTGTTTTAATGTTATTTTTATAAAAATTTTATGTTATTTATATACTGACAACTGACATTCTATCAACAAAATCAACGTCTTAAAAGTAAAGTATTTAAAAATTAAAGTTCCAAAAAAATAGAAGTCACACAGCTAAGCTAAGAAGATTCCAATATAATAAAACTTTTACGAAGATATTCCACGTTTCATTAAAGGGGTAAATCATTCGAACTCGATGTGTGTAGTATCAATAATTGAAGATAATCAAGCCAAATATTTTTATTTGTCAAATGAAAAGTTACATTACAAAAAAAAAAAGCCAAATCGATACAATACTGAAAAGAAGAATTGAGAAAAGAGATAGAGCTTCATAGAATTATTAAAATAATGAAAACAGGGTGAGAAAAGAAAAAGAAAATGGTACGCAATAAGTAATTAATTTAGTATGGGCGTTGTAGTGTGATGACCACCAACAATGACAACGATGGTAACAAGCAGCTACAAGTTATTGGTTTGTTGATACGTATTTATTAAATAACGTGTGATGTGAGTAGCGATGCTACAGAAACCTTTAATTAGACTTTGTGCTTTGAGGATTCAGAAAAACAATCAACTCTTGCCTCAGGTTCGCCAAAGTTCAAGATACCATAAAGAATATAAGTAGATAAAATTATACACGTGCCATTTTCTGCGATAATTCAGTGCACCACTATTCAAATATGGCCTAATGTTTTTATAATATAATAATATATATAATAATATTAATATAATTTATATATATATATATATATATATATATATATATATATATATATATATATATATATATATATATATATATATATATATATATATATATATATATATATATAATATAATATAAATTTCGACTCCTTCATATTTTCTTAAAAAAATATTTTCCAAATTTTTTTCTTTATTATAGAAACAGGTGAAATGTCTCAAAAAAGAAAAGTATTTTTGTCTTTTGTTCTGTTCCACGGCAGTTATTGTTTACTTATTTTTTCGGTTCAGTGAGACAAATTTTAAACCTTAACTTAAGGTATCACTTAGAGTCAGGCAGTCCCTAAAAATGTTAGCGGTAACTACCAGAAAAGTTTTAAAACGCGGTTCCGTTATTTTGAAACCCGTCTCCGAAAATGCAAAGTATAAAAATAAAAATCGCAAACAAACGCGTCTATAATTTCAATCGTTTGAATCGGGCGTTACTTTTCACTTACGGTCGGTCGCAATTAGCGGGGCGCCGCGCGACTATCCCCCCCAGAAAGGCACTAAATTAAGCGATCTATTTAAAAAGTTATTTCCGGCAGACTATTAAAGAAGATAAATGGGAGCCGATATAACGTGAGACGCCCGGGGATAGAACGGCCGGGTTTAAGAGTCGAAATGTTCGAGGGCGGGAGGCGACGTCGGGCAGACCTTTTTCACGCCGGGCATATGTCCGATATTGGTTTTATTCGCTGAGGTTGCCGCGACGTCATATAATTGCGACTAGCATCTTCGAAGGGTAAACTTATGCCGACAGAAATGTTTACGCCATTATACCAAAGTTTACTACCCTCCTTCCCCGGACCGGCGTTGCTGCAGTTGAGAAGCAGGAATCTCTACACGGTGGGTTTTACTTTTCGCACACTGAGCTGCACTTTGCGCAGCTTTTTGTCTGAAAAGCAATCTCCGCGCACTTCACTTTTTTCTGACAGTAAAAAAATGTGAGATTCAAACGGAAATTGGCGAACTGTCAGCGGCCATCTTATTGGTTGAAAACAAGATTTTTTTTCATGGCTTCTTCAAATTTCTGACATCTCAGGTCGAATATCCAACCTGCATTGGGTAGGTTAGTTGTTAGGTAGTTAGTGAGGATTTATGAGGCCTAATATTACACAGTCCGTTTGAAACATATACGCGATGTAGATCGCAAGAAATTCAAAACAGCTGTTGCAGATTTATTTTCGGCTTGATAGGATTTCCCACAAAATTGAGGAACTTAACTGACAGTACTTTCAAATACTTAGAGATTCGTAATGTTCAATCAGTGGCTTTAAGGCAGCCGTACGGACTCCCACTGCCACGATGTCGTTTATCTTTGTTCCGCAGTAAAAAATCAGTAAAATCGCATTCAATTAAATTCTTTAAAGGATATTTCAGGTTGAAACTGCCAGCTATTATACTATAATTAATTTATCAATGTAATTATAACTTCATATTTAGTCAAAATAAATAAGATCTAAAAGTTCAGATTTTCACATGACAATTGTTTCGACAACACCGTGTCTTTATCAAAAGTAATGTTTGCAAACTACCTTTTACTATATATACCGAAAAATGACCATAAAACCTTAATTAATGTTGTTGCGAGAATTTAAGTTCAGTAAAGGAGAGGTATTTAAATCTAATTGATCGTTAAGCAATACATTTGAATGTCTCATTTTGTTAATCTCCATGACTTCCAATAAAAAAGTAAAAGCCACCTCAGTTCAATTCCTATTTAGTTTTCAATTTAAACATTGCTATACCTCGCCTCTCTACTATATATTTGTATATAACAACATACAACAATAAAGGCAATTTATTATTATTGTTATTATTATTATTATTATATTTTCTACGGCTGTCGCCGTTTCTCGCTTCTCAACTTACTTTCACGACGTTACCACCAATCTTCGTTTAAACTTCTTGCTAACATAACTTCCTTTACATCACCCTTCCAGCTTCTCGCTGGGCTTCCTCCGTTCTTTTTTTCTGGAGGAACTGAATTACAATTTGTCGCTCGCTTCCTCTCCTCGTATCTAAAATAATGTTTTCCTAAAGGGTCGTTTATAAAACTTGTTGCGTCTCCTTCTGGTGAAGAAACGACACCGAAGTCCCACGGGCCAATCAACTGAGCGTAACAAACAACGTAGAGGTACAGACTATAATTGACACTTTTATTATGAATTCATTTATTTATTACTGCGTTTGCGTTTTAGTCGGCGTTGGAATGCGTATACGTCAACGGGTCAGGCTGATTCGGCGCCATTTTATGCGATTATATCGAGCATTACCGTGTCTTCGCGCAAATCTTCGCCTTTCCCCATTGAAAAAATTTATACGCTTCATTTTGTTAGCGCATTTTAATAAAATTCAATAGCATCGACTTTCTAGGCCACTTTCGGCGGAAAATTTAAATTGTAGTGAATACACGCCGCAAGCCCCTCAATTTGTCCACACGGCTTCGACAATTCGATTATAAGAAGAACGTAAAAGTGAAAATGGATATGGAGATATGGAAAAAATGAATATTAAGATTATTAAGATTACATTCTGATTCTGAACATATCCCATGGGTGTATTCAAACACTTACGTGTTTTCATAACAGTTGCTTACTGAACTCACCAGTCCAAAGTCGAGAAAATAAATATTATTCTGTGATGATACTTTGTTCTCCGGTTTTCTCTAAATAAAAACCGGAGCTCAGCTATTCCTCCCAACACTTAGCTTAAATTAAAAAAAAAAAGTAATTTTTCCTCGACGCTCGTCCCTACAACAACGAGTGAAAATTACGAACGTGAGAGTGTAACGTGGTCTCATGGCCGATTTAACCGATCGGGATCGTTTTCGGTTAGTTTCTGTGAATTAGAAGGCCTATTGCGACCAATTCCTTTCCACCCACTGGAAAACTGTAAACTTTGACGGGAACGGGGAGGGGAAAGCGGCTTTTTCTCCCAGTTCGGAGGCCTTGTTTCTTAATAATTCACGTTGCCCGCCCCCCGGGAAAATATTCCTCTTCGACGGACGCCCCGGGAGTCGTAGCGGGAATTCCGCGAGTCTTAAAAGAAGGCGGACATAAAAACGAACGTAGACGGAATTTTATCCGTATTTAAAATTGCCGTCCCCATCCGGATAAAAAAAAGAGTTCGCGTTACTCCCGCTCTCGACTTCTGTTTGGTAAGCGTCGGACGCGAGAAACAATGAATCCAAATTAGCCTGTCAGGAGCCGCCGTCCGCGTCCGGTCGAACTTTATGAAAAGCTGCCCCCACTCCATTCATCATCGCCCACGGAATTGGTCGGACACTCGTCCCTAAACTTTTGAAACATTTCCCTCATATTTTCCATACCCCTCGTCACGCACTTTGTCTCTTTTTTCAGTACACGAGGGCCAAAGCTTCCGACTAACCAACATGACGGCGCCTCCGTTGCAAGATCCGCGCAAAGACATGCCGCTCCACTGCCGGTTCGACCTCGGCGGCGAAGAACTATATGCCGTCAAATGGTAAGTCGAAAAAAGGTTAAGACCGAAAACTCCCACAGATGTGGCGCCATCTCCTCGATTCGGCGGATTTACAATTACAAACGTTATTGATTCTGAGTAATCCTGGTAATTTTTCCTTTTCTCGACGTACCTCTGGCCTAAAATGTTAAGCAGCAAAATTACGCCAACATACCCTGTAATTGTCATAAAGCTCTTCGCGAAATATGTGAAGTAATAATGCATGAATCTATCGAGAACTATGGGTTTATGGTCTGAACTTCAACAACAATGTCAATTCTTATCTCAGCTTTCGTCAAATGTCTCAGTCATGAAAGCGTCTGATTCGGAATTTTTTGAAACAGGTACAAAGACGATCAAGAATTCTTCCGATACACGCCGAGTTTCACCGACAGCTATACACGGTATCCGGTGCCAGGAGTCCTCGTTGATACCAAGAGGTCAAGGTGCGACCGTACTAAATGCGACCTCCTGCTCACCGACCTCGCGAGGCCGTACAGTTCCGGAGCGTACAGGTGCGAGGTTTCGAGTGAGGCGCCCGCCTTCAGACTCGCCTCGCAGACCCAGAACGTCACTGTCGCAGGTTAGCTTGTTACATCGTAACCAAAAAGGATAGACTAAGCTCTATAACCACAGTTCGGGCACTCTACTACACCTGCTCCGGCTTTCAGGAGAGAACAGCACAGTATATCGACTTGACGGCAGTTATTAGTTGCCAAACAATCGAACGCAGGGCAGTGACGTAGTAGTTTTTCGTAAAATTTTTAAGTTGTTTTAAATTCCAATAATTACAAGATATTTTTGATTGTGGTTTGCTCATTATTTTACCAGCCACAAACTTATAGACCTTTTAGTCATCTATGCAGATATTTTCCTAAATTGTCTGTTTTGGGCTTATATTGGTGAATAAGAATATCACTATCAAACAGCAATTTTAAATTTGAAACAAATGAGTTACATGAAGAAAGAAATAAAACGTCTTTATGTATTATGTTTCTTTTTATATCATTTTATAATTGTTACTGTAGCATTAGTAAATTTCCTATTTGACTCTTGTATTGTGAAATGAGTACCAGACCTCCTGTATCCGTTAAAATAAATGTAATTTCAACCCACTAGCATTATAAGTAAGTAATAACTAACCAAAACTAAGAAGCCCAAATAAAAAAAAACTTAATTATTAAAACAAAATATTTCATTCAAGATAAACAATTCCTTCCCTGATTTATCTTCGCAGCGTCAGGCGAATATTACAAACGTAAAGACGCAGGGATGGAGTGCCCGAGCTATGTGTTAGATTCGGATGCGTTATTACGTCACGTGCTAACGAATTTACTTTGGGATTATGCAACCAATTCGACACTTGTATTATTTATGTTTCCTGGCATACTCTTCGCAAAGCCTTGGACTAATTTAGCTCTAACGTCTCGGCGTATTGACAGGTCAATACAAATGTTTTACCGCCAAGAACGGGAAAGATTAGTTTAGATTTTAAAAATGTCGTGCGCGGGTCGAATATCCAATTAAACGATTGGGCGAACAAAAACAAGCTTTAAATGGCGCAGCACAAGATTTCTGAACTCTAATTTCCGCGACGGTTCCGATTCGCCATTTTTTTTTTTCGCCGGAGCGCGGCAGTTTCCCATTATCCGAGCAGGCTCGGTCGTTTTCTTGAAAAACCGGGCCGATACACACGGCGCGCGAGAAAGTCATCAGTTTTTTGCCGAGCATCCCGGCCACGTAATTAATTAAAACCCGAAATTGCTTTTCCATTAGTCTCGAAACTGTCCGAGCTAAGGTCTGTATGTAATCGATAACGACAGTCCCGTATAGAATCAAGTAAGCCGGAAGCAAAGTATATTTCATTGATATAATTTTCGCCGAAGAAATTTTGAATCCTCTGCCATTTCTGTCCTTGTCCTTCATAATGATGAATACTCACTAACCAACCAGCACTGAACTCTGACATCTTCAAAATATTTTGTGATTACGGTTCCAACTGACTACCGACTGACTGTATACCGGCGAAAGGTCGCGCGAACACAGAAAGACCACTAAATCAGCAATAAACTGATAAATCATAATCAAAAAACTATAGGAATATCACAGACTACTAAATATTTGTTGTTATCAATATACCTTCCAAAAACAAATTATGGGCAAGACGTCTAGAACCATTCGGCCATTGCCTACATTTGTTTTTGGTTACCGATCGACACAGATACTATAACTCATTGTACTCCGTGATTCTGAAATTAGGTTGAACGTAACTAGTTATTCCACACATTAAACTGCTCAAAACGATGTTGAACCACTGTTTCATTAAAATTTAGAAACAAAGCAAAATGTAAAAAATCCCAAAAGCAATCAAGCGCGTCTAGAATATGACCAGTGTGTTAGCGCGGAAATATAAAGGCTTGTATACATCCCATAGAATCAAGCGAGGTATATAAATGTATTGTTTGTTTCAGCCATTCCTGATGAATACCCGGCCATTGAAGATGTCCGCAATTCATATGTTACGGGCGAGCTTTTGTACGCCACGTGCACCTCAGGCCCGGGAGATCCGAAACCTAATTTAAAGTTTTACGTAAATAAACAGGCCGTAAGTAATTAGCAAGCGAGTTTTATCCGTGAGCGTATTTTTGCGGACGCTCGCCAGATAGTGACGTCACCTCCGCGCGCCCCATAAATCTTCGCGGAGTAAATCCCCGCGCAAATTGAACCGATCATTATCCGGGGCCCGTCCAGCATTTTAAACATCCACCTCATTCCGCATTCGTCCGGCCCCAGCGCATAATTTTTCACTCTCCGACGACGTCAAGGATCAATCCGATGATGTCGGAGGTAATTTAACGTCGACGGGCGTCGGCGGTTTACAAATTCGACCCGTATTTACCACTTGCACTTTTGTTTCTAGCCAACGCGCACAGAACACTTCTTCTTCTTTCCAATTTGCGTAACGTTAGGCAAGTTTCTAAGGACACGCACCTATTGCCGATATCCGTCGAGGATTTTTTTTGAATTTCAGCTACTTACCGACATGTATACTATGATCACATTTCACCAAAAAAGTATACACTCGTTCCAAATTTATCTATGGACCACTAACTGACTAACCAAAACAGCTACCCTTTCTTCCGCCACGGACCATCCGGGTGAATAACGGACACAGCGGACTTACAACGCTTAAATATACACGATAGATAGAACCAAACTGATGCCAAAATATTTTTACCGAAAACAACGGCTTAATTCCAAAGAAAAAAACGGCTGCCCTCGCTTCTGCCACGGACCAAACGGTCTCCAACCGGCGTGAATAACAAAAACAGAGAAACCGTATGACACAAATACACTCAGACAAGAAGTGTGCTCACTAATAACAATTTCAACGTAAAACAGACCGATAACAATTACTTTTAACTGATTACTACGGATTCTGTAGGTTGCGGTTGCTTCCCACAGACATGGCGGACAAGTCGTGGCGCATGCGCCGACAGCATTTAGTTGTCAATGTCAATCTAATGTCTGTGTTCTAGCAAAACTTTTTGTATAACTTTTGACGTTTCCACAGGTTCCGCATGTCAGCGAAAAAGTGGTGAAAGTACCGGGCGACGAAACGAACGGACGGGTTAAGTTACAAAAGGCCACAATACAGTTGCATTTGCTGCTCGATAAGAAAACAATCCCGTCGCTGACCGGTACGTCGCTGGAAATTTCGTGCATCTCGTCGACGGAAGGCATAAGTCCGCTGCTTTCGCCCCCGCTCGCCTCCAGCAAGAACGTCATGATTATCAATCCGAATCAGAACGTAAATAACCAAAAGTTCCACTGGCCCCAGAGTTCTGCCCGCACGCTCTTGTCAACGTTCTTTGGCCACGTGTTACTGCCGATTGTCGTAGCGATTTGCTGCTAAAACTCCGAAGGAATCTGTTCGGGAGTCGGGGGTGGGCGATATTTTTTGTAAAAAAAAAGTCATATCACACACATACACACACGGAAAAACTTCTTTTTTAGATTGAATGTATTAAATTCGTATAGGCCACAGAATACTGACGTTACCATAGACCAAAGAATCGAGGATGTGATAATTGTAAATTTTCGCGCGAGTGAACTATTGAATGCCGCTGACAGGTGCCAAAGAGAAAACGGATCATGTAATCTGTGAAACTGGTTTTTAAAAATGTTTATCAAAGTTTTTAAGAGGTGTATAATGTGTTGCCTGCGTTTTTATTAGCGGTTTTGTCGTATTTTAATGTATTTTCGAATTTTTAGGATAAAGGAAACCGGTACCGCACTTTATCTCTTTCTGCATCAGAAAATGTAAATGTTTAGCAATAAAATAGCACTCTATAAATTGTTTAATATAACTTTAATGATATGGATGACGTATTAAACCCAATACTCAATTGTAACGAACCTGCACCACTAATAAATTAATATGAAATATTTGCAAGTTTCTTTTCCTTTCCATCTTTTATCAATGAATCGATGACTGGTGAAAACGATTCATAAGAATTTGCTGAAAAAAATAAAACCCGAAAGTATCGAAAAGGAAGCCTTTAATGAGACAATCGGCGGGTTTATTTAGAATATACGAGTAGGACCTCCCCCACAGCATAAAAAAATCAAGATTAAGTATTCTTTATTAGCTAGAGACGCATTTTTTATTGAATTCGAAGCCACAAAAAACTTTATTGGGACGCTTGAATGTGAAGCAAAAATAATGTGAATCCTGCTATTCACTATTCCGTGCACTGAACGTGACATCCGTGAACCCTGCCTTTGACAACGATTGGTATTTATTTTGAGGTTTGGTTTGCAAAATAGTTTTTGGTTTCGGTTCAACAATTAATTAACTTATTAATTTAGAAAAAAATGGAAATAGCGGAGGTGCAAAAAAAATGCGATCTGTGCTACCAAATAAATTTAACATGTAGCGTTTATTTGGACGGCCGTCCGATGGAAATGTTGGAAACTGTTGTGAGCGATTTTTTCGTTAAGTTTCGCAAAATTAATACGCCTATAATTTTAACTGTAGGATAACCCGTAGGACAAAGATTTTTTTCGCCATTCCGAGATCTGCCAAACTTGCGACGATGTGCTCCGGAGCTCATTCAATTTCAAGACGAAGTATTTGCAAAACAGGGATGAATCAGACGACTCCACGTTTCAGATTAAACCTGGCCAAGCATTTTGTAGGATATGTTCGACGACCATTAACCATAACGAATGCAAAGATTTGCTGCTTTCTGATGGCATCGGTATGATTGAAGCTTGTCTTCCAGGCCTGGTATGTACACAGTTGACATATTTTCGCGTAATTAATTAAAAAATTGTAGAAGTTTGCCCAAGGACTGTTTGTCTGTGCAGATTGTCAAAGTAGTGTGCAGCTGTACCAACACTTTTTGTCACTGTGTCTGGAAGCATTTCCACGGTCAAAGAAACGTCTTGGGAGGCGTTTCGTGAGGCGCAGAAAAAAAAATAACACAGATCGCCAGGTAAAAAGTAAAAAAATGAGAACTAGGTCTATGAAAAGTTGGACTAGTGACGATAGTGTGTCGAGTGATTGTGCGTGGCCCAAGAAGTGCAGTTTGAACAGTGACACGGATTTAACTGAGGATGAGGGCTCAAGGGCTTGCTTCCAGTGTATGTATTGCTCATTTACCTGCCTTTCCGAATGGAGCATGTTGAAACATGTGAGGTTGCACTACGACAGCGATGCAGAGCTGTATTCATGCAGTTATTGCGATTATTCAACCATCCGCCTTAAGCAGATCGAGAGGCATCAACGAAAACACAATACAGTACCGAACAGTACTGAACCAACGGAACCTGAGAGGTATGAGGGTTGAGTTGCCCACTGCTTAAGATGTGTTTTGGAATGCGATATTTTAGGATTGAATCTCCCCAACCGACGCACCACTGCCCCCTTTGCCCTTTCGAGTTTGTTGAGATTGAGGACTACCTGCAACACGCTTGCACAAATAAGTACTTTTCGACCTGCGACGTGCAAACAAGATGGTGTCGGCACTTATTTTTAGGTCAAACAATGAGGGAATGAAAAAATCTTGGAGGGGGCTCGACGCAGGTGGTCACTTTGGGGACGGGATGTTGAAAATATTGACTTCCATCGAAAGCGGGTCACCCTCGGCGCCCCATACATGTCCGGCCTGCAGGGAGCGATGCCTGACTGAGCAACACTTTAAGATACATTTGAACTACTGTGATAAATTGTATAGGTGCAATTTGTGCTCATACAAGGGCGTGAAGAGCCAGTAAGTTAATCGATATACAAGGCGATTCTTGAAGCCTTAACTATTTTCTTAGTGAGCTGGAGATTCACAGCTGGTCGATCCACGGATTCGTCCCGCTGGTATGCAAGTACTGCACCTACAATACCGGGATGGTGGAGAACTATGAGGCGCACATCCTGTTTGCGCACAAGGAAAGTACCATCAGCGATATATTCGAACCTGAGGATGATCCTGTGCCGGGTCTTTCCACGATGCACCTTGGGCAACCCCAAGTGGTAGTCGACTTGGACTCGCTGGAGTCACGGTAAGTGACTCATAGATATAAATAAATGGGATGGGCGAGCAAAAAAGGAATCAACTGTTTTTTTTTTTATCTACATTACCTGTTATTGAAATAAAAGTTGAGTATCAAATCAATATTGGCACCGAACATACCTAAGTGAAAGTATACACCAAGAAAAATCATAAACTAAAACGAAATAAATAACAATAATTAAAATAGTAATGCAAATCGCAAATTTCGCAGTAACTCTATTGATGGGGCTTTGAACTGTCCGGTAATCATGGTTAATAATAACAAGCCCACTTTCAAAAGCAAAACCACTCAAAAACTTGTATTCTTTGTAATATCCATGTCACTCTAAAATTGTAGTTAGAAAAAAATTGGTGAGGTTAGTGTAAATGGTATTAATATGTCCGGTAAATTAAACTAAATTCTTCAAATATCTAAAAAATACTCTTTAGGTTTGCCTCCACATTGAAGTAAATATCTCAAAAACTGACGAAAAATGTCAATCTCATCACCAAAAAAATTTTTAATGTAATTTATGATATATTATATTTATGATCTTTAATCATTTTTTATACGTTCTGTATCTACTTGTTAAAAGTGGACTGACAAAGTAACTCTACAGATGGTACATTCAAACTAACTGAAGCTAACAATTTTTAATCATCAAAATTGAGGATTTAATAGCTTGTACGCATACAATACCCCAAAACTAAATAAAGGGGGTAAAGGGCTTTCAATCACCCCGTAACTCCAACCCCACTTTTAAAAGCACGACCAGTTAAAAAATTGTATTGTGCGCCCTTCAAAATATCCATAGCACTTTAAAATTGAAGTAAATGCCGTAAAAAACGAAAATAATACGGAGGTTAGTGAAAACGATATTAATATGTCTAGTAAATTAAACCAAATTCTTCAAATATCTAAAAAAATACTCTTTAGGTTTGGCTCCGTGTTGAAATAAATATCGCAAAAGCTGACGGAAAATCTCGATCTCAAAAAAATCTTGAATGTGTTGCATTTATGAACTTTAATACTTATTTTTGCATGCCATATATACTTGTTTGAGTCAGATTGTACAGGGTGTTTTGTAAGTAAGCGGACATGGACATGGTTAGTTGAGTGGTTTGTAAAATAAAGCTTTGAAAGTACATATTCTGTGCAAAAATATCTTGACGCAGCGTTTTTTGTTTGTTGTGGAATAGACGCCCATTTGATAAATTGGTTAAGGCTTTCGCGGCCCGTTGATAAGCTATTATATTCATTCGGGTTTAAAGGCCGTCGTCGATTGGCATTACTTCCTAACGTTTCGCTAGCACGAGTGGCGAGCTTCTTCAGAGGTCCTTCCATCTCCGATGTTGGACGTAGACTCACGATTTCTCCTGCGCAGGTTGTATTTATGCCGATTGGTGGAGGGCGGGGCTTGTTCCGCTTCGGTTGGTCTCGGGATATCGATCGGTACTGCTCGGGCGTTCCTAAGGATCGGGTTCCAGATTTGGTTGAGTCTAAGGGTCTCCTCCTTTCGGTTGAAATTGTGTGGGTGTTTTTGAATCTCAATGGCTTCCCTGACTAATCTGTTGTGATAGCCGTTGACCGATGCTAGTAACTAGCTAGGAACGCCCGAGCAGTACCGATCGATATCCCGAGACCAACCGAAGCGGAACAAGCCCCGCCCTCCACCAATCGGCATAAATACAACCTGCGCAGGAGAAATCGTCAGTCTACGTCCAACATCGGAGATGGAAGGACCTCTGAAGAAGCTCGTCACTCGTGCTAGCGAAACGTTAGGAAGTAATGCCAATCGACGACGGCCTTTAAACCCGAATGAAGATAATAGCTTAGACGCCCATTTAAAAATGAAATAAAACATTTTGGTTGGTATATCGATCAAGAGGCGGGCCCGGCCACGACGCGGTCGTGGTGGCCGCGGACGGTCTCGCGCCGCCAGCTTGCGAAACGATCGAAATCGCCGAGAGTGAATCGGATAGCGAGTTCATCGAGACGTCGCTGAAGGAGAGCCAGCGGAGGGACGCGGAAAACGCGGTTGTCGCTCCACTTAACGCGACCGAGGTGCGCGTGGTAAGCGAGCTGGAAGCGTCCGAGCTGATGTTGAGGGGCGTGCCACTCATCAAACATACGCAGCTCAACATCGTCGCGACGAATGGCGGTTATAGCGGCGCTCAGGTGTCGGCCACCCGATGCAAAGATGGCTACTTCCGCTCCTCGGACCAGCTCAAACTTAAGCGACACCCGGGAGGCCATCCCAAACGCAGACCCGTTACATCGGTCGACCCGAAGGATGCGACCGGGTGGAAGGATTCCGCCAACCGCTTGGACGTGTCGAAAAAAGACACCAGGTACTTATACCCTCTCATATTGAGACACGTACGTTGAAAAATAAAAACTAGACAAAGATAACATCTAACAAGATAAAAATAAATATAAATCAACAATGGACCAATGGTGCTGTGTCTTCAATGATTCAACCTTTCTCGTAAGGGTATGTTTTTATTTAAAAAAAATATATATATAATTTGATACAGGGTGATGCATAGGATTTTTTAATTCTTCAAAGAAACCTCCACAGGCTACTGTAATACCTTTTACAAAACTTCTGGATTCCTCCTGCGTCGGTTTCAGTCAAGCTCCGAAGAAGCCAACAGGATGATAGGCGAAACGTCAGCAATTTCGACGCAGGAGGAATCCAGAAGTTTCGTAAAAGGCATAGGGTTTTTTTTTGCGAGTGAAAATTATTTTTACCGAATATTCTACCGAAAAATTATTGTTTGCATTGTTTTCTCTAAAATAAATTGCATTTTTAAAATCGTTTTGTGTAAAAAGTTAAGTAATTGTAATTCACGGTTGAATATTAAAAACGAGCATTAAACGACGTGAACAAAAGTCAATAACGCTACGAAAAGCTGCGAGCTAAATGGTTACTCGTTATACTAGGTGGTTTAAATTACAATCGAGGAACTTCAACAGCATATTCTGCAGATAAAAATAAATTTTTCGTATAAACTTATGTCTTAACATAACATACAGGGTGTTAAAATATTGCAAAAAAATCCCTATTGGTAAAAAATCTCATTTAAATTTTGCTCTCAAACTTCGTTCGTATTATTACTACTCAAAGACAACCTTATAGTATAAATAAACATGCATTTGCTTAACCATTACTTGATGTATCGCAACTCTAAATAAAAATAGTTTCTTCAGTTTTCAGAGAGAAAAAAATTGTCTACTTAAATTAACTAAAACTCTCTTACCAAGTTTGAAATCAAAATCTAAAAACAATAAAAAAAACTGTTTTTTTTCGCTGAATACGATATTAAGTTTCTACATTATAATTGGGACCCCCGCATAGAGCTATGCTGATAATCGAGAAACTTTAACAATAATAATTATAAGCAGAAGAGCGTCCAGTTTCTTAAGGAGTAGTTAAATTCTCGCCTGCGCAAAATAAATTTTACCTCTATGGGCACAATAACCGCAAACAAATAGAAAAACATACATTTAACGCCAACAGTTACCCTGTAGCATTAGATAATATGACCTAAAATATTTATGTAGTTATATGTGCATATATATAAATATCCTTTTGATAATTATTCTTTTCTTGCAAACTTAGTCTTAAAAATGACGTAATTACTATTACAGATAAAATATTCAACAAAAACAAAACAGTTCTACAAAACAACAACAACAAACAAACAAAAAAGTTATTAATTTCGGGTTTTTACATTATATTGGGGTCCACCTATTTTTATCTTTATTCCTAAATTTAGAACACAAGCATTCGAAGTTTGAATCGACTTTGAGCCCGCTAAAACGGACAAATCATTTACCCATAACTTATATAAAGTAACGTATAAATTGCGGTAAAGTTCCCATCCCAACCTTCAATAATTATTAAATATAAAAAAAATCCACAGATAAACGAGTTTAGGTTAGTTTAACAATTTCCACCTGGTGACGTTTAATGCACAGGGCGTTTCGTGTGACGTCATAGTTAAAGAGCACTGGGTGAACTTGATATTATTTTTACCATGAAAAATATTTATCAGGTAGACTTTGGTAGGTCATTAAAAAAGGATGTATGATGTTTTACTTCAAATTTAAATTTTATGCGCAGGGTCTTAGATTTGTCAATCTTATCTATCCTTTTTAAATTCCGGTTACTAAAAGCACATTTACAAAAAACTTTCGTGGGCTCAGCTATGGGTGGTGCAACCTGAATTCCTTTTTCCAGTGCTCCGCCCAAAACTAAGACGCGAAACCGGTACCGCCCTTTAATGAAGGGACTCGGCCAGAAAGCGTTCCGTTTGTTTACCAAAACTGTGTCCAAACAGTTCGCGGAACTGTATCCGGGCCTTAAGAGCGTTGATATGTTCCAATTGGTGTCAAAGACGTGGAGGTAATCGGGAGAGGGGTGAGCGCGAGCGAAAACCCGATAACCGTTTATTTCTGCCCCCGCAGGAACCTCGGCGACAAGGAACGTCTCAGGTTCTATGAGGAGGCGCGGATAGAAGACGCGCTGCTAAAAAGGGAGCGCAAGGAAGCGGCGCAAACCGCAAACGAAGGAGTGCACAGTTGAGGGAGGGGGTTTATTTGCTTTGTCGATTATTATTATTAACATATTTATTTAAGTTTTGGTTGGTTTTATTCACGGATGGACGGTATTATTTTTACGAATAAAAAAAACGCCGCGAGCGAACGAAAACCTTTATTACGATCTAAAACGCGGCAGTTTGCTATTTTCCCCAGCCTTTCCCCCCACCGAATCCACCGCCAAAGCCCCCACCAAAACCGCCACCGAATCCGCCTCCAAAACCGCCTCCAAATCCTCCGCCGTAACCGCCTCCGAATCCCCCGCCATAACCTCCTCCGTAACCGCCGCCGTGATGTCCCCCGTGGTACCCGCCGTGATGCCCACCGTACCCCGTGTAGACCTTCTTAACGACTATGACGGTGGCGCCGCCGCCGTGGCCGTAACCGCCTCCGTATCCGCCCCCGTGGCCATATCCGCCGTGTTTAAAAAAGGTGGGCGCCGAAAGCGCCGATACGATCAGCGAGCAAATTAGCAGCACCTGTGACGTCAACTAGATTTAAAAAAAAAAAAACAACAAAACGCAGAACTGGATTGGTGACATCATCGCTTTGCTTGAGATGCGGAAAATCCGCCAGCCGGAAAATAAAAAAGCATAGGCAGGCAATTGGAACAGCCCCATAATATCATGTAGTTTTAAGAAACCGATGACGTCATTAACGTGGCGATCTTATTACATACATACGAGGTTAGCGCCAAAATATCCCGGCCAGACAGATGCAGCCCAGAATCACGATAAAACTTTGTCTTCTTTTAAATATACATCTTAGTAGGCTGCGAAAAAAAAATGGAGTCTTGCGTCAAATAGTTCTTGATTGACAGCATTTTAAACAAGACGTGTCTGAAAAAATGTCGCAAATAACGAAAATCGAGTCATAAAGTTTTTGACAAAAGAAGGGTTAGCAAATTACTAAGCTTTCTGATACAAGTGGCTGTTTTAGCTCATTGTGCACACAAAAGATTTTTTTTAACGGGATTGACTTGCTAACAAAGAGGGTATTGAAGTTAAGTATTGAAAAATAATAAAAAATTATTACTCTACTTTGTTTCTTTCATGTTCAGGCCGGGAAATTTTGGCGCTGCCCTCGTATATCGTCATCCGTGACATTCGGATGTCAGAAATTAATGTAAGTGGTCTTCGAGAATTTAAAACAATTTAAAAAGAAATATACCGTCAACTTACCTTATAAATCGAGAACATAATAGTCGTAATAACGCCGAAAACCGAAACACTGCGACCTCGAAAGAATTTGATGAATGAAACAGATCCGGGCGCGGAACTTGTATTTATATCTTGATGAAGATGGGTTGTTTCACAGTGTAATGTCAAGGATCTCCGCAATTTTTATGAGATTTGCGCGGAATGACCGGCAGTCGGCGTAATAACGAAACGCTGGAAATTTCGCACAATAATTAGTATGCCGCGGGGCACCAATCGTTCACATCTTTCATATCTTATACAATTCTTGTTTGTTAAACATGATGGGTTATTTGTTCGGCGAGGAATTTTGCGACGACGCTGCGGTAAGACTTATTTCCGTACAGAACGCGATGGGTGAGATAATTAAAAACCACATGATGCTACTTTTTTTTTTAATAACCTCTTAATTGTTATTATACAGCGTTGGCAGACAAATATAGTATTTTTTTTACAAGTTTATACATTATTAGCAACGTTTTTTTTTATTCTGACCTTCCGAGACAACAAATGTCGGTCTAATAATTTTAAAACCACTCTTGATATAAACATGAAAAGTTTGGAAAGTAGTGTTTATATAATACAACCATGCACTAGAAAGTCTTCAGTCGTTACACCCTACAAAATTATCCTGGAGATCCAGAGCGTCGGAAAATATTCAGTACTAACATATCAAAAAATATACATATATCGTGTTTCGTAATTCAACTTTGGCATTTGACTGAAATGGTTAAACGTGTCAGTTTTAAAAACCGCATTTCCTAACCACTGAAAAAAATTGGAACCTAAATTTTTCCACCTGTCAGAATTGTGCACCGCGACGCTTGGCGGCGAAAACTCCCAACGAGATGCACGAGTTTTGACTTCGGCTCCAAGGTGGCGCTTTCGGCGTGTACCGCGTTGATCACCTTTTAGTCTTCATTAAAATAGAAAAGATCACATTTTCTAACACTATATCCTATTGATATGGGCTCGGGGATCCGTTAAGGATTATCTATTAATGTGCGTACGTGAAATAAATGATCGCGCAGCTCCACAAGCGGAACGAGGCGAGAAAATGCGAGGCTCGCGCCCGAGACTTGTCCGAGTACAACTTTTCGTTGTTGACCAGCTGATTCTTGTCCATCAGCATCACGAACTTGTTGGAGGCAAGCGACGAACCGGCGACGTCCGAGGTTGACGCGCACGCCACATCTAACGACGTCGTGTGATTTTTCAGCACCCTCCTGTCGAGCGGTACGCGCATTTGGATGACGTTCCTCACCAATTTGATTCTGTGGTTGACGTAGTGCATCTGAGGTTTCAATTCTTTGACGTACTTCGGCGCTACCTGCAGATCAATTGAGCTATATCAGAGAGAAAAGCAGTTTTTACGTGTCCCTATCAGTGCCACTAACTAATTGCGCTTGTGCAGAAGCGATATTGAACTTTTAAAAGGCCACGTAGAACCTATAGTAACGACAGCCGGTAACGTACCATAACCCTAGTTTTCGTATGACTTTTTTATGATGGCGGTAACCATGGTTACACATGGATTTTCTGTGTGTGTGTGTTTTGTTTTTTGCAACATTTTTGTTCGATTGTAAACTCTCTCGGTGCTACCTTTAAAAGATGTACAATAATTGCAGAGTAGGTATATAGGCTTCATACATTTTGGGTCAAATGGTATGTTAAGGAATAATACCAAATTTTTAATGACTATAGCTGTTCGCAAATGTTAAATTTAATTTCGTTATTTTTTCATCGAAACGAAGGAATGTTATTTTAAATAAATTATCTTCCCAGTACAGACTTTGCATTTATTTAAAATTATTAAAATTTCTTCAGTGGATATTGAAACTTTTTTACACAGTTTCTCGTGTTGAAATAAATTAATTGGTTGACCTAAATCCGTCAATTTATTGAATGACACTGATGTGACAGTACTAAAATCACAAGTCCCTTAAACTTCGGGGAATTTAGGAGATATTTTTAACACGAAAAAAGCTACATGGTAAGTTGTGAGTAATGTGCACATTTCATTAATTTCACCTAGTTCTTTCAAATTGTCGGGAGATGTCGCCACGTTTCTTAATAATTATCAGAACATCGGAGTTTCTACTCTTTAAAAAGCAGTTGTTCATCTCAGATATGCGTCGGAACCCATAACTCACAAAAAGGTTAAAAAAAAAACGTTTCAACAAACGCGAAAAAAAAAAACGTGCAACAGTAAAACACTGATACTGGCAATTACCAATGTGCAAATTTATGGTGCTGCTTTTTCTTTCTAGTATATCAAAATTAAAAAAAAAGCGTTTATGTTTATGTTATTTATTTCAAAAGTCAAGTCGGTCGTTTGAAGCCGCATAATGAACCGACTTACGGCCTCTCCGTTTGCGTAAAACGTCAGCGTTGGTGTGGGGTCGCCCCAGTCAGACGTGCAGACGGCCGTCAGGGTATCTCCCAGGAAATATGAGTTTTGCGAAATTTCAATCTTCGGGGCGGCTTCCGGGAGCACTAAAACCGATAATGTGATTTTAAGAATCGGAGGCTACCGTGGTACAGGCTTTTTACCCGCTACTGAAATGTTCCGAGTTTGCGAGGCGAGCCGGAAAGATGGCGCTTCGCTCGATATTTCGCAACGGTACGCTCCCGCGCTCTCTGGCCGCGTCAAGTTCGTGAGGGTGAGGTCGCAGCGGTGCCGATCGCACGCGGATTTCGTTTTGTCGACGTGAACTCCCGGGATCGGGAATAGAGAATATTTGTTCCCGTAGCCGGGAGAGTAACGGAAAAACTCGTTGTCGTCTTTATACCATTTGACGGCGTATAGTTCCTCGCCGCCCATGTCGAAACGGCAAAGGAGTAGCATGTCGGCCCGTGGGTCCTGCACTGTGGGCGCCGACATATTTGTCAGGCGCAGACCGCGTCCTGGACGCGAAAGCACTGTAATGAGATACTTTAATTTACGGACCCTTTCCTGCAGATTTGTATTCACGCTGTACTATTAGTGGCACTGTTTCAAAAATGAATTTATTAATTAACAGGAATGTTCGTGTTAACCAAACCGAAATCAATGAATATTTTTTGCATACTATAATTTTTCTACGACCGTTAGTTTTTGCGTACATTTTCGCAAAACACGAATACATTCACTGACATGACTGTCAGAATTGACAAACGTCAAAATTCAAAGCGTGGGAAACATCTACGAAAACATCCGATCGCTCCCAAACCCGTGCGGTAAAATCCCGGAAATATCCAAAGTCGATTTTGTTATTACTAAAATGTGTTAGTGCATCAAATGCAATCAGTTCTTGTTTTTATTTGAAATTTAAACTGGTTACTTAAAATTTACGATTAACAAATAATCTTTTGTTTAATAGGCGTACTAATACCTTGTTGAATACACTGTTCAGCAGTTTTTTCGTAGCCATTTTCGAACTTATATCCTCAAAAAAAATCTGGTTCGGCGTCTTATTTTCCTTTGAAGTTAGGCAGGACCAGAGGTTTTCACAAACCTTGTTTTAGTTGTTTGCTTTGTGGTTTGACTGCAGGGGCCATTTTAAACATTATAAAAACGGTATATTGAAAAATACACGAGAAGAAAATGTTTTTAAAAATATTTCTATAAAATTAAAACAACATTTCGGTCACATTTTGAAAAACCCCATATAATTCGTCTTTCGTACTAAAAGGCAGATATGTAAGGATATGTACCCATGGAAGACAGACTGCGTGGGGTGGGAGACTCGCGTTTTCCCATGCCGGAACAAGCGTTAAACATGCAATAATTATATATTCAAAATTTCAATTACAATTCTATTAAAATGTTTGTGAAAGGTTAACCAATATAAGCCAAGAATTTATTTCCTAATACATACTATTATTGTTTTTTAAAAGACGGGATACCTCGAAAAATATTTATTATTTGTCACTAAATCGGTGTTTACCTGTAAAAGTCAGTAAAATACCAAGCAGCGAAAAGCGACGGTCCATGGGGGACCCCATCACCCAATCCGCTATCATTCGCGTGAAGCAAAATCCTTTTTTTTTATATTATAGAGCGCATTACACGGCGAACACTCGATCATTCGCGATTATGTTTACGAATTGCTTTTTGCATCGTGAAATTCCTACATCGAGCGGTAAACAAAAGTGCGGTTTCAAGGAACAATCAGGTTCCGATAGCGACGATATAGTGGGCGTGACCTCCTCCCGTCCGGATTTTAGCCGCAGTTTCCGCTCCGGTCGTCTCCGGGTTCCCGGCAATACTGACGACTCTCTACGCGAAGCTCGCAGTCTCGCGTGCACAATGTGATCTGCTTCCCGGCTCCGGAAACGATTCCTCTCCTTTGATCTACGCGTGGAAATGTTTGTATACCGATATTGCCCCAGGATGTTTCTCAATAATGGCATTCTTCGCGTTTTTCGTCTTTCGCCGACGGTTATTAACGGTCTGCAGGCAAACGTACAATTTTCTGGATTTCAAATTTGCCGCCTCGAACTCACCTGATCGATAATCAAAGCGCGACTGGAATATTTACGGAAATTACAGAGATATTACGCAATCACATTCAAATCTGTCAGTTTTGTTATCTTATTCCGGCATGACTTCAAAGCATTAACACAATTTTACCTTAGTCGGTTGTCTTTCCACAATTACGATTTTGAATTCGAACAGCGCCATCTAGTTTCACGCCATCTTTAGCGTTCGAAACTTCAAATGTGGTGGTTTCTTTCTAACGTAACTTTTACCATTTTGACACATATCATAGAGATGGCGCACGTTATTTAAATGATAAATGTTCCCGGAAAATATGGAAAATGGATTTTTCTGCCCGATATGGTTTCCTTAAAAATTGAGGTCCACCTAGTTCGTCAAACGCACACAGGGGTGAAACAGTATTCATAGCGTTTTGTTGGCAGCACTGTTGGCGGGAAAGATTTTTCGTAGGTTATACTTTTCATATTAACGGTGCTAATAATTAGCCGTACAGTTTATAAGTCTGGTGTTGCATATTCAATGGCGAATAGGCTCTCATATAAGTGGGCCGAGGATATTGCCATTTTAAGGTATATCATTGATAATGATTGTGGACAAATGATCATGACGAACTCCCTGTGGAAGAAAATGGTGGAATTACAAGCGGTACCAAACAGAACATGGCAAAGTTTAAAGAACCGTTTTCGACGGACGATCTCACAGAATTTATACCTGCCGCAATACAATCTATCCCAGCAAGATATTAAATACCTCCAAAGTTCATTTGCAACCATTAGTCAGGAAACAAGAGAATGGTTGAAGAAAGACTTCGCCAGTCAAACTCGTAGAAGAAATCGTACAGCACCTACTCAGGAAGTGTACATAGACCATTTTTCGCTAGACATGCACGGCAGTAGCAGCGCTGACACGGAATGATGGGCCGGTTTCCTTACATATATTTTGGTTTTTTGTTATATTTTTTCAAATAAATATTTATTTTGTTGCAAGACATTAGTTTTACCATATTGGGTTTTAAAACCTTGGTTGACAGTTATAATTAATAATAAATTATTAATTATGAACCTCACGTTGGATTGACGGCGAGATAAATATGATCCCGGCTTGTACTATTGAAGGAAATTGCAAACAGTTTGGACGCTTTATTATATTTATCAACTAAAAAATTAGCAAAAACACAATATGGATGTGGTCTCCTTCACTTGCCAAAACCGCCGCCAAATCCACCGCCCCCTCCGAATCCGCCACCGGACCCACCGCCGAATCCGCCACCGCCGCCGAACCCGAAACCACCGCCTTGCTGCGGTTGATGTCCCGATTCACAACACACGGGCTGCGGAGGTGGTTGGTGAACGGGTTCACAACATACAGGTTGTGGTTGGCGAACCTTTTTAACAACTATCACCCGCTTCTTGCTTTGGCCACAGCAAGTAGGTGCGGGGGTAGTCAACGACACAGTTGCCAAGATTATTATAATTACCTGAAATCGCGCAATTTTATTTAATATATAATATGCAGATGCAAAAACAACCACAAAGAGTTGTACGTTAAATATAACAAATAAATCAAACCAAACGAGTGAATAAATTCTGAAAAAGCAGAGCAAAATCGCCTATACTTACAATAAACAACGTTTCGCCTCTCATGGCTGGGATTTTTTATAACTAAATATGTTCGAAGCACGAGTCGCAATATTTTGAGCACGCTATTTTCCGCAGGCTCTTATTTATATAATATTATTTTATCGATGAAATCAGTTTTCATCAAGGATATGAAAACTTTGTAGTTTTTTGTAATTCAGGGGAAATATCCGCGAATAACAAGTTTTAAAATTTCTCACGATTATTGAACATCTCCTCCGTTATTAGTGGCCAATTAGGAATTTACCTCTACACATATATTTGCACCATACACAACGTCGCGTTCAATGGACTTGCACAGAAAATGTATTTTCCCTTTTCTGCTAATTACAGTTCCAAATTTTATTTTCACAGTGACGTAATGGGATTGTCATGTAGATTCACTCAACCTAAGAATTTCTGCATGGGCATTTCAAAGCTAATATTCATTGAGCTGACTCACCAAAACCAAGTTTGCCATTGTTCTGTGGATGTGTTTTGGTGTCGGTTGCTGTCGATATTTTGAGTTTAATATTTATTTATTTAAAGTCTGCCGTTTCAGTTTGAGACTTAAATAGTGAAATATGGCTGTACGTATAGTTTTTTTTTGTTAAATCGGATGTTTAAGGCGACTTCCGTAAATTCAAATTGTCACCTAACCTCAAAACGCCGGCTTCTTTCTTAGGCCGCCGCCGCCGCAAAAATTGCCGAAGTGCGCGAAACTACCCGCGTGGAGAGAATCGGGGCCCATTCGCATATCCGCGGCCTGGGCCTAGATGACAGCCTCGAAGCAAGACAGGTATTGTAGAATACCGTCCCATAACTCGAATGCTTCTAATCATATTTTTAAATGAAAATATAGGTTTCTCAGGGTATGGTGGGGCAAGTCTCCGCCAGAAGGGCCATCGGTATTGTGTTGCAGATGGTACGGGAGGGCAGGATTGCGGGACGAGCTGTGTTGTTGGCCGGGCAACCAGGTTAGTTACCAATATTGATCAAACTGTGAATAATTGTTGCGCTCTCGAGCATAAATTTGGTTATACCGGGTGTTTCAAAAACAAATTCGAAAAGGGTAGTTTGTTATATAAGCGTTGGGTCAAAATAACGTTTTTATTTTTTTATCTTAAATAAAAATAGATACAACAATAAATTATTTGGGAAGTATTACTATTATAAAAACACTCCTGCATGTTGTTCTATTTGTTTTAATTAGTTTTTATAATAGAAATACCCCGCCCCTTATAATGCAGGTACCGGTAAGACGGCGATCGCTACAGCGTTGGCCGCCGCCCTGGGCTACGATACCCCGTTCACGAGTATGGCCGGCTCGGAAATCTACTCCCTGGAGATGAGCAAAACGGAGGCGCTCACGCAGGCCATCAGAAAGAGTATCGGTGTGAGGATCAAGTGAGTGGTCAGAATGCTTTCTTTTTTTTTCTTTTCATTTTCTCCATCTCCAGGGAGGAGAGTGAAATAATCGAAGGCGAAGTCGTCGAGGTTCAAATTGAGAGACCTGCGACGGGCGTCGGCGCCAAAGTCGGCAAACTGATCCTCAAGACCACCGACATGGAAACGATATACGATCTGGGCGGCAAGATGATCGACAGCATTTTGAAGGAAAAAGTGCAATCGGGCGACGTCATCACTGTCGACAAGGCAACCGGAAAGATCACCCGGTTGGGGAGGTCGTTCGCCCGGGCCCGCGACTATGATGCCACGGGACAGCAGACCCGATTTGTGCAGTGCCCCGAGGGCGAGTTGCAGAAACGCAAGGAGGTTGTCCACACAGTGACCCTTCACGAGATCGACGTCATAAACAGCAGGACCCACGGATTTTTGGCACTATTTTCCGGTAGGTATGCATTATAATGTAAGAGGCTCCCTCATGGGGCTGATTGCAGGAGATACGGGCGAAATCAAGCCCGAGGTGAGGGAGCAGATCAACGGGAAGGTGGCCGAGTGGCGGGAAGAGGGCAAGGCGGAGATTATACCGGGCGTTTTATTTATCGATGAGGTGAGGCTCGGCGGGTTTTACAAAAATATTATTTGGTGTGTTAATTATTATATGAAAACAACTGTTTCAATGATGAAATTTATAAAAATTGAGTTTCTACAAATTTGAACCTTATGAAGGTTAGGTATTCGTTTTTTTTTTTTTGTAAGGCGTTTTCGAGAAATGGTTGTGGGCCTATGTTGTTAATTTTTCTCCTCCAATCTTCAGTTTTTCATGTGCTTTTTATTTGTTTAATCATAATAAGACTCGATGGTTTTCCGAGCATCCAAAAATTAATATAAAAAATTGAATAGAAATTGAAATATCGAATGAGAAAACTGTTCCAATGACAACGAACCCAGGAGTGTGGAAATCTCATTTGTAAACTTCAAATTTATATTACAGATTCGAATTCCACTCCAAAAAAAAAACGTGGTTTTCGTTTTAAGCTTCTTTTAAAACTATTTGCTACAGTGCGGCCGACCAATCTGGTTTCTCTTTAAAAACTTTCACAATTGACGTTGAAAAAAATTGCCGAAACGTCAGTATAGAAACAGAAAATTGTTTTTGGTTTTTATTGACCTTTCCAATTTGTCTAATAACGTGTATAGGTCGGAAGGGTCTTAAATTTAATAACTTCGGTCCTTTGTTCAGTTAATAAATAATCTTTTAATTAAATAATTTTTCGTCTATTGTTACAAGTGGGGTAAATCATATTTTTTCATCATATTAAGATTCGTAGAATGCGAATCTGTTATAAAAATAGTGGGTTCCATTTAACGTTTCACCACCGGATGGGGGTGGGAGTCATATTTGGTGGCAGTAAACAGTTTTTTTCTTCAGTTTTTAAACGCATCTTCGAGTTTTTTCACCGATTTGTGTAATTTTCCGCGCTTTTTATAAATTCCTTTTATCATAGGTCCACATGCTCGACATTGAGTGTTTCTCGTTCCTGAACCGTGCGCTGGAGAACGAAATGGCGCCGATCGTGATAATGGCGACGAATCGGGGCATAACCAAGATCCGGGGCACCAACTACAAGTCTCCCCACGGCATCCCGCTGGACCTCCTCGATCGGACCATCATAGTGGCGACGAGCCCGTACGACGAAAAGGAACTCAGGGAGATTTTGAGGCAAGGCGCCTGCGTGACGTGTTCCCCATTTTATTATAAACCTCTTTTTTTTTTTTTTTTTTTTTTAGTATCCGGTGCGAGGAAGAGGATTGCCAAATGTCGGACAACGCACTCACGGTGCTCACCAGAATATCAAAGGAGACGTCACTGCGTTACGGCATGCAACTGATCATGACCTCCAGCTTGATCGCGCGCAAGCGCAAGGCGCACGAGATCGACGTTGACGACATCAAAAGGGCGTACCAGTTGTTTTTCGACGAGGGTCGTTCTGTGCAATTCCTGCGCGAGTACCAGCAGGAATTTATGTTTAACGAGGGTGAGTTTTGACGCACTAGTGACGGCGATGCGCACGCTTTACGGCTTTTTTTGTTGCAGTGGAGGAACAGGAGAACATGGAGACCAATTAGGAGTACGCGCGTCCCCCCCCCACCTCGCGTTCTTGTGACATGTTTTTTTTTTGTTGCTCATTTTTAATAAAAAAAAAAAAGAATTAAAACACACTTATTGCACCTATCAGTATAGCTCATTATACCAATACCGATTGGGGTGGATCAAAAAAATGATTATTTTTTCTTTTTGGATCTGACATACAAAAACCAGTTGCAAGTTACCTCTAGAAAGTGCTGACCGCGTAAGAGCTGTTAATATTTTAATGCAAAGGTTATCCTCATCACAGTTTTGTACTTTCGATTTGGTCTTATGTTGATAATTTTTATAAGAAATGGAACGTTCTACAAAAATGCTCTCTTATACTTTTCCCATAAATCAAACTATTTGAAAGATGTTCGATGTAAAAGAACTTGAAGAAAAACTTTTTGTTAGGAATTTTGTCATTGACAAATGTTTTCAATCATTCTCGTCCACAAAAAAGGTCTCTTGTCTTACTCGAACCATTTTGAACATATTTGCATTGCAATCCCAATGGGTACTTAGATTTATAGTTTTTAATAAATATTTTCTATTTATTCGTTAAATTGACGAGTATTCACGACATTCATAAAAATTGGAGTTTATTTTGATAAAACGACAAGTTTTTAAATTATTTTTTACCAGTTGTATACATATATTTAATTTTAAGAATTTAAATAATTTTTTTCACAATTTTCTTTTTACACAAATTTTGACTTAATTTTTTTTGTCCGAGGATTTAATTTTATAAAATTGGTGATTCTGTTATTCTTTCTTTCTCAAAATAAATAAGAAGTAAAAGTTAAGATTTTCACGAAATTATATATTTTGACATGACAATTGTTTCGACAACACCGTGTCTTTATCAACGACATTGATAAAACAAACATTTGATAAAGACACCGTGTTGTCAAAACAATTGTCATGTCATATATTATAATTTCGTGAAAATGTGAACTTTTAGTTCTTATTTATTTTGATAAATGGATTTTCATCAAGTAAAAGCCACCTCAGTTCAATTCTTTCTTTCTTATTAGGCTAGCGCCATCTGTGGTTTTATTTATATATCGTTTCTCCTCTTATATTTCAATATCGAGTACATTGTCGTCGGCCCCGTCGTTTTTCCCCGTTCACGCCGGTATGGAGGCCGGATGGGCCCGAATGGTCCGCGGTGGAAGCGGGGGTTGTCGGTTTTTTTTGGTATCGGTCAAATTTGTTTTTTTGCTAGTTGAGCAAATATTGGTTATATGTCTTCTTTGTACGTGTTGGTCAATGACCAAAAGCGAAGATCCTCGACGGAAGTCGGCAATGGGCGAATGATCCTAGCAGTCGAGCCCAACATTTTTTGTGAAACGCATACTTGAACTTGAATATCGAGTACAAGTGTTTGGACTTCCGAGTTGTGTCTTGTATATAACTGTAACCACATAGTTTATCGCTACGTTTTAATATAATCACGATAATTTATGCTAATTTTTTAATATGAATAAAGAAATACATTCCATCGACAAAAATTCTTCAAACATTCTTCACCAATGGTGATAGAGGTTATGTGTGTATTTTTTCACCAGCTTCATTTCCTGAAATATTGCCTGAAACAAGGTGCTAAAAATGTAGCAGATCAAATTATCGAACTATAAAGAAAATATTCCGGCTTCTGTTGCTGATAATGTAATGAAAGGAATTCTTCGAACAAATGGCAAAGAATTCCAAGAAACTAGCCGTACAAAATCATCATCAACAACTAGTTTTTGTGCGTCAGAACCAAAAAAAAATGATTTTTTTTACCCATCCCAATAATCGATAAATAAAAGTGTTGTGCGGTATTAATTTTTGTGGTGTGTTTTCTTAATTTTTAATTTAATTTTTGTCCAGTACAGATATCTTTAATTCAAAGAACATAGAATTTTAAAATCAAATTACCACAATACAAAATTATTTGATTAAAGTTTTCAATTAATAACTCATAAATCCATAATCTTCGCAAGGAACAATCGAAAGGGAATGCTTAATTCCAATACCTACTACCACGCAAAAATAATTAATTTATATTTGTGTTGTACTCGGCCCTTCCAGGCGCCATTGTAAATCATAGATAGTAGAATTTGTTAACACTTAACATGGGCGATGTTATTGATAGTCTGTGGTTGAAGCACAAAGCTGTTAGAAATATTCGATTATTCTCGGATGGTGACGCTAGTGACAGTAAAGAAATACGGAATAATGTATGTCGTGGAAAAATAATGAATAATATACAAAACTACCTACATATTTTTTTGGGTTAATTGGGCCCAATGCCGAGAGCGATAGTTTTAAACAATTTCGCGTTACAAAATAAAGAATCATAGGCAATCCCTATGAAATGAAATTATTGCATTTACTATTGTAGAGGAAAAGTATCCATAAATGAAGTTGCTTGGAGTTGTAAAGCTGGGTCGTCGGAAAGTTTATGTTGCTGTATGGTTGTTTTTTTCTAAATGTTAACGCCTTGCGTTTCTAGGTAGTTATTGTTAAACATTGATAAGCTTTTGTTTCTGCTATTCCTTTAATAATTACTTTCGGCAGTATTTCGTTAAAACATGAACAGATCCCATTAAAATTTCAAAAAAAAAAAAACAGTAAAGTGTGTGGAGTTGCGCAAAGTGCAGGTTAATGCGTAAAATGCATGCGCGGAAGATCATTCCATTCTTTACGTAAGTGTCACAGCCGTCTGATGTGCATTGGTTTTACAGCGTCACCAGCTGGTCATAGATAAAGAACTGATAGGAGAGCGCAGCCGCCTGTGCGCGTATTGCCGGTATTGGTGGTCACGTGACCCCAATAGATCCAGGATTGAAATACATTGCAATAAAATGGTTTCCTAAAGATTTCCTTCAATATTAATTATCTAAAAGTATTTGGAAACTTATTTTCGAGTCAGCTATTATTTATTGTATTAGTATCGATTGTTTTAATCATATTTTTACGATCTTTCAAAGGTTTTTTGTGTCTCTAGGCTTGCTTTTATCGCTGCCTCCATTTGATCTGCTTCGACATCAGCTAAATGAATAACATTGGGCTGTGTTTGGGTGAAGTACTTTAGGGCATTCTCGAAAATAGTTGGCACAGCACCTTCCGCTAATTTTGGCCTCTCACGAGCATATTCTTTGTAGTCTCCTTTAACTAGGCACGTGCAAAATGTGTTATACATACAGCTGTTTTTTTTAATTGCCTAATATCATTAGGTATCTTTTTTAGCCAAACTTCTTTTTGATTCGGGTCAATGGTAAACTGAAAGTGGAAACGGGTCCCGTTTCTTCGGACTTGTAATTTCGCCGACACCCAAAAACACAACAACATCGCGGCATGTTTGCACTGTTCTTTGTACTTTCTGGTACTTGGTTTTTATCACAAATGTCCAAGGGTTTTCTCAAACATTTTAGTTATTGATAACAGAAAAAATACAGTTAAAGACCGAGTTTGACCTATAACCGGTATAACCTACAAACACCGATATCCAATCCAATCGAGGGCAGTTTGCACTGTTGTTTGTCCGATTTATGTCGCTTGGCTTTTACTACGAATCCATACGGGTTTTTAAAACATTCCAATTATTACTGACACAAAAGAAAACAATAAAAAACCGAGTTTTAAACAATTTAATACGCCGGTAACCTACATAAACATTCGTGTTTTCTCGGACCGCAGACGCACTGACCATAGACAACTATATTATATTGGTTGGTTAGTTTGGACTGACTGAAATTGCTGGATCTATTAGAGTTATGTGACTTTCGCTCGGCAGGGCCGGTCTTTTTCGTCGGCCGCGTAGGAGAGTAAGGACATTCTCAGAAAAAATCATCTAAAGCTTAAACCTCCCAACTATTTATTGTTCGCTTGCGCTACAGCGTATCGAAATTGCGCTCTATAGCCGCGCTGCGGCCGTATTTATTACCAATCTTCGCCGTTTCGTATCGTCGATTTAACTAGACGATAGCGGCATTAGCGGGACGTACTTTTCCGACGGCATGAAGTTCCACTGAGCGCAGATTTTGTCGCTCTCTGCTTTCGTGTAGCCGTTCCTAAAACGCGCGACAATGTTGCCTAATTTTACATTTACGGTTTGTCCGGGCCGACATAACCGTCAAAACGTTCAAACGCGGAGCGCGATTTCTTGCGCAGAAAGAAAACCGAAGCAAAACAAACGCAACTCAATCAAATTTATTAAAAATGAAAGCAAAAAATAAATCGTGCGACGTCACAAAAATTTTAATTTTTTGAGAACGCGATTTACGATGTACTGTTTTTTGTATCGTATTCGCCAAAAACTGGTCCCCGTTCGGCTGGCCGCGTAACGGTCCGACTTGGCAAACGTCAAAGAGCAATTTCTCGACGGTATGTTAAATATCGACTCCAAGTACAAGTCCGGAAGATCTACTCTAAAATGACGTACAATCGTCGACAAACAAGCGTCGTGCGACGCGATATGATTTCCCGTTTGTTTATAGCCTACGTACGTACTTTTGCCACTGGGAGCATGGGCTGCGTTCCTTGAAGCAAATCACCTGCACGACATTGAAAAAAATCGCGCCGATCGTGTTGGCGGTCTCCGTGTTTACGTTCTGCAGGCATCGTCGGAATGCCGCGTCACAATCGCAGTGCGACCTGAAACATACGCACGCGCGCGCAGCGTTTTATGCAACCAACTTTGCGCCACGGTACTCCACCTCGTAAGCATGCTTACTCAATACTACCTCTACAATAACGCGGTGAAAAGACAAATAATTGGTGAGTCGCCACGAGAAGGAGAAAAAGTATAGTATGCAACACGTTCGATAAACTTTTTAACTCACTCGTTCCGCTCGTGTCAAATAAACTCGTGAGTCAAATGCCGTTTACCGCACTTGTTGCATAATATACTATTACCGAACGTGTTGCATACTATACTTTTTGTACGACCGTTAGTTTTTGGAAACATTTTCGCAAAACAACACGAATACATTCACTGACATGACCGTCAGAATTGACAAATATCTCCGAAAACATCCGATTGCTCCCAAATCCGTGCGGCAAAATCCCGGAAATGTCCGAAGTGGCTGGGATTCATGGGAAACGAAACTCACGTGGTAGTGACGCTTCCCGCACGCTAGATCGGTGGGTAATTAGGTATTTTATGGACGGGAGTAGAAAAATAAAATTACCCTTATATAACTCTTGCAAATTCATTTTTCTAACCCAATTTCGTTACGTCCAAATGCTAGGTGAATAAAAACTTCTTGCCTGAAATTAAGTTCTAATTTGATGCAACTCAGTTAAATCCATGAGAATGGCTCAAAGTTATGCGACTTTTGCATCGTGAAAATCAACCAAACGAGGCAATTTTTTCATTCCCACGGGGGGCTTTGTGGAAAAAATGGATTCAAGCAATAAAAAGAGAAGATTCGTTTGTTCCAACAAAAAATGTAAAAATTAGACTTACTGAAATAATTAGAATCTAAGTACCACAAGAAGGGCTAGCAAGTCAAAAATTTTCCCATTCAGTTTAAGCCCCACCCCATAAAACTGAATGTGTTACAAGCTGCAATGTTGAATTAACAGGAGAAGTTCCTAGCAGTCAAGTTAAAAACACCTGGCTTGTTCAAAAGGAGTTCGTATTTATTAATTTTTTTTATTTAGTACTAATAATATAACCTGTACTGGGGGTGCAACAGCCTCTGTTTTCCTTTGCATATTATATTAATATATATTAATAAAAAATATTATGATAAAGTCTCTATGAAAAATTAAAATTTAATTTTATATTACTTAATCCAAATAAAATAATTAATTATTTAATTTAATAAAAAAATAAAATATTTTTAAAAAAATATATGAATATATGAGTTTCTGGACCATATTTATCTATTATACCTATTTATATATTTTAAAATTTAAATCAATATAAAACACTTAAATGTATTTCATCCTCTTTCACCTATATTTGAAATTACGAACACCACGCAACCAGATATATCGCTCCCTTAACGTGATGACTCACACATTAGCGTTTTACGGCCTTGTGATGTGAGGAGTTGTTGGCTCACCTGGTGTATGGCGAATTGTTGCATATTCCCTCGCGGCACTCGCCCTTCGCTAGGAAATTCGGGCAGTTGTCGTGTTCGCGACAGCACACGTCCTCTTTGCGATGGTAGCCCAAATCCGAATAGTTCCGAGCTTTGTCCCCTAGATGGTAATATAAAAAATATAAGGTGTATCACGAAGTATTGGTGTGGCTTTTGGCCGAGCCTCCCCCGTAAAGCCGGCAACCAACAATTCATGCATGTGTTAGGGCCAAGACAGGACCACTCGTCGGCTGATATCAGTGTTGAATAAATTTTGAAAAAATGTGTACGAATTTTTAATAAGTAGATAAGAAGCTTTAAGAGAAACCTGCCTACTTACAAAAAAGCGAATATCCTCAATAAAGGATATTGTTAACAGTGAAGTACTGAATGAAAGAAAAAAAAACGGAGTGATTTTCAATCTCACCGTCTGCATGACAGCGAACAAGATGTGATATGATGATGATGACTATCGGATAGATCGGGAAATTGAAACTCAATTGGCGCGATAGACACGATACAATATACACATCCATCCGATTTTACCTGGACCGCACCACTTTGTCCCGGGGTAAATAAATCCTCCCTGATGGGCGGACAGCACCTGTTTGCTTCTGCACACCTCTTCCAGTTTCGATATCGAATCGTCCGACATTTGACGCACCCGCCGTTGGTCCGCCGCCAAAAGCATGTTTCTTATATTCCCCCTGAAAGTAATGGACGTCACTGCACCAAAATTTATTGATAGTACCATAAACGTAATTCGGCAAGAGGTAGCTAAAACATCAGCCGGTCTATCTGTGAAAACAGGGTCGCAACAGTGGCGATAGTGATGATTTTCTAAGTGACTGATACTTTATTATTATTATTATATTTAATATTTTGTATATTAATAATGATGCTATGTACAAATCTAATGAAATAGAACGTAATAAATTGATACTGTGCATTAATTTTTTTATGTACATGTTTCAAGAATTGCTCGGAGAAAAAGATTGAAAACCTACTTATATCCTGCTCGTTAGAGTAGGTAAATTCCTAGGACGGTCCTGGAATGGTTACGGGTCTGCTGGACAGGGTGTTTTATAAGGGGCTGCGGTTTTGGAATAAAAAACAGTAGGCAAAGTTAATCACGGGGTCGGTTATAAAAGCACAATATTTCTGGGCATGGACCGCAAATCGGTAGATAGCTAACTGGGATCTAGGCAACTGCCAGGTAGTTATCTGCCGGATTCGCCTGTTCATTATGGCGTCTTACCTGTCTGTGTGTACGTGACAATACGGAGCCCTCGTGGTCAGCTCTATCATTCTGGACATGCCGTAATCCGCTATTAGAACCGTGCTAGCCCGTACTGAATTGAGGAGTACCGTACTGCACAACGCAGCTAGTACTACCTTAACAAATAAACAGCTGGGTTCTAGTAACTGATGAATCGGGCTAATCTTCAGACTTGTAAAAGTCAAATAAGGTAATAATAAGATATATTTTGGACTCTATTTGGAAACTAACCAAAAGTTCAATAAAAGCTGGAACAAATCGTTAAATGACATGAACGCAGTGACACCCAAAATCACCGGCAAGGCCGACATCTATGACTTGCCAAAAGGCTGGTGTTTGTGTATCAAGGCGGTCGAGAATCGCTTATGTAATAAACGCGAATGTGTGTCATTAATAAAAGTGGTTGATTTTCTTTTATCTTTGATGCCGCGCACTCTGCAGCGACATGTTGGAATAGAAACTCTCGTTAATCGGACAAAAATAAACGTCTGTTTTTTACGAAATGTTTTTTGTATATACAAAATTAGAAGTCGCGTAGTTAATATTTATATACATACCTTCATTTTTTGGTCTGGGTTTACATTTGCTACAACAACGAAATGAGTATAAATTTCAATAGACAAGGCTCGAGGACTTTGTATTAATAACCCCACATATATACATATTTAAAGGCTAAAGCGAAAAATACTTTTAGTTAATTGCCTACAGTTTGAAAATGTCTACCGATAGATAAAAGCGTTGTCAATATAACGTTTTAATTATGTAATGTGTTTTTTTTTACAAAATATAATTTAAGCTTATAGATAATTTGCAACGCGTTCCCCTTTGTTAATAACCCTACTCTTATATCCTATTGAATATTTTGTATCTGGAACCTATAAATTTTGTTATTAAATTTATCAGCACTCGTAATTAATATTTAGTTAATACAACGAAAATGCCTGTTTAACAGAAAATCATTGGAGTCGTAATATATAACAGTCTGTCCACAAAATTTTAGAAACTTAAAGCTGAAACGTTGTAGCCAGAATATTTTCATTTTTCTACCTGAATTATATTTTGCACAACTTAAACATTACTATATTTTTTCTATAGTCGCGTCGGCCACAGTATTTTAAAAACTAAATACACGCCCGCACAAGAAATCGCAATTCAAAAATTGCTATACTAACGTGTTCCACCACCTTGCGTTATTTTAAATGGCAAAATCTTGTATCGATTCTCGTATTCTCCCGCTTCGGGGTCAAGTTCATTCTTTGCGTTCGTGAATCCATTCAATAAGTTCTAAACGAATGTCGCCTGTTTTGATGCAACCAAAGATACACCTACTTGAGAAATAAATAAAACTAACCTCACATATACTGGAAATAAATAGCACAGCGTACGGCTGTGATCTCATCGATTATCCGAACCGGCTTTTATTTTTTTAAAATGGTTAGAAGATTTCTCGAAGCTTTGAATTACCCAAACTTTGATAAAATTAATGTGGAAGGTAAAACTGCACCAAACATTGCGTTTTTAGACTTTTATGACTAATCATTTTAGATGAAACGACGTTTAAAAATATCGTCGTGTGGCTGGAGACGACGAAAATAAATGCCGCCTCTCGAAACACGTTATATTTGCTAAAAAACATCAATGATCGCGGCTGGGACAAGTCCTTTGACTTATATAAAAACGACGTGGGATGTCCTGTTTTGGAATCAAGGGTTGAATATCTACAGTGGTTATTGGGAAAAGCTGTGCAAATAGAAACCTCAAAAAACAGTAAAAATCGCAATGTAAATAAATAGGCAGTGTAATCAAATTTTTTAATTTTAGAGGCTCTGTATTTGAAGCATTCAGTTAACACAATCAAAAGCTCTAATGTTCCAAATATGGTCGCCGAAAATCCATTGGATAAGCTAGATTGTGAGTATGTTTTTATTTAATGGTTTCATAAATTGGTGGTATCCGTTTTTAGTTGGAGGCAAAGAGTTTACTTTAAGAATAAACCAGCTTGCAAAATCCTTGAAAATAGTACCATATCCTGATCCTTTAGTCACTTTAAAGGCTGTCAGAAAAGTAATTACAACTAGGCTGGCTCCAGATTGTGTGGAAAATCCACAGAATTATATTCTGACTGTGATTATATATAAGCTTAAATTTTCGTTTTATTAAGTTGGCGTTTCAGGGCACTCCTTTTCCTTATGAGGATGCAGATTTGGGATTTGATCTGAATGATCCAGTACTAAATAAAGCTGCGAAAATATTGAGAATGTTGTACATTCACGACCTGCGAGATTTGCAGACAAAGGCAAATGAAATGGTGGTGGCTATCCAGAATATAACTGCAAATCCAAAAACTGATACAAAATTAGGAAAAGTTGGCAGATAAATTTTATATTAGGTTTCCAGACACATTTGGCGTTTTCTATATTTAGTATCAATGTTTATCAGTTTGGTCCTGCTTTACTATGTAATGTTTTCAATAAAAAATGTCCTGTAATAAAAATTTATTTGTAAACATAGAGGTAATTTAACAACCACATAAATGTTCACAGACAAGTTTAGATTTAATAAGTAATGATCACGTCTAGAACATATCCAAAACGTACCCCACAAACACAAAGGTGCAAACATACAAACATGTTGCAACTAAAAAAATCATCAAGTAAGCGGAAATTTTAGGATCTACCGCTACTTTCGTTGCCAAGTTGTGACTCATAACTCCTAAAGGGTGACTTGTCAAAGAGCTCTCCCACAGCTAATCCCACACAACCTACAAAAATAGAATATAGTTTGCCTTTGGGGCGCTCAAAAATCTAATGTTTACCGCTCGCAAGCAATGCAGTTATGAGTCTGGATTTTCCCGTGTACGAACGCGCAGTATTAAACAAATGCCCCCCGAGTCCGATCAGGCAGCAAACGCATATTATTTTACACGAAATGCATTTTTCTTTCGCGTGTTCCATAGCATTACAATTAAGACCCCATTCAAAATTTGCATCCCCTTTTGACGGAAGCATAGAATACGGAAAAATTGAAGTTACTACGATATAACCATTACTTAGAATTGGTAATTTGCCCTAACAGAATTTTAAATTGGTTAGAGAATTTTGCGTATTCTGTAGCATTGAACGAAAATGACAAAGTAAGGTTACCCCGTTTGTTGTTGATGTGTCATGTGGATCGAAAACCGTAAATATTTTACTAGTAAATTTTATAACTTTCCGATAGTGATGGCAACAAGTGAGGCTTAACAAGGCAAATACATTTTAAGTTAACGTCCTCCGGGTTTAAGTCATATATTTTGTTAAAAATGGGCGATAGTTACTCGCCGTCCAACGAAATACCGTTAAAATCTCGATCGAGTGCGTACTTTCGAACCATTTTCAATAAAGTAAGCTTTTCATTTTGAGCTTAGCAGGAGAAGAGCTTATCGGGAAACTTTTTAGTACGATCGTGATAGAGACGGTTTCATCACGATCGATGAGTTAAACGACATGATAGAGAGTCGGGAGTATGAACAGGACATACCGGCGCATTGCGTAAGGAAAATACACGAACTTCACGACATCGACGGCGACAGAAAACTCGATTTTGACGAGTTTATGAACATGATAAACAATCCAGAACTGAGTCACATTTTCGGGCACTACATCACACGGTAATACGCTTTTCGGGCTAAATTTTTTACATAAAAATTAAAATAGGTTGCCTTAGTTACATAAATTGGGTAGTGCCGCGCAGGGCCCATCCTCCGTCCCGCAGCGCTACCGACGGAGAATACGAGGAACAGTACTCTTGTTACCCACCAGCGGTGGGTATGATTATAATCTCACTCGTCGAGATTATATTTTTCTGCGTGGACGAGGCTACCGAGAAAGATTCCACCAAATATGCGACTGGTCCCACAGCTACACTGTTTATTTATGAGCCCTATCAGAGGCGGGAAGTTTGGAGATTCATTACTTATATGTTTGTTCATATAGGGTAGGTTTACTGGGATTGGAATACCGTATTCATTGTTCACAAAAATTAAAAACAAAAAATGCGCTACCAAAAGATCACCTATAAACAAGGTAAAAAACATTTTACCTATAATTTTTTTTCACCTACCAGAACTTGAAGACTTTTTTGTTTGGCAGCATTCCTGTTTTTCAAATAACATTCCTCCATGATGATGCAATTTTTTTTGTTTAATTTTTGTGTCGAAAAATGGTATTTTGCGTTTTCGTTAACCACGGCGGTTAATCGGTGCAGGGTTTTTCACCTGGTGATAAATTTGATGGTGCAAATATTACTCGGCATTCCGCTGGAGATGGTGCACCGCTGGTGGCGCGTGCTCGTGGTATACTTCGCGGGTGTGCTGGCTGGTTCGCTGGCGACGTCCATCGCCGATCCTGCTGTAAAGTTGGCGGGCGCCAGCGGCGGCGTTTATTCGTTGGTAACCGCCCATGTTGCCTCTATCATAATGGTAAAATGTTCTCGTATCGTGAAAGTGACGTGAGGAATTTAGTATCGACTGCTTCGCTTTTCAGAATTGGCGTGAAATGTCGTTCCCGCTCGGCCAGCTGTTGGTATTCGTGGTGGTCGCCGCTTCTGACGTTGGCACCGCCATTTACAATAGATATGTTCTCGACCTTGAGCAGCATATAGGTTATGTCGCCCATTTCGCAGGTTAGTGGTTGACTTAAACATCTCGTCCATATAAATTGATAATCTTTCGCACGTGCGTATAAATTTCATATTTTGCACATTTCGCCATTGTTTTTTAAAAGTGGAAATTTATTGAGTATAAGAAATTATTTTCTATTACGGACCACAATTTTATCCGAGTTTAAATTCCGCAACTTTAGGTAATAATTGCATTGTATATTAATGACCACTCTTGGGTAATCCGATTCAAAAACAGTTGGTCACTTTCTTATATCTATGAACAGACCATACCTTTTATATTTCATTCAATTTACTAGCCATTCGCGTGTGTCTATAGGCGCCGTGGCCGGTCTGCTGGTGGGCATCAATGTCCTGCGCAACCTGTCGGTTACGAAAACCGAACGAGTCATATGGTGGGCCTCGATGGTATTGTACACGTGCCTAATGACCACGTGCATCATTTGGAATCTGGCTTGGCCCGGTTATTTTCCGTCCGGGCCCCAGCACAAGCAGCGTTCCCGCTTCGCAATGAATTCGTCCGCGAACAGTGGCAGTTAGGGACGTCTTGTTTAGGTTATGTTTACGTGTGACGGATGAATCTCGGTAGGCTAGTGCGTTTTTTTTTTTACATTGGTTTACTGTTATTTTTTGTTTCTTTTTTTGGTGCAGTATTACGGCGAGTACTTGAGGTTGGTGATTTTTATTTATGTATTCTAGGTTTAATATTTTCGCGCGAATAAAACGAATATCTATTTTTCAAAATGTACATTTGTTTTTATATAAAAATATACAACTCTACAAAACATCTTTACAAAGTCAATAAATACAATAAAGATTTCTATAAAATGAACAAAACTGTTTCAGTACTGAATATCCTTTCATTCATTGAATTGTGATAATCAATAAATTAGCCAAAAACTTAAAAAAAGACTACAATTCGTGATGCACTTTCGGTCCCTACTGTATAATATCATCACATTTAAGCGTATAAATAAAAATACCGCGTCGATGGGACTATTGACTAGTTTAAGTCAGTAAACTCCATCTATCGAACTGGATTGGTCGTGGTGAAACTGCCAATATAGAATTTTATTTAAAGCAGGAAGGGTATTAATGGCAGATAACTGCAATAAGAGAGTGGTTATAATAAAAAAAAATATATGGTTAGTTGTGTTTTTTTTTTTGTAAGAATCATAGAGTTATTTAAATGAAATATATAAATATAAAATTGGTCTATTGGTTTCTTCAGAGCAGCTGAAACTGACTGTTGAAAAAGCCAACAGGAGGATTAGTGAAATGTCGGTAAGTCTGATTTACGACGCATTAGGAATCCAGAAGATTTGTATATATCACATTATAACAGTAGAAAATTTCTTTGAATATGTTGCCCTCCTTTTTTTTAAATTAAATGTGCATAACTAGGTTGATAATTTTAAAATATACTTTTTAAAATATTTTAAATTTTTAAGAATGTGCAAGCGTTCTTTTTCCGGTTTTCAAAAAATTTAAACCATTAATCAAATATTTAAAGAAAATAATAATAAATAATTCCAATAAGAACATATCGGTAAATACTGGTATAAATCAGCCAGAGAAAGACAATAAACCTCGTTATTAGCCGTCCTTCTCTATTGAAAATTATGCCTCGCGCCGCGGCCATTCCAGTTTAGATCGAGTTCACTGATTTAAGTACAAACCTAACCTAAAATTGTTTGATGTGGGCGAGAATAAATATCGCAAAAAAAATGGCTGTCCACAAATCGAGAGTGCCACATTTAATACTAGCCAATGTGGAGAAATAAATCGGGCCTACCACTGTAAAAAAGAAATTAGTCTTGTGCTCGGGAGGCGAGGTCGTTGCTCGCGCGGAGAACTATGCGTTTAACCGTCGCGATCTCTGGGCAGCAGCAACTCCAGAAATATGAAAGTGGTCATCAGACCGAAGTAGGCGAATATCGATATCCACCAGATGATGTTCTCCGCCCGCGTTTCTTTGAGGTTCCTCAAAATGTTCACACCGACCAGCAGGCCACAGACGGCACCGCCCAAATGCGACACGTAACTGACCTGCCCCATGTTGCCGAACTTCACGTATCGGTAGACAGGGTCGCAGAGTGTGAAAGTGCCGAACAGCAGGAGCTGCGCGAGCGGGTGGCTTATTTCGCGCCAATTCTGAAAACGGAGTTCACGTTACGCCATCTATGCAAGACTAAGCAAACTTTGTCCTTGGTGTGGGCACTCTTATGGACCTACTATATTAACGTCCGCCAAACCGACAGATGTCGCCACGATTAAAATGATAAAGTAGTTACTTTTATTTAAGGATTTGGTCAAAGAGTATAAGATAAAAGGGAAAGTCGCGTATACTGTTACGAAATCCATCCAATTTTTGTGTCCAAGTACTAAACATAACAGCACTTTAATTATATTTTAATTTCCAGGATTTTACCGCACGGATTTGGGAGCAATCGGATGTTTTCGTTGATATTTCCCACACTTTGAATTTGACGTTTGTCAATTCTGACGGTCATGTCAGTGAATGTATTCGTATTGTTTGGCGAAAATGTACCCAAAAACTAACGGTCGTAGAAAAAGTATAATATGCAACGCATTGGGTAAACTTTTTAACTCACTCGTTTATTAAAAACTGGCTTCGCCGCGCGCCGCTCGTGTCAAATAAACTCGTAAGTCAAATGCCGTTTACCGCACTTGTTGCATAATATACTGTTACATTTAAATATTAAGACAAACGTCTTCCTATTAATATAGTGCGTGGTGCGTTTTAAATATAAACCAATTTTTGCAATTATTTTGCTGCACAATCGTAGGTACTGTTGCTAGTAATTAAGTAAGTGGACAATTAAAACTAAATATGCTTGACTGCTAGTTGAGTATTATTAAAAATATATAAACAATCATTTTCTTATATATTTTTGAGGTTGCATTTAGTTAGGTAAGGTGAGGATTCCGGTGCTTAGGCATGTCTTTAGTAGTCCGGCCGCTCTAGGTTTCATTCACTAAATCGTATTATGTCACCTTTTGATACTGTCTACATATACACTGAGGTGCGTTATTTAACGCTTACCATGATAACGGTGGCCACGTGCGCGGTAAAAAACGAATGGACACCAGCGCTGCCTCCGACCAGGTTCTCGTTCGGATAGATCACTGACTGGAAGAGGGAGCCACCCAACGCGCCCGCGCAGTATATCACCAGCACCCGCCACCCGTGCACCATTTCCAACGGCAACCCGACAGCTATTTGGGTGACGACGTTGAAATACAGGTGGTACTCGCTGAAACACAAATGGCCGTCTAAATATTCTGAAATCAAGATAAGCGACACGCCACCTGGTGGTCAAACGTTAGTACATTGAGGTTGCTGATGTATTATTATTTTAGTAGACATTTTGTGACTGTTGTGTGAAAAAAATATTTTTCAAAAGTTTACGTTTTTGTTTTTTCAAGTAGTAGAGAGTAATTCGTAATACTTTTGGTGTATTTCTGTGTGCCGAAACAGTCCACAAAGTTTATATGGAAACCAAATCTACCAACCTGCATTAAAAAGTTTTTATTCTATAATTTACCTGGAAAGTTAATTGTTTCCAATAAATCAGATATTCAAATGGGCTTAAATTAATTTCATTTCGAAGTAAATTTTGTATATAAAACAAACATTGCAATTGAAAAGTAGTCCGGTTATGTTACACGGTAGTTCTAGCGTTCACCATTGTCGCGCTGCGATCTTAATTTGACGTCGCAGTCACAGAATAGCAATCGCCAGATGGCGCTTTATCGACGGTGATGAAATCGGTCGAACCGATTAATTATTCAACAGCAAAATATTTGGACTGTGTGATAACCTGGCACTTACTCCGTGTGGACGAACATGTACGTGACATATCTCCATATTTCCGCGCGCTTATCGTAACGGAACGTCAACGCGTCTTTGACGTCGGCGTAGAAAAACACAATCTGCAGAAGCGAGAGCGCTAGCATGCCTACGGCCGCAGGCCTGCACTTGATCTCTTCCTCGTACAGGCCGGTTATCGTGTGCATACGTCTGAGCCGCACCGTCTTCCTTGAAACCGGCACGACCAGAAACTTGATATACCTACGATACCGACATAGTATATAGTACACAATATAGTATAGTATAGTATCGTATAGTAAAGTATAGTATAGTACATAGTATTTATTTGTTTACTTATCGGTAAGGCTTTTCCTGTTACGTGAATGAGGTTGCGTACCTGTACTCCAGGCGAGGCTTTCTAACAGAATCGCAGAAAAATATTTTTCTGAGGAACGGCCGAATAACCGCAGCTTGTTGTATTTTGGAAAAAGTTTCCATTTTGCAGGTTGTTATTAATGTCTAATCATTTAATATCTCATTAAAAATTTGGTTTAATCGCCTGCTTATTGGGGAATTTACATTGCAAAATGTTAGAAAAAACATGTTCTTTGACAGAAATAATTTATTTCTAATAATCAAGAAGGCAACGAAAATAAATTTTGTTTTTTATCTGACCAAACCCGTAAGACATATGTTCGCCAAAATTATCGATGGCACGTGGTCGCTTGTGACGTAAGCGAAGTCCTCTAACGGTTTTTGTGTATTCCGTCAATGCATTTGCTATATTAGCTACTCAAAACGCGCCAATACAGACAGGACTTCACCTACGTCACAGCCAGCGAGACTTTACGCGATCCTATTAGGTTTGCGATTCTTGGACCAAACCATCTAGCTATTAGATAAAATATTGGCTCTACCACAGTAAAAATTGATGCGCCGCATGGATATTATCGTAGATAAGGTAATGATTTTCCGCGCATGCCTCTACATTTCGCTCATATCCAAATTTAATGACGATCTGTCAGTGGTCATGTTGGTTGTCGAATTCCTTAAGGTCATTGATTAAAAACGGAAGTATAAATCTCGCGGATGTGCATGTTCAATAGTATTTATCTTTTTTTTTTACATAGTTGCTTTGTGTGTACTTGTAATATCAACGTAGGCATGTCGTTTTCTCATGTTGGTCAAAAATAACAATATTTCTGAACATTGATGTCCACACAATCGGTGTCCCAGAACATTTAATGAGGTCTATGCATATTTTGAGAATATACTGCGGTAAAAATGTGGTCGAAATGTCTTTGTCTACCGTTGTAAATAATTTTACATTTCTTAAATATCTACAAGATATTGACGAGTTAGGAACCAAGAAAAATACTAATTATTGAATACTGGATAACTTTGCGCGCCAAGAAGTATTGTAAAAGAAGTAATTAAAATAAAAAACAAAATTTTATTTCGATTTTAAATATAATTTGGCATCCGAAATAATAAATTGACGTTTTATCTATTCAATTGAATTGGACATTAATAACAAACAGTGAAGTGGAAATACTTTACAAAATTTGACTTACTTTTTAGGTTTAAGTTCGTTTGTTAATATTTTAGGTTAGTGTAAAGATATTGAGATGTATAAAAACATAAAATCTTTTTGGCGATTTTGCCAGAAAACGCTACCTGGTGGCAAGGTAACTAAGCTTTTTATAGTAGTCCGGGGTATATAAAATTTACGAACAGAAAATTCGTCTTAACTGGCGATCTTTTTTTTAATTTATTGGTGTAACTATGCATGAAAATTTTTTTGTCGTACCGACCTGCTCGCCAAGTTGGAAAACTCGCGCATGAAGCCCGGGTTGGTGAGCATGTCGAGGAACTCCTCAAAGTCGATCTTGTCGTCGTGGTTGTGGTCGAATCTCTGGTACACATTGACTATCATTGGGGTGAGCGGCTCTGCATTTTTCGCCGCCGCCTGCTCGTTACTTTTGACGAACTCTTTGAACTCCTCTAGGCTGACAAAGCCGTCTTGATCTTTGTCGCACTGTAAACGAGAGCCCAACTCACACACAAGGGTTATGTACAGCTAGGGTAGTATATTATATACCATTGTACTATATTTGAGCTCTGCGTACTATATATGCTGTTTAAAAAATATGTAGCAAAAATATCATAGTTTTCCTGCTAAATGTCGATCACAAATAAAACTAAAATCATTTTGGAAGGCCCTCCAGCATCCGAACGCTGCATTGCTGGTTGCCTGATTTGGTATTTCACGGCTTCGGCGTTTTAGTTTGACATTATTCAGTAGACGATGTTTTGATTTTTGATAAACAAAGACGTTAAAATTTCGTATTTTTGAGTTGCATTGTGTATTGTGTGTTGAGAATGGAGGAAGAAGCCACTAATGAAATATGATTGGAACAATTGACTAAAAAAGTATGCAAATAATGAATATAACCGTGTTTCGCGTTTGACGATCACGAACGTGTGGCAGACATCTCGACGCGATCGAAGTATTTTTAGAACAGAAACCGCGGAGCGCGGTTTCCGGCCGCGGACGGCGACCGTAGGGTCTAATTAACATGGCGATTTCGGAAAGGCGTCAGTCGCGAGGGGTGAAAGCGGAGCAATCGAATCTATAAATCGCATACTCGGAGATAATCGGATGAGTCACCGGCCTACTGGATATGTTCAATAAGTCGATGCCTCGCATTTTTTCGCAATTCATCATCTAATTGGGTGCCGTCTCTCGGCCGCAGGTGTTCTTTCCGGCTTCCCTGTCGCGTTTTCGCGGCCAAAATGGAAGGGAAAAATGTAGTTTTCGATGGCGTCTATAGTTGCCCAAGACTTGACATTATAAAGCGGCCTCAGCGGTGTACGAGTTGCGCAAGTCCGGCTTAAGACAATATAAGTATATATAATCGGATTAAGTTTTGCAAAATTCGATTGTCGTCTAATTTCATATTCATATATGTACACGAAATAGACCGACCAGCTAGGTTGCGTGGAATTGTGACACGCCTGATCCGGGATAAAACTTTCTACGTGTATATATGTGTAACTGTTCCGGTGATATTTTTGTTAACGTTAGATCGCTTCCTACCGAACGAAGCAATCTGTAAAGCTCATTTGTCATTATTCCAAGTGTCGCCATGATATATGAATCGAACCAGACTTCACAGAAACTACCAAAATATTGTGTAAAAAAAGGATTTTGAACGACTATGCTTATAATAGAGGAACTTATGAAGCAATTATGAAAAAAATGAACCAATGACCTTGCGGCATCCAACAACCAACATGGCCGCTAACAGATCGTCACACAGAAAATTATTATGTATACATCTTTTTTCTGTCGCCACTAACCACTAACCAAAACTTATTACCCACCCACCTCTCTTAAATATTTATCATCCGGGTAAATTACGAAAACTTCGTTAAGTCAATTTTCGGTAATTACCATCGCCGGTTAGCAGTTAGTTGAACGGCTCGAAACGTCGGATTAATTTTGAGCTGTAAACAGATTTATCACGCGAAAAATTAGTAGAATAACTAAGGGTGGTGGCAGGGCGGCACTCATGGCGTAACAAAATAGTCTGTGCTTTGTTTCTTAATGCGATAGAGTTATAAATCATTATTGATTGTCAGCAGTTCCTTTCCTGTAGTTGGCAAAGTTTGTAATTGAAAACTGAATTCAGAAAATCTCTTTTAAACTTGAGTGAATATGAGTAAATATCGTCGCTAGGAAATGCTAGGGTAAACATTTAAAAAGCTCGCACCATCCGGACAAGGTAAAAGATTAATAATTAATCAAATTGGTAGCGAAAATGTTGGGGGGTTACTAGCAATTCAATCAAAACTGATTGGAGACTATCATGAGGACACGAATGCTGATGTTTTTGTATACTATTTTCATCAATGCTGCGGGGTCTGTTATAGTCATTGATAACAATATCAGCTACCATTCGTGGAGTTACTTTAAATAAGAAAGAAAGAATAAAGACGGTGGATCGTGAAGAAGGAAATCAGTGTGTCGAACATCTCACATTGTCACCATAATACGAATGTAAAAGCATAAAACAATCTTAGTATAATTAGTAAATTAATAATAATAATTAATACTGATAGTCTAATAAATATATAAACAATAACAAACAACGAGTACGTATTAAAAGGTATCACAAGAAAGAAAATCCTCAATATTGTAATAGGCAAGGCGAAGCAATTTGTCTTTAAGAGCGCATTTGAAGTTTGTTTGACTAGTCATCTCCTTCAGTTCGATAGGCAATTTATTATAAATTTTTACAGTCAAAACAAAGGGACTATTTGCTGTAAGAGACAGTCGATGTGTAGGTATTTTTATGTTATATATATTATATATTTGTATATTTGAATCAAGCAATATGACTTTTATTTTATGTAGAAAATTTTTAAGCACGTAGTTAAGAGGCAAAAGAAAGACGATGGTGGTAGAAAGAGAGCTATTAGGACTCTCTTGACTCATCCGGAGCTTGGTCGGGTCGTTCCCGCTGCGTGAAGCCCCCCGCGCTGTGAGTCACCCGAAAATGTGCCGTAACGGAACCCAAAAATAGCCGGCGACTACAATTTTGAGAGGAATTGATCGCGCCGTCATAACATTTACCGTCCAATTAATTTTTTGGCCGATTTTCAAACGAGAACATTATTTTGATACCAGAAAAAATAAACGATTGTTTTTCCGGGAAACGAAATATCTAATCGTCCAAGTTTTTGGTTAGCCCGAAATTGGAAGCCGAATTTTCGGACAGTTGCGAGTACCTTGTCGAAGATGCTCTTGCAGTACACCCTGACGCTGTCGTTTTTGATCAACAGCTTATGGGCCACCATCCTCGCGACTCTCTTAACGGAACGTACAGATACGCGGGAAGCAGTTATACGTTCGAGCAGATCGCCCGGCAGTACCGCGACTGAGAGTCGAACGCGACGAAGGAATTGCAATTAGCCGAATTAAAATATAATTTCCCAGGTGCGCAGGGTCTGATTCGACCGTATTTTTAGGCGCGGGACGATATAACGACTGGAGATTTAAAAAAAATAAGCTTCGACACAATCGCACCCACGCACACGTCCACCCAAGTTAATTTATCGGTTCGCAGGTAATTTTGAGTAGTCGCGATAAAGTTTGTATGGTCTGTTCATAGATATAAGAAAGTGACCAATTGCTTTTGAATGGGATTATCCAGGGGTGGTCATTAACATACAACGCAACAAGATTATTACCTAAAGTTTCGGAATTTAAATTCAGGTAAAATTGTGGTCCGTAATAGAAAATAATGTGTTTAATAATCTTTGGTTTAAGTTTATTAGTGTGTTGAATCGTGTGCGAATTATGCAAAATATGTGCGAGTCTAGTGAATCTCAGGAGATGCTCCCGCCCAAATGTAGAAAACACTATAAAAACAGAAGCGATGCTGACATTTTCTCGAGTGTAGCTATAATACGGCGTAAAATTTACCAGTTATACGAGGAACAAAGCGCGCCTACATTAGATACCTTCATTAGGAGCCTTGAAAAAGATGAAACCGGTGTTAAATGTGGCAGAACTACCTTATGGAAGTGTAGTCAACACAGGGATTTCAGTGGAATCTTTTAGAATTCGGAAATGGCGACTGGAGTATCTAGAAAAAATTAGGATTTACAGAGAACAACAAACGAAAATTATTTACTTGGATGAAACCTTGTTCGACACTTATGGTACCCCGGAAAAGGGCTGGGTTGACTCAACTGATAAGTGTAAAACAAACGCGCCATCAAAAAGAGGTAAATGAATAAATATTTTGCATGATGGGTCTAAAGATGGTTGGATTTCAAATGGACTTTCTCTGTCTGCAAAAAATATTAAAGATTCTTCTCTGGATTACCATGCATAAACCACCGCTGATTTACTTCAAAGTTGGTTTAAAAACAAACTAGTTCCAAACATTCCTCCCAATTGCGTCATTGTAATGGACAATGCAAGTTATCACAGCAGACAGTTGACTAAAACCCCTTCCTCATGTGACGCAAAAGCCACAACACAAAACTGTATTTATATTAACGACATTTATTTTCACGAAGATAATAATAATTAGAACAGGCGATGATAGCGATAGTGATACTGATATATTATGTGAATAATTTTAAGTAATTTAAGTAGGTAATAAAAATAATTTGTAATTTTATTTTAGATTTAAACATAAATACATACATAAATAAATAAATGTTGTTTAGTATCTTTCCTAACAAAACCCCAAATAATTAAATTCTAAGCAAAGTACGGACCTGTTCGGCCATATTTCATTCTTCCAGCTTGCCCGGGTCTTTCCTTAATTCGTATCAGTTAGTCACCTTCTTATATCTATGAACAGACCGTACCTGTTTGGCCTCGCTAAAGCTTCAAATATATTAGCAAAAAGCTCCTAGTCGCGTCTTTGATTTTCTAGTAGTCACCTAGCCAAAAACAAATAAAAATACTGATCAGATCAGATCAGATCAGATAAATAGCGCATTCACTTTTTTTTATTACTAAAAACAAATAGGGTTGTTGACAGTTAGCAACTCAACCCTTACTTTTTAATAATGGATATGACCCCCTCTCGCCCTAATTACATCTCTTCGCGGCTGTTTCTTATGGAATGTTAAGCCACTCTTGCTCTATTGTAACAGTAAGCTCTGGGATCGAGATTGCGGTACGAAATCTAACTCGAATTTTCCATTTTTGCTCATTCCATAAATGTTCGATCGGATTGAGGTCAGTCCTGCATACTGGCCACTGCATAACTCGAAAACCGACTTCTTTGCGGGTGCGGCCTAGCATTGTGATGCATAAAAATGAATTCTTCTCCAATGTAGTCGACATATGGTACCTAGCACCTGTTAAACCTCCTGCCCCTTGATCATGGATGAAAACAGGGTCGGTTCGTGCGTCCATTGATATTGCATCCCATATCATGCAGGAACCACCTCCATAAGGGCACCCCTCTTCGTTGCCTTGCATTCTGCAAATCGCTTTCCCCGTCTTCGGTACACTGAGAACAGAACAGACGCCCATTGGTCCAATGTCCAATTCAGATGATCCCGATGAGTTTTGGACCAATTGCAGTTGTTTTTGTGGTCAGTTTATTTTCCTTTATTCTACTTCTCACTGTCCACTCACTAATAGCAACTCTTCGAACTTTATGGGGCTGTTGTCGCACTTGAACCGCATTAAGGTGAAGATTTTTTATTATTGGTGACACAATAAAGCGGTAATCACGAGCCGTTGGACAAGGATCGCGTGCGCGCGTGCCAAATGCGTTTAAAATGCCAAGCGAGTTTGTTGAAACAAACGAACAAATAATTTAAAAATAGTTACACATATATGAAGATGATTTAATTAATAGAAACTCTAATAAAATTTTAGAAATACGCTATGATTTAACAAACAATCACGGATTTCACAGATAACAAAGATTTCAGTTGATAGGCGCCGATTCAGTAGACGGAAGCACAATAATAAGTAACAATTTGACAATTGATTTACCACAAACAATGCCAAAAATTTGACGCGAAATTCCATTATTCTTAAAGTTGAAGTTGAAGTTTATTTTTTATACCCTGTATATTACTCTACTCTGCATTCATTATGGTCTATTTTTAACTAAATACTACCAATTAAGCACTCATCATTAAAAATATTTCAGAAAACAATGTTGTTACAATTTCAATTGCGATAAACACATTTCTTTCAACCTAACCTAACCTTTTAACATAACCTCGACAAAACAGAGCAACAAAGGGGTTGCAAAAACTAAAAATGTTGGATTTAAAGTAACGTCGCAAGGAGATGCAAAAACTCCCTACTCTCAGTTGCCTTTGGACAGATGTTTCTGTCGGTGGAACAGACGGCTCGGATCGGATGCTATACCAGGTGTACTCAAATATTCTTTATAAAGTGCTTGCAATGCTTCCGAATAATATTATATATTGGCGTTATTAGAAAATAATAATACGAACTCTAAAATGTAAATAAAAGTCAGTTTTCGTTAGTTTTTATATCGGAGCATATTCCGCGAGATAAAATGATCGGGTCCGGTTCTGTGCTAATTATTGTTATTATTCAATCCGCGCGGCGGGACCGGCAATCCTGCTAACCATTGTTTTGATTGATGGCGTTTTAAATGGGGATAGAAACGGTTTATAATTTCTCGTTGTCTTCGTTTTTTTCGTTAGTCATCTTCCTTTCGGCAAAGTTTTGGGAAAGCGTTACGTTTTTTTTTAACTACCCGGAACACGCTGTTAATGAGCCATTGTGTCGCATTTATTTTCGGCAGTGAACGACGGAAGCGATCTAGTAGGCAGCTTATGTAATGCGATATAGCTATTAGATAATATGGGGGACCGTAAGTAGCGTAAAACTGATACACTTCGGGCGACTGTGACGGTTTGGTACAGACGGAAAGTCTGCACTTTGACGTGCAGGAAATTAGCAATACTACTTGCAAGTTTTTAGTAGTTTGTCGAATTTTGACGTAAATTTGTACAAGAAGAAAACATGTTTCGCCCCCTGTTTTAAAACAAATTCCCCGGTAATGCTTGATGCATTACCATCTTTAAAACTTGCATTTTCTAAATATTTCGTTCATGGACCAGGCGTCGCTTTTAAGTGTAAAAGAAAAAAAAATGTAGCGTCCTGTTTTTACATCTTCCATATGATGATGCTGATTTAAGGATGTCAGGATGGCGCTGGGGGCGAGAGAATTATGTCGAAAATGACTGTAATGTGAATAAAAATGATTAAATATACTAATAATTAATTCATGGTAAACTGATTACATCCATATGTATGTATATGTATTATAAAAATGACGTTTCTCTGTCATTACCTGGCAACTTAATTTTGGTTTTGATTTAGGTTAGATAGACGCGATCATATAGCTGGACCTTCTACTAACCTCCATTTTCTTTCTAACTCATTTTCCGAGAACATTTAACGAGATCTAGGCATATTTTGAGAAAATACTGCCCTAAGAATCAATGGAATATGAAAGTTCAAAAACGACAATAATAGATGGAAAAGGTGTTTACGAAGTAAACCACCGAGAAATATTATTTTTTCTACTCCCTTCGGTAAAATTCTTAATTACACTGGTCTGCAAAAAAAAATTTTTTTCTCTACTTTTTGTTTTCATGCATGAATTCATCTTATTTTATGCTCTAAACGAGGAATCTGATATACAAATAAGTACCACACGTAGGTTTTTAATTTAATATTTATTTCATCAAAAAACGATAAATAAAAGTAAATGAGGTTCTGTAGATGGACATGAAGATCCAGATAAAGTGTATGGAGATGAAGATGTACTACCAGAAAGAAAACTCGATTCAGATGGTAGACCTGAAATATTTTTATTTTCAGCCTCCTCATTAACTGGTGGAACTGGAGGTGGAGTGCCTTTATCACGAGGAATTGGTCTCTTTGCAGATAGGACGTTCGGATAAACAATCTTATCTCTATTTTTTTTTCGAGAATCCTCGTGTAGATGTCATGCAGAAATAACAATCATTCTTATGATTTTGAGGCTCACTCCAAATCAGTGGCATTGAAAACGGCATGGATTTGTGACTTTCTTCAAGCCAACCTCTCAACGTTCTTGAGCAGCTTTTATCTCGCTCATCGATAAAAAATCCAAAATATAGCTTATAAGCTGTTTTAACCAGATCGGTCATGACATGTCGCTGTGTTTTTAGTATGTATTCCCCACAAATGTAGCAAAAACAATCTGAGGAATTTTTACAAGTCCGTGGCATTTTGTAACCTAAAATCACATAAAATTAATTTTAAAACAACTTTCAAACTTCTATTTTATATTTATTCACATCAAATACTTAAATCCAATGTAGAGAACATGAACTTTATGCAAAACCTACCAAAATATTTGATATAAAAGGTAAACAATTGAACGACAAGTTTTTACTGAACTGTTGTAGTGTCACAATGAATACTGCCCATGCGCGTATTTACTACCATAAAAATCACCTTCGGCACTTCCCTCCTTTCTCTTACAACTCTCTGAAGCTCACTTTGTATGTATATTTACTTTTTGTAACGTTGACGAATGAAAAAATTGAAAAAAAAAAACAAAATTTTGAAATATAAAAAAAAATCATTCAAAAACCATATTAATTGGTTTGAAGACTACTACAACCTGATAGGCAAGTTCGTTTTCGCAATGACCGTTGTGATAAAAATGGCTAAAGTACATCAAACCGCCTATGACATGGCCATTGCCACAGCCAACTGCTACTAGATATATAGACGCTGATTATACAGGAACTTTTGAAGTGAACTTTCGCATTCGCGGCGATCTCAACTCTCGTTTTGTGACAATTAATTAATAATTAAAAAAGGGAACCCAATTGCAAAATCATTATTGGAAACAACTCGACTCACAAAACGTCTCGCAAAGAAACAAATGGGACATTCCTGCGGAACAAGTTCTGCTTGTTGACTTTAAAGCTTGTACAGTATTTCGCATTTTTGATCTCCCTTATCGATTATTAAGGGAAGGTTGCATGAACAGAAATGTCTTGTATTTTTAGATACAGGGTGATTTCGTATTTTCAGACAGCTCGGTCGTAACGCGTAAACTTGTCGAAAAGGTGAAAACTGGTCTGCGTAGGGTTTTTCTTGCGTAGGACCCAGTAGCGTGATCAGTTTCTTCTGAAACTCGCACCTTTTTATTTTATGTTAAACCAAATGGAACGCACCGCATAATTTTATTAGGCTCGTTATTAACTTTTGATTGTTTCTTTTGTTTTTTGTTATATGTATATGTTATATGAGCCGTCAAAAATTGAAGTCGAAAGTGAACGCAGAGCCAACGGCGATCGAAAGAATAGAGAGCGATTACTTTCGTTCGCTTATTGCGCAAACGGATTTTCGACCGCATTGGATAAACCGTTCCCGGATGTGATGAAAACAACCTCGCTCGTTCGGTAACGGGATAACGGTGGTGTCGTAGAAAAAAGATATTATCTAAAATGCGATCGTGAGGGGGGATCCCTCCAAAATACTTCCTCGGGCAGCAACAGGCGTCACGTCAAAAGTTTTTCAAACAAAAACTGACCAAATCTAACCCAACAAAAATTTAACTGTCGAAGAGAGGTCCGTTTTTGTAACCTGGGTTATAAACAAGAATCGTAAACCCAATAGGATTGCCTAATATAGTAAATATACAAAAACCAACAGATAGTTATAAACTAGACATCCCTCTTTTTGGATATATTAAAGAACATATTAAAAAACAAAAAAATATATTAGGCATACATAACTTCTTCTTCATAGATTGGTTTCTGTGGTGAGCTTCCATTCCTGTCTGTTTTCTGCCATCCTGAATGACTGGCAGAGGTTTTTGCCGGTAAGGTTCTTTATAAGATCCGTGTATCTTGTGGGCGACCTTCCTCTTGATCTTTTGCCGTGTACCGTTCCTTCCAGTGTGAGTCTTTCAAGGCCATTTCTTCTAACCACATGACCGAAGAATTTTGCAATTTTCTCTGCGACAACGATACTCAATCTCTTCCTAAATCCAAGTTGTTGTAGGATGGATTGGTTGGTTCTTCTCTCGGTCCAGGACACTCTTAGCATTCGTCGCCAGCAAAACATTTCAAATGCATCTATCTTCCTTTTATCATTCATTTTCAGCGTCCAGCATTCTGATCCATAGAGAAAGACTGAGAACACTACACTTTTGACCAATCTTATTTTAGTGTTAAGGGATATTTGATGGCTTTTCCACACTATAGTTAGTTTGGTCATGGATTCTTTCGCTATGGCAGTTCTTCTTTTTATTTCTTCGCTAGATCCGCCCATGTTCGATATTGTGGTGCCAAGATATATGAAGGTATCAACTGTCTCGCTGTTATTTATCTGTTTTACTTCAGGTCTGTTGTTATTTTGGCGATCAATTATCATTATTTTGGTTTTCTTCTTATTTATTTGTAGACCCACTTCGTTGCTCGTCGCTTCAACTCTACGTATGAGCCTGATCAATTCTTCTTCTGACGCAGCGATTAGTGTCGTATCATCGGCGTAGCGTAGGTTACAGATTTTGATGCCATCAATGGTGATTCCTCCCTGCCATTCATCGAGCGCCTTCCTCATAATCCACTCGCCATAAATATTAAAGAGTAGTGGGCTTAGTATGCAGCCCTGTCTGACCCCTTTACCCACTCTAAATGGGTTGGTTAGTTCTCCATCTACTCTGACATAGGCTGTATTGTTGTCGTATAACTTTTGAATTAACGATATTAGATGGCCAGGTGTGCCCATTTCATTTAGAATCGTCCATAAGTTTTGCCATCGTACACAATCAAAAGCTTTAGAGTAATCTATGAAGCATAAGTAGGTAGGCACATTGAATTCTCTTGATTTTTCAATTATTTGTCGAAGGTTTAGTATCTGCTCTCTAGTTCCGCGTCCCGGGATAAAGCCGGCTTGCTCTGGTGGTAGTTGTGGAAGTAGGAAAGGCTTTATACGTTCTGATATTATGTGTAACATGACCTTGCTAGCGTGTGAGATTAGAGCTATTGTCCTATAATTATCGCAGATGTCCTTCGGTCCCTTCTTGTGTATTGGCACATAGACCGATTTCGTCCAATCATCGGGCCAAATACCGGTGTCCCATATCATTTGACAGATCCTATGAAACAATTCCATTCCTGTTTCCTCAAGTGCAGTTAGCATTTCAGCAACAATGCCATCCTCTCCAGGCGACTTGTTGGACTTCAGCTTGGTAATTGCTGTCCTTACTTCTTCTTTCAGTATGGGAGGTTCTTTTCCATTGTATGTGCTTTTTTCTGTGTCATTGTTTGAGTTTCCAGTGTCTTCCATCAATTTCTCACAGTAGTTCTTCCATCTTTCCTTTATCTCTGCTTTGTCTGTTATTAATTTACCAGCTTCGGATCTTATCGCCCAGGATTTTGAGTTGAACGTGCGTGTAATGTGCTTGATTTTGTTAAACAGGTCTTTTGATTCGTTGTTGTGCGAATGTTGCTCAGCTTCGGCGCATATATCGTTTAGGTACTTGTTTTTGTCTTTTCTACACTGGTGTTTGATATCTAGGTTGAGCCTGCTATATTGTTCTCTATCTTCATGTCTGTGTAAGCCCGTGGCCTTGAGTTGTTTCAGCGATTCAATCTTCTTCCAGGTTTCTTCTGCAATCCATGCTTTCCTCTTCTGTTTCACAGCAGCTTCAGTTTGTGATGCCACTTTTAGCAGTGCAGTTTTTGTTTTGTTCCACAATGAGTTAGAGTCATCGTCTGATTGCGTATGTGAATTTATTTTGGAGATTTCTGCTTTAGCCTTTGATCTGAAATTTTCATTATGTTTAAGGCCCGACCAATTCCTAAAGGTTTTATTAGGCTGCGATCTGCTTAATTTTATGCGGAGCTCTCCTGCGAGAAACTGATGGTCACTGTGACAGTCCTTTCCTGGGTAAGTCCTGGTATTCCTTACTGAAGTCCTCCATCTGGATTTTACTAAGATGTAGTCTATCTGGTTTTTATGTAGGCCTCCAGGTGAGGTCCAGGTGTATAGTCGTCTTGGATGATGTTCGTATCCCGTGTTTGTGATGAAAAAGTTGTTCTCAGTGCAGAATTGCAGCAGTCTTTCTCCTCTCACATTTCTTTTTCCCAGACCGTATTTGCCGATAATTTTGTTTAAATGTTCATCTGCAGGTTCTCTTCCAACTTTGGCATTATAGTCGCCTATTAGCATCGTGATTTCTCGATTTGGTAGAGTCTCTAGTAGCTGTTCTAATTGGGCGTAGCATTCTTCTACCTCATCATCTGGTGCTTCGCTGGTTGGAAAATACACTTGTACAATATTCAGCTTCACAGGACGCGCGTTAAATCTGATCAAGATGATTCTATCATTGATTGCTCTGTATTCTGTTATGGAGTATTCAAGTGTCCTGTTTACTACTATGGCCACGCCGTTTCTAGATGTGTCCTCGTTGCCTGAATAAAAAACGATGTTATTGTTTCTGGATATGAAGTGTCCTGAGCCCTTCCAATGCGTTTCTGCTAAGCCCACTATGCTATGACTGCTTATTTCTTTCTCTACTATGGCGAACTTTCCGGCTTCTAGCAGTCCGCGAACGTTCCAGGTGGCTATCTTTAAACTTTTCCATATCATACATAACTACTAGTAGGTAAATAATAATATGTGTTTATATGTATCATCGTATAAAATATAAAATATAAAAAATACATATTACTACATATACTTAAATATTTGTTTTACAATTTTACCATAGTTTCCAATTTTTTTCTGCGGGTATCATCTTGCAAAGATTTTCTTTTTAGACTAACGTTACATTTTGCATTTAAATTTCTGAAGTTCATACGGATTATCGTTCTCAGCTCACAAGAATCTCTAAATAAACTAAATGGTAATTCTTTTTCTGTTTTAAATATTTTTTTTTGCCAAGTTTTTTACCGCCCCTTGCCCTTTTCGAAATCACCATGATGGAATTCAAAATAAAAGTTCCATTTTTTAATTTTTTTCAAAAAATTATCAGAGGGCTTTATGGGGCCCCCATATGATAACTGTTGTACCCAAGAGGGAATGCTGTAATGATGATCTTTGGTAATTTGATAAGTATCATCTCCTAAATCGGAGATATCTATTTTGTGTTTTTTAGCTAAGTGGCCCGCAATGTTCTCCAGGGCATCTTCAGTTTGGAAATGGATTCTTTTACCCGATGGTAGCGCGAATAGCCGTAAAACTCAGTAGACAGGATGCAATATCTACACGTATAAATGTATTACGCATATAATCAACTGTTGTAACGAAATAAGCCACTTTCCGGATGAATGGAAGATATCAATGGGGAAACCATTACCAATGACGTATAATGATATCCGTTTTAAATAGAGGTCAGGAACAGAAGTATTATTGATTGATGAATTGGATATTTTTCGAGCGTATGATAAGAAAATGAATACCGTTCTTGTGCTGGTAGATTTCTCCAAACTTCTATTAAAGCTAAAATATTATGGATTTTCTAATGAATCTTTTAGTCTTATGTGCCATTTTATCTGAATAATAGAAAGCAAATAATATCCTGTGCGCTTTCTGTATGGCTTAAGAAAATATGATCATATTTCTAAATTTTATAAACAGTTTGACTGAAGCTGAACCGAAAAATGAGACAATTATTAAAAAAAAAGTAAATAACGCAACACGATCGGATTGGCTTTAAAACAGACCGACAGTTTCGTGAACTTAACTGGTTTTTATATATTGAAGTCGCTCTTAACAAGTTTTTTTTTTCATAAGCTATTTTTAAAGTACTTGCTTTAAGTTATTAAAATGTAATATGGCGATCACTATTCAATTCTATCTTCTATTTTATAATTAAATGTCTCATAAATACAATGAAGGTACTCTAATTTTACAAATTTAGTCGTCCCATAGGAACAAATCCAGATCCCAGGGACTCTCCACATTTTTTTCAGGTAACTCTTCACTTCGCTGCTGATAAAACAATACCATTTTGATTTGGAATACATAATACACTTGAGTCTTAAAAAATCACTTAATTGAAGTTTATATTTAGGTTTAATAAAAACGCCACACCTGGAAAAAAACCTTTATTAAACACGAGAAAATCTGTCGAGTATTTATGGGGCGGCGGGATACCGCGACGGGAACGTAACGTTGACCAAGATGGCGACGAGCGTGAGCGCGACGTAGAGCACCAGTGCGAGCCACCAGACGTACCGCTCCGCTTTCGTCACGTTCAAATTCCTGAGGGCGTAAATGCCGACGAGCAAACCGGCAACCGCGCCACCGAAATGTGCGGCGTATCCCACCTGATGGTCGACGTTCAGAAAGTACCTGTCGTAGATGGCGCTGCCGACGTCGCAACTGACGACGATGCCGAATATGAACAGGCGAACGGCGGCAAATTGCATTTCGCGCCAGTTCTGCAAAAATTAGTGGCGACTTGATGCGACAGACCGTTTAATAAAAGCCGGCCACGCCCTGCGAGCGATAAGATTTTAAATGCCTCCATTATAAAGGTGGGAGTTCGATATACAGAGTGTTATTAAATAGATGTAAGATAATTCACAGGGTGATTTTTCTAGCATTTTCCCGGTTCAGGGTGTGAAAGTTTTATTTTTATTTTTGTTTTTCCTGCATAATTTCCTAAATATGTTTTTTTACGAACGAAAATTTGAACCTGAAGAAATTAGAATTTGCTTAATTTAGCTCGTTGCTCACTATCAAAGACTCATGACGTTTTGTACGACTCTGTGTTATACCGTTGCGCCAAAAAAATAATTCTTCATTCACTTTTATGTAAAAATGAACCTCTAGGAGCAATTCAACCGGTTTATAGATTATTTTTTATGGAAAATTGGGAAGGAAGCTTAGAATAAACAAAAACTGACATAACTAAAGGGCAAGAGATAGTTTGCCCCTATAATAAAGAAACTTTTGATAGCGTAGAATAATGTCCAAGCCTCGAGGCATATTTAATTGTGGAATATACCATTATAGCTCGCAATAGGTTATAATAATTAAGACTGGCAGTGCGTGGGCCTGCTTGGATAAGTAAAACTCGCCATTATGATCGACGCGATGTGCGCGGTCATCAGGGCATAGACGCCGCCGCTAGCGCCCGCGAGTCGAACCCGGGGATCGGCCACGGAAGTGGTGAGAGAGCCGGCGACCACCCCCAGGAGGTACACCAACAAGACGCGCCACCACCTGTGCACCATCTCGAGCGGGACGCCGAGCGTCAGCTGGACGAGCATGTTCACCGTGATGTGGACGTATCTACGAGGGCACTGATTAATGATAATTCATTGCGGGATTAACTTCACACGGTTGCACCAAACAACGTTCAACGTTGTTAAACTAAGCTTTGGGTTAGTAAAAGTGAACCAACAGTTTAACCGTGGAAATAAACCCGGTTCAACGGTACGCCAGTTTCAATTAGCTTGATTGAGTGGGATTTAACTTATTTATGGTTAGTTTTATTAAGCCCACGATTCAGTTCAATAAAATTAATTCAACCAATCGTGGATTAACTAAACCAAGCTTATCTAAATTTGAAGTTTAATTCTTTGTTAAAGCGGGTTTACCTAATAGAAGTTTGACACGACTTCCCTGAGTCCAGTATAAATCTATAGGCTATTTTAGAAAAGTGTACAATAATGGAAAATTTCGACATCGCCAGACTTGGATAAATAAATGCTATGTACGTTGTACCAGAAGTGTGGTAATACAAAAATAGATTAAGGTGTCTTTAGGAAAACGGAAAAGACTAATAATCGATCACATTGGAAGCGAAGAAGCTTTGCTGACTTTTCAGTAGTGCCATACGGCTACGAGGACATGAATTTTGATGGTTTTGAAGACCATTTTCCGACCTTATCTGGATAACCCTCAAAAACCTTGAATTTGAATTTAATTTGATAAAAAGGGGATTATTACATATAAGCACACAACGCTGCATTCAAAATGAAGGACCTTAAGCTACTATTTGATCAAGGTATTGAAGACACCTCTAAATCCACGCAAACCCAGGTGTACCACCCGAACTAAACAAAATGGAACAATTTTCCAATAAAAACAATGCTAAATATTGTAAGTGTCTTAAGTGTTGCATACCTATTGAGTATGGCCGACGACAGTTCCTCAATTCAGTTTGGATGTGACCTTATTTTGGTAGCATTTGGTGAACATATGTCAGGTTCTTATTAAATTAAGTGTATTTTATTTACCCGACGTGAACGAACATGTAGGTTAAATATCTCCAACATTGCGAACGTTTGGCAGGATCGTAAACCAATAGGTCGGCGGTTACTCCGGTCCCTCTCATAGTCGAACCTTTTTGCGTCAGTTCGTCGGTAAGGAACAACGCCACCTCGAGCAGGGTGATGAGGAGCATGGCGACGGGCGGCGGCCTGCACGTGTACTCGTCCGCGTAGTCGAGCGAATCCCGCTGGTAAACTGGAAAGTTTCAAAGCCGTCTACGGACACATTAGTAATTCCGATGCCAAAGCTTCCCGCTTGCGTATAACGACCGACCCGTATTTTACCACTTTGCCTTATTTTTGGTGCTTTGTCTACCCTCTTACCAAACTTTTATACCTCGGTAACGGTTGATGGTGATATAGAAATGTCGAAACAAATTTTTGTTGTCATTTCTCCGCACCGTTAGAACCAAAATTGCCCTTTTTTTGCACTCAACGAGCTACAGAACATATTTAAAAATGGCGGCAGTTCGACCTCAGCGAACTATTTTGTAGGGGGTTCAAGGATCATATTCTACGACTTAAACCGTTTATCGTACAACAAAACCACATGTGACCAAAACTAACGAAAAATGTACAGGTTCAGGTTTTTCCGACAACGTCCTGGGAAATTTTGGCAACGTCGCCATTGCCCATTAATCAGATGTTCAAACCGCAATGAAAACTATTTTGTTGTAAAGCGAAACATTAATAAATGAAGATGAAATATTTAACGAAATATCTTTAATAAAGGAATTTGTAACCACTGAAAAGTAGGAAGATTGGCGAGCTAATGATATCAGCGTTCGATGTCTTGAAGTGTTTGATAATTGTACCAAAAAGCAACTGGGGTTTAAAAACACATCTTTGATCGTTTGCACCCTATTTAGTCGGTACCAATGCAGAGGAAGAAAGAGTGCTTTCAATTAGAAACAAGATTGCTTTTGAAAAATCGTGGCTGGGCGGGGAAAGTTCGTAGCGCGAAGCAGCTTTGTATTTCAAAAAGAAGTATATATATACATATATATATATATATATATATATATATATATATATATATATATATATATATATATATATATATATATATATATATATATATATATATATATATATATATATATATATATATATATATATATATATATATATATATATATGACACTATATTCCGGGATATCATCCGTTCGCTCGTTGAACTCCGACTGGAATCCTGCATCCGACTGGAATCCTGCAAATCTTGCATCCGACTGGAATCCTGCAGACGTTTCGCCAAAATCTCACTTGGCATCTTCAATGTACAGGTACAAGTACAGGAACAGAGATAAAGAACTGAAGAAAATTAGTAGCATCGGCAAGGCAATCAGTAAACAACAACAGCCGCAGCAGAGAGTGCAGGACGAGTCCCAACGAAGATCGATCGCTGTCCTGCCATACATCAAGGGGGTTACTGACAAAATCGGCCGAATATTACGGAAACACGACATATCAACGGCATACAAACCTGACCATACCATCGGAGCAATACTAAGAAACCCAAAACAAAAAATTACTCTGGAAAACCAAGGAGTATACAGTGTAGCATGCGGATCGTGCAGCCTGACGTATGTGGGACAGACCAACAGAAGGATTTCAGCCAGGCTCGAGGAACATCGTTTAGCCATAAGAAACAAACAAACAACATCTGCTTTGTTTCAGCACCAACATCAGACAGGCCATAAAATTGATTTCGACACTTGCAAACAAATAGCTAATATTCCTGATTTTAGGACTAGGATTATACGAGAGGCCATCGAAATAGAAAAGTCCGGACACCTCAATACGAGAGACGACGCTCTGCATTTATCCAACACGTGGAGAACGATAATCAAACAGCAGAGCGATGCGCAGCAGCCAACGGGGACATCGCAACTACGATCGGACGAAATTAACAACCCGACAATTCAGGGGGCGGAGCCACCTCCCCCCACGCACAAGCAGCACCGTTACCATCTCCGGCGCAGAGTATAAATACCGCACGCACCGCCGATAACCTCCCAGTGTTCGAAGTGTTTTCGGAGCGCGAGCATTGAAGATGCCAAGTGAGATTTTGGCGAAACGTCTGCAGGATTCCAGTCGGATGCAGGATTTGCAGGATTCCAGTCGGATGCAGGATGTACAAGTCATAACGATTTCCAATTATAATCCAAGTATCTCGCCCACCCTGTATGATAGACGAAACCTGAAACGCTCTCTCCAAATTTGAAAATGGCAATTTTCAGAGTATTTTATATATTTTTACACATAACACTGGTCTGCAAAAAAAAATTTTTTTCTCTCCTACTTGTTTTCATGCATGAATTCATCTTATTTTATACTCTAAACACGGAATCAATATTATTAAAGTATAAATTATTATAAGGAAATAAAAAAATGTGGCGGCTTGAGTTTTACAGTAAAAAATATAGCTTATAAGCTGTTTTAACCAGATCGGTCATGACATGTCGCTATGTTTTTAGTATGTATTCCCCACAAATGTAGCAAAAACAATCTGAGGAATTTTTACAAGTCCGTGGCATTTAGTAACCTAAAATCACATAAAATTAATTTTAAAACAACTTTAAAACTTCTATTTTATATTTATTGGCTCTACTTAAAAAAAAATACTCAAACTACACATCAAATACCTAAATCCAATGTAGAGAACATGAACTTTATGCGAAACTTACCAAAATTTTTGATATAAAAGGTAAACAATTAAACGACAAGTTTTCACTGAACTGTTGTAGTGTCACAATGAATACTGCCCATGCGCGTATTTACTACCATAAAAATCACCTTCGGCACTTCCCTCCTTTCTCTTACAACGCTCTGAAGCTCATTTTGTATGTATATTTACGTTTTGTAACGTTGACCAATGAAAAATTTAATCGAAAAATCTAGACGTGATAGAAAAAACCGGCCAACGGGGATAGATTCAAAACGTTTGAATCATTATATTTATCATAAAATTTTTTAAAGGGGGATTTCATTGCCAACCAGTGTAATCGACACTCCCTGCACATAATTAATTAAATTCCGGAAATTGAGGTTCTAACCCTGGATCTTCCACGCAAATACAATAATTATTGCTGTTGATGCGGCCTATGACACTGTTTGAACCGATCAGCCATATTTTTTTATGATTTTTGATTTGCGATTAATACTTTACTCTGGAAAGGAACAATTTTCAAAGTCTTTTAGATTTTTGTCTCAAATCTAAAAACCCAGTATACAATGTAAAATAACGTGACCACTTTAAAATCAGCCATGATTTTAAGGACCAACGGGAATTTAAGTTGTTTAAACTCCTTTTAAGAAATGCTGTTGCTCCAAAAGCAATACCTGGTCATAAGAAGCACCCTTTTAAACAATAACACATTTAGTTCGTATATATTTTCAGTATCTATACGATAAAAGTTTTTTGATACACAAAGATAAGTTTTTTTTCAATTAATAGAAAAATACATTTTATTATTATATTTAGAGCTAAAACTTTAGTATGTAAGGTTTTCCCATATCATACAGGGGGTGTGCCTCAATTTGGCTACTATCGACTTGAAATTTGGTAGGATGGTGAAAATTCGTCCCCGCACGTAGTATCCAAAAATTGTCTTTTAATTAAAGCACCCTGTTGCCCAGACACGTTCTCCACCAGATTCTGCGACGTCGGCGTTTATCCGATAACCATCGGTTCGGTGCGACTGGCATCGTGCGAAATAGAGTGGGATATTGAGAAAACTAGTTCACTGAAGATTATCATAACCTTCCGGGGTTATGGAGTAATAAAATTGCTGCTTATAAGAACCACGAACTTAAAGATGATAAGTTAAAGCAGATGGCGACTAAATGTGAATATATTGTGACTGAATTGTACTGAATATGTACAAATAGGGAACGCTATCTGAATTGTAGGGTGCTAGACGTTGCCCCAGTGAAATTGCGGATGAAGTTGGGTGTTGGGGAGCGCATATTCGACTAGGCAACCCGGTAAAAGTTTGTAGGTAGTTGCTTTGCTAAAAAAAAGTCACATTTTGGCGTGTTCTGTGCGTCAGTGGTTTTTATTGAATAATTGAATCGGTTTGGTGACTCGTATCCTTGCGCATCGACGTAAAAGACGTTTCAATAATTTCCTACAAGCGGCGAGATAGTTACCCCTGGCGTAATCGGTGGTCGGAGCGGCGGGTACCAGGGCGGCCGCCCCCTTCGGGCAGGGGACCAAGAAGTGCACGTAACTGAAACGAAAATGACATCGGAATCCAATGACAATTCAAAAAAGATGGGATTCCTCCGAAGCGTCAGATGGTGGCGACTGACGCTGAGAGTTTGATTTTATGGCATCTCCAAAGACACGCAGGTCAATTTGCCATACCTCGAAAAACCATTCCATAGAAAAATGAAACAATTGAATTTCATTGACAATTCGTCACTCATAGAAAGCGAATCTATTTCAATACAATTGTACAGTTATAGTATGGGCCATTGTTCAAGATGTGAAATATAATCAAGATAATCGACCTTATTTCGTATTTATCTAAGTAATTTTCAAAAATTCGGATAGATCTATTGAAATAGTTATCTTCGTTTTTTCATTTGTCACAAGAAGTTACGGTTATAGTTATGTTCCAGGAAGGGAAATAAATTATTAAACTCAATTAAGGTATCAGCTGACACAAAAAAGTAATATTTGACGTCTATACCACTCTACTTGATGCTTTTCAAAGTTTTATGCAATTAAGGAAGCGAGAAAAAAAGTTTTTTTAGTATCCATGTAAATACGACTAAGTGACGAGGTCGTTCCTGCCTTCATTCAAATGAGTTCGATAGATCCGCGGTACTACTATAAGAGCGAATACCTTAAAGTGATTTCTTTACCTGTTGACCCAACGTTCGAAGACGTGTTGCCAATCGGGATGTTCCAGCAGGTCGACGAATTCGTCGAAATCGAGCGTCCTGTTCCCGCCCTTGTCCGCGAGATCGTGCACGTAACGGACAACGTCCCGCGGCAACCCGCGGCCGCTCGAACGCAAAAAGTTGTCCAGCTCGTCGAGGCAAATCAGCGAGTTGCCGTCCGCGTCGCACTACGACGATCTGGTTGTTTTTTTTTCTATTCGATTTTGGAAAAAAGTCTTACTTCTTCGAATATTTTCCTGTAGAGTTTGCGCTTCTCCCCGCGGGGCTTGTCCGCCGCCCAAGGCATATCGTTTCCCACGGGAGGGGCGTGGACGGGTAGCGAGTAGTGAAAATGCACTGATAACGATTTTAGTCTGACGGCGTTCGCATCGATCGACCAATTTTATTGCACCTAATCCTTCTTGCGTTATCATGCGAATATCGCAAGATAACAAAACGAAATTTTGATAGTTTCAGTCTACCAAGCCTATATAGATACTAGATATATAGGAGTAGAGACTATACTCATAATAAAGGAGAACTTTGGTTTGAAGCAATCTCTAGGGGGACTGCGTTTACAAACACAGGAAAAAAAAACAAATTCTTAATTGTAGATGAAGTATATCTTCAATATTTAAAGAAAATTAAGGACACACACACAATATTCTTGAAAAATGAATGTGATATTTTCAAGAAAATGTACAGCTTTCTGTTTTAAACCACCTAATATTGTGTGAAAACGACAATAGGTAGCGTACTTTCGATTTGAGAATATGGTTGTGCCACATTCTCAATGCTAAAAAGATAAATAATAATAATAATAAATAATTGTCTCAAAATTATGATATCCTTGATGTAATAAGTTTGACCGTTAGATTTTGGATACCAAGCACTTAGGCCACCAGATGGGCCCGTTGTGCCCCCAGGCCGCTCTAGAGGGCGTCCAGAATGCCGGCCCTCCTATAGAAGTTCAGCAACTCCTTTAGCCCAATACCGTGCACTGAGTCCGGATCGATCAGGGCCGTTCCGAAGACTCCCAATCTTGCCCATGTCAAAGCAGGGCACTCGGTGAGCAGATGGTACGGGGTCTCCTCCCCTCCCCTACACTCCGGGTCGTCCCCAATGCCTAGCAAGCAAAGATGCCTCCTAAGCCTGCAATGTCCTGCGTACACTCCCTTCTGGTCAGTCTAAGCAGCACCCTGGTCCGAGGGAGGGCGGGCCCATCCATCATAAGCCTCGCCTGCCTCAATCCCGGAGCAACTCTCCAGCCCACCGCGGCCCGGTCTCTCGCCCAGGCTGCGAGAGCTCCCCGCCTCACACACGGGGCGATCCCCAAGCGGGGCTCTGGCGAGGAGCCCTCCCTGGCTAAGGCGGCCGCTGCCTCATTGCCCCGGATACCGGTGTGACCCGGGGCCCAGACCAACGTGACCTTCCTCTCCTCAGTACCCCTTTGCACTCCTTTATCAACAAGGAGCGCGTACGCACTGACTTCAGTGCCATAAGTGCAGCCCTACTATCCGAGCAGAAGAAGACCTCCTGCTTCCGTGGTTGAGCCGAAGCACCTCCCTGGCCACAATCAATAAAGCGAAAATTTCCGCCTGAAACACAGTGCAGTATGTTATAGCAAGAAGAGATTTCTCTCAAATACATCCACATCCAAATTTTGAAAAATTTGTGGCCATTTTTGTCAGTTGAATTCGCCAAAACGGTACCACGTATTTGGGACACCCTTTATAAGCTGAGGCGCACCTGTCAAACTGATTGAGATCTCCTTAGTCTGTGGTTAGATTTTCGTTGCAATGCCTGTATCAGTAGCGGCACAACACATAACCTCAATTTCTGCCAAAACTATGCAAAATTCGAGTAGGAATTTCTTAAGAAAGTGATCTTTATTTTAAACAAGGATTCCAAAAATGTCGAAATATACGGGGTGTTTCATTTAAAATAACAAAGTTGATGTCGAGGGCGACATTTTTGGGACACCCTGTATCAAAAAAAAATATTTTAACCAAAACTATTTCGTATCTTCTATGGTTCGTGCGGTGGATCGTTTTATTTGGCACACGGTGTCGTCGAAAAATACACACGCCACCTCCGATCGAACACGCACCGAAATTAAATTCGCCCGGAGCGAAAATAATTGCCGCCCGTTAATCACCATCGCCTTGAAATGCGCGGAGCCGAATTTTATTTTTAAACGCCCGCGCGAGCACGCGTATTTAAAGGAACGCGGACGTAGTGTCGCGCGAGACTTTTGTCTATTTCGGAGCTAGCGTTGGGAATCCTGCGCGCGCCTCTCGTAAAATTGTCCGAAAGCGACAAATGACGGACGACGAGCTTCGAACGTCGGAAAACTTGCGGAAGGACAAGCGCGACTACTTCCGTAGCGTTTTCGGAAAGGTAATCCCACATTGCGTTTCACACGATATCCTATATGTCAATGAAAATTTGGCAACGTTCGCTAAAACGTAGAGTTGGCGTGCGTGTCGTATCACACACTGTGGCTGGACCTTATTTTTTCGATGTTTTAATGTTTTCGACGCACGCTGGGCGCGGTTTTTAACAATACGTATATTAATTTTTCAAAGAAGCTTCCACAGGCTACGGTAATACTTTTTACAAAACAATCATCCTGTTGACTTCTTCCATTAGTAATGAGGCTGAGAGCAATCCTACACTTGCCACTGTGGTCCTTCCTTACATCCGAAATATCACGGACCACATACCAAAAGTTCTAAAGAACCAGATTTACCACTTGTCCAAAAATCTCTCAACATCTTCGGTCCGTCAAAGATAAAATTCCATTTGAGATGAAAGGAGTTTACAGCGTTCCATGCATATGCGGCAAAGAATACATTGGAGAAACTCAAGGAACACGAAAGAGACAAATAAACTCATCAGCTGTTGCCGAACACTATCAAGAGACCGGACATAACATTTTATTCGATGAAACTAAAATTCTTGCATGTAATCAATTCTTCTACCAATGAGTTTTTATATTCGACGTTTTGTTTGAATGGGGGTTTATCGCTGACAATATTTCATCCCTCCGAAAGTTTATTTTTTCCATTTGTGCCTCGATCGTTAGATTTTCAATAACACCCTGTATAAAGACTTATAATTTATTATGAGACTCGCTAATTAGTTTGGAAAGTGATAAATATATAAGGTTGTTCGGAAAGTCATTTCGTTGTTTTCCGTCAGAGGACTTAATTACGTTTTTTCGAAACCAACTTCACACTTAAGCCGCATAACCATTATATGTCTTCAGAGCTGATATTGCAAGGCTTGTATGTGAAAAAGTTCTATTAATTCTACGCAGTAGTTTTTGGTTGGTGCCCTTTTAAATATTGGGAGCAATAAGCAGCATTTTCGTCATATTTTACTTTTTTACTTCAGAAAAGGTAAAAATGCTGTCCAAGCGAGAAAAAAATTGACGGATGTGTATGGGCAAGGCGTGTTAACAGTACGCCAGTGCCAGAACTGGTTTGCAAAATTTCGATCCGGCAATTTTGATGTCGAAGATGCACCACGGTCTGGAAGGCCGGTCGAAGCTGACAAAGATGCGATAAAGGCATTAGTTGATGCAAATCGGCGAATAACCACACGAGAGATCGGTGAGAGATTAAATTTGTCGAATTCGACTGTTTATGGCCATTTGAAAGGCATGGGCTTAACCTCGAAGCTCGATGTGTGGGTGCCCCATGTCCTTACGGAGCGAAATTTGTGCCGTCGCGTTGACGTGTGTGATTCGCTCCTCAAACGTCAAGAAAATGATCCATTTTTGAAGCGGATTATTACTGGGGACGAAAAATGGGTTATATACAACAATGTTAAACGCAAGAGGTCATGGAGCAGAAAAGATGAACCGGCTCAAAGCGTGTCAAAAGCCAACATTCACCAAAAAAAGGTGATGCTCTCCGTTTGGTGGGATGTCAACGGAATCGTTTTTTTGAGCTTTTGCCGGACAATACAACGATTAATTCAGAAGTCTATTGTCATCAACTGGACAAATTGAATGATTCACTTAAAGAGAAGAGGCCCGAATTAATCAACAGGAAGGGTGTAGTGTTCCACCAGGATAATGCGAGACCTCACACAAGTTTGGTCACTCGCCAAAAACTTTTACAGCTTGAATGGGACGTACTGCAACATCCACCATATTCTCCAGATCTGGCGCCTTCCGACTACTATTTGTTCCGGTCCCTGCGAAATTTTTTGGATGGCAAAACCTTTACCTCAAATGAAGATGTCAAAAACCTCCTGAACCAGTTTTTTGCCAACAAGGACCAAAACTTTTATGAGAGGGGAATTGTGTTGGACTAGAATGGCCAATATATAATTTAATAAAATATTTATTCATTATACGAAAACTGTCTTTCATGTTCCCCAAAAAAAACGAAATGGCTTTTCGAACAACCCAATATATACTACCAGTGCAGTTTTGTGAATACCTTTATTAATGACGGAGCCGATTCTAACTATGTCCGACTCGTTATGTCAACGTTTACACTTTTCCCGAGCATCAGAGATGGCGTCGTTTAAGAAACGATCCAAAAAAAAAAAAAATTGTTCACGATCGGCCGATAAGATTAGGGGACCTGATGGGCGCGCGAGTTATCGCCGTGAGTCACGGAGATAACGCTTCCGCGATTTATAGATTCCGATCGAACGCGAACCACGCCAAACTGTTTTTCTCGACGAAATACGACCTCAAAAATGAGCGCCTCGCGGAAACGCGAGTTCTACAAGAGCATCTTCGAAAAGGTATGTTGCAGCTGCCCCGTCATTCGATTCAACACTTCTCTTGCTGTCTATTCCCGTGTCCTCTCCACCACAGAATACTTATAACCTTACGGGAACGATTAAATGAATGGACCAATTTCTAGAAGTGAGACTATTTACGATTATTAGACTGAGAGAAGGTTATAATTTATGCCGTGGTGTATACATACACTAATTTTTTTTTGTTTTTATGGGATAAATAGTTCTTACACACCCCCACAAGACTATAGTTATATGTCAACGTATCGTTATTAAAAATTATCATATCATACTTTGCTGACAGGATGTAGAAAAATAAATAAATTTACAACTAGGAATAAATTTTATTATATTTTAAAAGTGTGTATTATTTGACATACTTTTTATTATATTGTTTTCTTCTGGTACTATAAGGTAAAAAGTTGTAGGAATGGTTTGGTAAAATAAACGTGTTCCACGTTTTAATATGTACTTTTTTTTTCAAAAAGTTAGGCTTTTGTCCAATGAATTTTCTCTGTTACAAGCTCTTGGCCAAGTTAGCCACTTATCGGAATGCCAACTTAAAATTTCCAACTACATTATTTTAAAAACTGAAGCCATATCAAGTAAGTATAATAATAATCATCTGTATTTTATGCCTCTATAAATAATATTCGTAAAATATTAAATAGAAATAATACTAACCAACAATATGATGTGCAAAGTGTGACTGAAGGCAATTTTCAAGAAGATCAATATCCAGCCCTTTAAAAACTTACTTAACTAACTTAATTAAGATATTGTACATATAAACAAGTACAAACGGGTGGAAACATCCTGGAATTAGTTTAAGCAAGGATAACCCAAGGCGTGACGAAGTGCTTTTATTAAAACAGTTAAATAAGAACAAACGTTATTCAGATTTTCACATAAATATAGTTAAATGACAGCTGTTTCGACAACACCGTGCCTTTATCAAATGCAATTGATATATACATATCATTATACTTAACATATACATTGTCTTTGGTAAGTTTACTTCCAACCCCCATTTCTTGTATTCTTCGATCAGTTTTCGCGTCATTATGACTTGGTCATCTGCGAAGCTTAGGGTGTTAAGGGGAATGCCCTTATTTCTGCATTGTTGCTTCGATATCCTTAACCCGTTAGGTTACACGTGTAAATGAAGAACAGGAAAGGAGAAGTAATCGAACCCTGCGGCACACCTTGGTCTATCTCAATTTAATCTGAAAATTACTCCTCTAATTCGACGAATGGGGAGCGCTTGCTAGGGTAAATTCGGAGCAGTGCACTAGATGACTCAGAAAATCTGGGCTTTCATAATTTTTGTCCATAACTTTAGAGACGCACAATAGAATAGTAATTGGTCTGTATTACACTAAATGTACTTTTTTCATACTTTGGGAAACCGAATTAACTTATATGTGTCATAGTCGGACAAACACGATAAGCGCGTCTTCCCCTTTTGATCCCTATAGACAAAGGCTCTGACTCAGACGCAATTGAGGAAATCTTTGGGTCTACAAGTAGATATATAGTGCCGATATAAGCAACAGAAACCGTACATAACCTCAATTTCCTAACCCCCCCGCAGCGGGGGCCCCCCGCGCGTGGCGTCCTAGTGTCCCCCCTGTCTACCAGAGTGCGCTCCGCCCCCCACCCAGCTTGTGTAGCGTCCTGTTTTGCCCCGGTTCCGCCCGTCGCTGCTAGATGTCGCGCGCTTGTGTCGCCAGCTTGGGTAGCGTCCTGTTTTGCCCCGGTTCCGCCCGTCGCTGCTAGATGTCGCGCGCTCCGCGCACATTGAGCTGTATTCATGAATCCCATCATACCAATAGAAGTATTAATTAAGATTTATTATTTTTTACCAATAACTCCTATCAACCAAAATAAATAATAGATATACACAAGTCACTCTAAAAATTGCTTGTAGGTAGTAGATAACAAAACCTTACAGATGTGTACGTTTTGGTTTTGACAAGTTTTTACATTATAAAATGGCCACCGCTTTCTGCAATTTGGATCTATCGAACAGCAGAGGGCGCTGGTCGCGAGGTGATTTTTAACCATACCAATCGGTAGTCGTCACCCACGGAAACTAAGTACGTGTCAATTTAACAATGAACATGGATAAAAATAATACCAAACGTTTTTTGAAATACTATGAAATGTACCCTTGCTTATGAAACCCCGGCTCTTAAGTATATTATCCCAGAAACGCGTCTTTCCACATCAGTTGAAGAACTTAAATGAAGGATTTTCAATCGTGTAAATGGAGAAGCTATGTGGCTTTGGCAAGGCGTTATCGAATCAACTTGCGGCAACTATGCTCCTTGTGTAACGGCCACGTCCATATCTTATCCAGAGATAAGCGCTATCTGTTACGCGATCTTCATTATTGTCTATGCACCTCGATTTTACTACGACGCCCGTCTACCACCACGTAAGTCTTTCGCTTAGTTCGACAGGGATGGAAGCGGCACTATCGAGTTCGGCGAGTTGCGCGAGATGCTGAAGAGCGACGACGAGGTGCCGCGGAAAATCGTCAAGAAAGTGTTCAAGATATCCGATAGGGACGACGACGGCCGCATCGACCTCGACGAGTTCATCGCCATGGTCGAAAACGAAAAGTTCGAGGGCCTGTTTCGAGGTTACCTGAAAAAGTGAGGAGGTCACCGTACTAGTCCGAAGCGTCGACTGAGCGTTTTACGTTGCAGCTACGTCAATTTTATTGTACCCCGTCATCGGCGTCGCGGTGGCGCCCCCCGACTCCTTAAACCGAGAGGTAGGAGCGCCCTCTCAACGACGAACACCACGTACGACGCGGAAGAGGGATTCTCGGAGGAGGAAGGCGCCTACGAGCAAAACTACTCGTGTTGCCCACCTCCGGTAGCGCTGGTCGTCATATCGGCGGTCGAGATCGCTTGCTTCTTGGTGGACGAGCTGAGCGAGCCCGGCTCCACCTCCGCCGGCAACGGCGTCACCGCCAAGATGTTCGTCTACGATCCGTTCAAGCGGAACGAATGTTGGCGGTTCCTCACGTACATGTTCGTGCACATCGGGTAAGGAGACGCGAATCTGTAGCGTTAATATGAGGAGTTTCGTTAATAACGAGAATCGGAACACTGATTAACTTTGGTTAGTTCGTGGAGGAATTTTTACTGTGATCTCCAAATGACGCACGGCCGCGCAGCGTTGCCAAAGCTGTTATATTTCTTTGATTTAAGAAGAAATAACTCCAAACTGAATTGAACTACTTTTTGTCTATTTAAGCGACGCTGTATCTCTTACGGTTGCCAATATCACCATGTACACATCATCTTATACTGGTCACCGTGGATTAGAAAAGACAATACATTTTTAATGAAATTTTTACAAAGTGTAGATTAGGATTTAGGCGCGGATAACGATATTAAAAGTGATTCGTTTATTTATTTATTTATACTGAACCACAAAATTAAAATTAAGTTGAAAATACAGTTCGTAATTTCTCAATATAAAAATAATTGAAGATCAAGATTGAAGAAGTGAACATATTGTTGAGCACTCGTTTGACGTATATAGCTACTAGCTATATAAGATATAGCTAGTATGTACTGACTATGATTCCAGTACAATTTTGAAGTCAGCATTAAAAAATGTGAGACACAATACGCGCATGCGCGAGTCATTTCAAGACTCACTTTTAACCAATATAGTCAAATGGAGGGTTTTGAACTGGGATGTGGATTTTTCGGCAAGTGTCTTGTGAAAATTAAAAAAAAAAGGTAGAATAGGAGAATAATTTTTGGTATATCGCGAAAATGCTTGTCATTAAAGGCACCTTATGAGACTTGACTTAACAAAGTTCAGTGCGTAATTTTGATATGGACTCATCATTGCATTTTGATTCCCTGGAAATATGAAGAAACTCATTGCTGTACCTAAAACATGATTTTCTGTTGTGATGTATTATGACCAAAGAGACGATTAAGAAGCTTTATAGTGAACAATTTGTCATTAAATATAAAAACAAAATTAATCCCAAACAACAAGCGCAGGATGTGGCTTTACGAATTAGCCTGAAAAAGCCGTTAAGATGCCACTGGCCAACTTTAGATGACCTTATGAAAAATCTTGAGCACGCTTATCATATCTAGATCGAGGCTTTGATATTTTGGTAGTGGCGCACAGTGCTCCACGCCATGGACAAAGTTAGAGATTTTCACTTTTCTCTAAAGCCCTCATAATATTATTTCTTCATAAAGCAGTGACCGAAATTAAAAAAAACTGACGGAATCTTTATTGCAATCAAGTCGCCTTGTTTCAATTAAGAGTCAATGTGGAGGCAACTGTGTAAAAAGTTAAAAAATGTTTCAAATTATTTTTTTAATTAAGTAATTAATAGGTCGAATTTAAACTTAATTTACTAGGTCAGTTCTGTAGATTTGTGTTGTATTCAATTCGATTTAATTAAATTTTTGGCAAAACTATGTTTTTTTTTCCATTTTCCTTATGCCGCGGAGCACCGTGCGGCCTGTAACGTATACTTCGACCAGAAATATAGTGCTTTTACAACCGACCCCGTGATTAACTTTGTCTACCGTTTATTACCCCAAAACCGGAGCCCCTGAATGATAGTAGGCATTACCCAACACAATAACAGTATAAAAAAATCAAGTTTCTACAAATATTCGTTATGGTCCATCCCAGGAAAGACCCACTTAATGCAGGGGATGGGTTTTACCACGGTCCTGCGAAGGCCTGCGCTTAAAATACTGTAAAATACTCAAAACGTCAAAGTAATAAATGCACTATATTTTTGGTCGTATTATACCATATCAAATTCGAATGTGGTCAATTTGCAGACGACAGTGGCGCGCTCGTTTTCAGATACACCCATCTGACGGTGAACTTGATCGTCCAAATATTGCTCGGCGTGCCGCTCGAGATGGTGAACCAGTGGTGGCGCGTGTTGGCTGTTTACTTCGCGGGCGTCGTGGCCGGGTCCCTCGTCACTTCGATCACGGACCCCACGTGTTACTTGGCAGGCGCCAGCGGCGGCGTTTACGCTATAATAACAGCACACGTCTCCAACATTATAATGGCGAGTTTGACGCGAAGGAAGTAAACATTTTAACTGTTATATTTTTTTTTGTCAGAACTTCAACGAGATGAGCTTCCCCGTCATACAACTGAGCATCCTGGTGATTCTGATAATCGCGGATGTCGGTACGGCGATCCACAATCGTTACTACTTGAAGATCGACCAGAATATCGGTTACGCGGCTCACCTGGGTGGTGCTATGGCCGGTTTTCTGGTGGGCATCTGGGTGCTCAAAAACGTCGAGCCCACCGACAAGGAGAGGTATCTTTGGTGGGCCGCGTTCGTCTTTTACGTGCTACTGATGGCCACGGCCGTGATACTGAACGTCGCCTGGACCGACCATTTTCCCTGACCGCTTCTCTCTCTATATATGCGTCACAGAAGCGCGTCGTCGCCTTGCAGCAGAACATGCACACTATTTTTTACGTTGTTTACATATGTAATTATTAATTGTTAATATACACCTTAATAAAACCGATTACGTTAGTAAAATACTTGTTTTGACGTCAGCCGCATGACGGACGAGCGACCTCTATCGGTAGCTTCGACCATTAATGCTAATTCAATAACAATAATTGTAAATATCGCAACTGCTGACTTCTGTCATAATTAATTAATAATTGAAAAATACCGATTGACAAAAAGTAATTGTTCAGCTTTAGATTTAGGTTAGGTTACACATGCTATTTACATATAAAGTATAGAAAAACATGTCGGAAAATATGACATATTATAAGTATTATTCTTTAATGATTTTGTTTTAGTAACAACTAAAACAAAATCAAATATATGGTGTATTGAAATTTCTTCATTTTTTCGCAATATTAAAAAATATATATTACGTTAGCCATAGAATAATGTTATACAAAATGTTTTCATAAATACCTTTAGAATCTAAATATAAAGTAATAAATCTTTAATAAAAAGCATTACTTCGCTTTCTATCACATTTATGGGACATGTTGTCAGATCATGCGTCTTTCTAATGTTTTTTTTTCTACAGCCAAAAGTTTCCAAGAACTACTGCGGATAACTATTGGAATACCCTGTATATATGGTGCACACTGTATATATGGTGTACACTCAAAAGATGTTAAATATCTTTCTTAAAAAAAAAACATCAATCAATGAAAATTTGATTATGTGTGGTAGTGGTTACAAACAGCGTTTGCCATGGAGAAACCCGCCTTTTTTGTTCGGATGGGCTTTTAAAAACAAGCAACTGTTATTTAGTGATTAGAACATGTACACTCTTTTTTTGACGTTGTTTACGTCTTTGATTATAAATTGTTGATATACACCTTAATAAAAGCGATTGTGAGTAAAATTTTTGTTTTAACGTGCATCGATATCGACCGTCAAACGTCAGCCGCAGTTGCCTGACGGACGAGCGACCTCTATCGGGAGCTTTCGCGTGATACTTGCCGACCATTCATGCTGATTCATTATTAATAATTAACATATCAATATTGCAACTGTGAACTCCTGTGATAATTAATCTCTAATCTTAATATCTTGAATAATTATGATTTTATCGTTACAAATGCTATTTGCATGTAAAGTATAGAAAAATATCTCGGAAAATATGACATATTATATTATATATTATTATTTTTAATGACAAGAAGCATTTGATCTTGAGAACAATCAATTTAAAAAAAAATGATATTCCATTTTGAAAAGTTGAGATATGATGTATTGAATTTTTTTTATTTTTTTCCCAACATTTGCAAAGCGCTGACTAGATGTTATTAAGTGGCAAAAAGCAAATATTTAAAAAACTATAACGTTTAGTCATAGAACAATGTTATAGAAAAATTCTCTATAAATAACGGTTGAATCGAAATACGGGGCTTCCGTAATAATAAACCTAACTACCACATTTATGAGACATCCTGTATACAATATCATTTTAGATCAAGCGTCTGATACACTTGCGTGAAAAATACCAACAAATCTTTCTTCGCTCTCGCCAACGGTTTTAAAGATAACTATTGGGACACCCTGTATATGATATGGTGAACTATTGCACACTAATGGTCATACAAGGAGCTCTGGAAAAGTCGCTAAATTTTACTCAGCGTCCAATTAATTATGGCGGATCATTTTTAAGAAATTTTGGTTACCTGTATGTCTTGCACGTAGTGTGTAATTATGAAAAGATACGATAGAAATGTGGAATATATCTCTGGAAATTTGATTCGGTGCGGCAATGGTTACAATCGCGTAGGAGCTCAGGGGTAGCATCGATTCATAGTGGGGCGGCCTTTAGAACAGTGGGAAAACTGGCCTTTTTTGTTCGGATGGTCTTTTAAAAACAAACGACAGTTAATTAGTGATTAAATTTTATTGGACCCACGACGGGGATATATTTACAAATTAACATACAAAATGATAAGTGCCTCGCCTCCAAATAAGTAGCTGCACATTTTTCTGGCATTAAATTACGTATTTTATGCTCCCCTTCCTGGAGGGGTGACTTAAGTTATACATGTTATACAAAAATATATATACGGACTCTATTCTTTTTTGTTTTTTTTTTTTTACAATTCGCAGCCGAGGAGTATTATTGTCGTTACGCACGAAAATAGGCACGGGCGTTCGTGTACTATTTCTGAAGGGTCAACAAATTGACGTCGGCCTCCGCGTCCGAGCTCGATGCGTACGTGAAGCTGTGCTCCTCGTCGTAGTCCTCGTCGTAGTACGGTCTCGTCACCATTTTTGCTGCGCACGTCGAAAATAAAATTATCCCCCCCACTCCCGCTCCCAAATCGGCCACTCACGTTTCATCGGCCGAGTAAACAGATCTGTCTCCTTCGACTCGTCCAAGTCGCGGAAGTCCTCGTAGAATCCGTGCTGCGATAAGGGGCCGTAGTCGCCGCGTCCCCGTTTGTAAACGACGAAACAAAATATGCCCAGACCGAGTAGGCCGGCCAGGATGAACCCTGCGCAGAAATGAACATACAACCCCCTTGCAATCGATCAACTAACAGAATTTGTATCAAGAGGTTTTAATTAAAATTAATTAAAATTAAAATGGTCCAAGTCATGGAAATGCCATTTTATCTCCACAACCAAACTAACGGTAACTAATTCCCTAATTGAAAGACAAAGACAAAATTTCGGATCACAAATTGTTTTTTGCGGATGTTGAGTTGAGTGCGCGGAGAGATCGAGTGGAGCCAATTAGGTAGAGAGACTTGAAAAATGTAGATATAATTCCCTAAAATCTATACCTTGGCGGAATATGTTTGACTTAAATTCTATTGATGACAAAGTATCTTTCTTTAATGAAAATATGAACATTCTGCTGGATGCAGTCACCTTTACCTTGGATCACAGAAAATACTATGTTTCTAATAAAATTAAGAAATAAAGCGAAATTTAAGTACAAAAATGAAAAAACACCTGAAAATCAGGCCCGTTATAGAGAGCTCAGAAATTTTACTAACAAAGTGATCCACTGCGAGAAAAAAGCATATATAGAATATTCTTTAACGACGAAAAAGTATTTTGGAAATCTATAAAAAATTTAAATGTAATAAAAAGTACAAACAACACCGGAAAAATGATTCCTGACCAACTGTCAGATCCAGATTTAATAAACAAATCTTTCATTTCAAATCAAGGTCGCCAATGATCGGCTACTATAAGAACTCTCCTTATCCGCAAGATAAATTTCTTTCTCTTTGGAAAGTAGCAAATGTCGTCCCTATTCCTAAGATTGACAAGCCGCAGTCGTTTAGGGACTTAAGGCCCATTTCCATTCTGCCAATATTATCCAATAGAACGTGTCCTGAAAAGCCAAATAACAAATTATGTTGAAAAGGAGAAACTAATTGACAAAACACAAGCCGGTTTTAGGAGGGGGCACAGTTGTGCTACAGCGCTTCTTAATGTGACGGATGACATCATCAGTCACCATTAGTCACAATATTCTACTCACTATTCTTAAATACTTAGGTTTTGGGGAGGCATCCGTAAATTTAATTAAAAACTACTTAACAGGGAGAAAGCAAGAGGCGGTCCTGAACGGCGTCGAGTCTGCTTGCCTAGACATAAGAAGTGGAGTTCCTCAAGGTTCAATTTTAGCTCCTGTTCTGTTTATTATTTTCACAACAAAATTCTTAGATTATCTCAAACATTGCAAAGGACAATCTCTAGATTGCAGCTTGAGTGCCAAAATATCAACAGTGACCTTGAACGAATTGACAGAATTTCCAGAGATCATGGTTTGCTTTTAAACCCAAAAAAATCTTCCGTAATGTTTTTTGGTCGGCCGGTGGATGTTAAGCGTCTTGCTTCTGGAGTAATCATAAAAATAAACAATATTACTCTTCCTCTTCAAAACGAGGCAAAAAAATTGTTGCACTCTTGCCTTTTCTTGTAATTTTTCTTGTCGAAATTACCTGAATAAAGTATATTATTATTATTATAAAGAATGGTTTGTGTCTCCTTTGGCCATAATATCTTGGTGACGAAGCAACACTTCAATTCACCACAAAATTATGCATCAATAACTTAGGGAACAATAGAAGACGACCCAACAGAATGCAGAGTAAGCTTTCAAAATTTGCGAAGAAATGTCTTCTATTCCGTTAGCTGTCTATCATGGATAGCGGCTCATTCTCAACCCTCCGCTTCAATATTCAGGCTAAAGTTATTGCGATATTACTGCTGTAGGAATAAGTTTATGTCCAAGACACAATGATGTGCGTGGTGCATCCCAACTACTAACTATTGTGGAACAATATTACTGGGAGAAAATATTCTTCCTCCAACAAAAAAGAATCTCTGAATGGAGACAGAATTATATAGTACAGATAGGGTGGTGTCCGGAATTTGTACAATAAAATACCAAGGCAAGGAATTTATATCTATTAAACATGGTCAACCAGTATCACCTTCTGAGCTATGGTTTTGTAGTAATTTTTGTATATGAAACCTCTCAATATTGTTCAAACAAGGCATAAAAGAACTGATGCAGTGATTAATTTGAGATAAAACTAGTGTGTCCAAAGAAGCTTCTTAGTGTCTAAGACCCAAATTCTTGCAGCTGCTAAATAAGGGAAGAACCAATGGATTAATAAGAAATTGTGCGCAGTTTTTAATATAACCCGCTTGACCTTCACTAATACCACCGGTGATTTGTTATTGATAAGCTCTAACATATGATCGGTTGTGCAGTTATACTGGTGAAAATCAAAAATAGTAGAGTACTCAAGAGGCCTTGAGGCACTCTAACAGGCAATGCAGTCGTTTTTGTTTTTCGTAAGTACTTCAATTCTGAATGAAATGAAAAATGAATATAGTTACTTACTACAGGGGACTCTATTTGTTTCCAAAATAAATATTTGGCATAAATGTAAAATGCTTATTCCGTAATAAATCAAGGTAAACTAAACTAACATCACCTTAACCGCAGAATAACCTATAACAAACCTGTCAGGGTGACGAAGGCCAGCCTCGGAACGCCGAAGAAGGTGTTGTTCTTGCGCAGCGTGAAAACCGCCACCTGGGGCCCGACGCCGTCGGGGACGGCGACGATTTTCACGTCGCCAAAGTATCCGCGGGCGTCGACCTCCACGGTGTACGTCCCCGGGTGCAGCGCCACGCCGAATTTGCCGTCCGCGTCCGAGTACCCAGTAACGTTGACCTCGACAACGTGCAGCTTCGCGGCCTCCACAGGGTGATCCAGTCCGTCTCTGACGTAACCTCTTATACCGGTGTGGACGTCGCCGGCGAAAGGCTCGTGCACCGAAACGTCGGCGACGACGGCCACCTTCGCGTCCGCCGGCGACATCGTCACCGTGACCGGCGTCAGGGCGCCGTCCGCGACGGTGACGGCGATCAGACGCTTTCCGTAATCTTGACAACTGACCTCGAGGTGGTACTTACCGGGCGGCGCCATAATCTTAAAACTCGCCCGGGTCTTCGTCACCTCGTGCACCGTCTCCGACCCCACAAGCCTAACGGACGCGTTGGTCAGCGGAACGGTCCGCAGGTCAGTGACGGTGCCTTCGACGCCTGTGAAAACAAGTTGATTTCGTGAGACCATTGACCGATGGTATTCTCCGCCCGATTCATAGGTTCTTCTATAATTTAAATTTCTGTTTGCTAACGGTTTCTGGCAAATATATGTTGGAAGTGTTTTCGGAGAGCGAGCAATGAAGATGCCAAGTGAGATCTTGACGAAACGTCTGCAACAAAGTTCGCAGAATGTCCAATTTTTTTCCGCGTTTTTGAATTCGAATCATTCTACGTTGGATTGGAAGGCTTTTCTCTTTTTTAAATTTTTACTTAGCTTTTGAAAATTGTGTCTAGGAGATTTTCAAAATATTGTGTTCAATTATCCCAAAAAGTGACAGATTTGAAAAGAAAAAATATATGTAAAAAGAGCTTGTAGCTTATGACGTACGTATCTATACAATACTTGCATTAGTTTTCGACTATATCCCCGTATTCCAAAAGCACGTCAACTTTTTACCATAATAAAACTCTTTCAACAAAAAATTTTAATCGTTGAATCTCAAGAGCAACTCTTCAATGAATTTTATTATTATTTTTTTAATATTCATCTTCTTTTTTTATTTCCACCGCATGAGGTTATTGAGAGTTTCTTCAGCGACCTAAGTAACATTTTGTTTTTAAAAAAACGCATTTACTTATCGGGTTTTTTCCTTTCCGTGAGCTTATTTTTTAACGGATTTTGAGATTTTTTTTTTTTTAGTTTTTGTCCTCACTAGGGTGCTACTTGAAAAAACTAATAATAGTTCATTGCATTAACCAAGTTTATATCTTTATATTATATCTTTCGAATACTAACACTAATTCTAATAAATGTCACTTAAAAAATATTTTTTATCATAATTTTTTAAATTTGTATGATTAAAATTTGTAAAATTCACATACAAAACGTACGTTATTTACAAGGTGTACAATACTTTTTAGAAAACTTCTCGATTCCTCCTGCGTCGGTTTTTGCCGGGTCGAACTTGCTGACGTTTCGCCAAACATCCTGTTGGCTTCTTCAGAGCTCGACTGAAACTGAAGAAGCCAACAGGATGATTGACGAAACGTCAGCAAGTTCGACTCGGCAAAAAACTCCAAGTTTGTTTGATTTTCAAAGTAAAAATCAAAAATAGCTTACAAACTGACCGCCAATGCTCGGCCTGCCATTAGAACGGAGGAAGGATTAGGAGAAAATACAGAGAACAGAGAAAAAAGGAAAATTTTGTTTCAGTACTAAGCGACACGCCCTTACCAGTTCCGGTGGCGTTCAACACGGCCATTAGCGGGTCCAGCACGTCTCGCCACACGTAAGGAATGTTCTCGACAGCGGGATACTCGCAGCAGCTAACTTTGACCGTAATCATGGGAGTGGCGTACTCGTGGAACAGGAAGTCGGTCAGAATGGCGTCGGCGCTCGCCCCCTTGCGGGATTGACCGCACGACAACGGCACCCTCACCTTCGAGCGGTAAACGTCCGCCAGATGTCGGTAGGTCTGCGTCTGGTCCTTGGCGTACGGATATCTGCGAAACAAAATCCGACTGGGGCGTGGTTCTTTTTTCTCGCGCCGAGCGTCACCGACATTATTTCGCCGTCGCCGCCCTCGATATTCAGAACCAGGTCGAAGCGTTCCTCGAGCAGCATGTGCTTGAACGCGTTGGCGGCCGCGACGGTCTCCTTGTTGCTCGTCACGCGGTTCCCGCCGACGTTGAGTAGCTGATCGCCGACCTGCTTGAAGTCGGCGGATATGTCGTTGCAAACGGGGCCGTCAGGGCGGGAGAAGCCACCGGCTTCGCGGTCGTACTCGCCCCGGATGCGTTCGAACGCCCTGTCGACGACGGGCACGACGTGAATGACGCAATCGGACAGGATTCGGGTTATGGTGGGGTCTCCGACGGCGAAACCGCCCAGAAGGTGGCGCGCCAGGTAGACGGCGATTTCCCTGCCCGTCGGCTGGGTGGCGAACAAGTTCCCGACGATCGCCACGTGGAATTTCGTCTCGTCGGAAGTGTCGATCTGTAGAGCGTTCATAAGAAACGTTTGCCTTTATATGTTTTTATTGCTTCATAAGAGAACCCTTATGGGGGTTACTTTATTTATAAAACTTCTGGTGCCGGTAACTTCAGGTTTTTTAGGATTCATGACGTTCTCAAAAACCTTATTATAAAACATTTTCTCTTGGGGTTGTACAGCTCACTCCCTTAAAATCCTTACATATTTTAAATGTTTAATAATTGTTATCTTATAGACACCACAAACTAAGAAAACGAGTACTATTTTGCGAAATGCATCTAAAACAGGACAAAAAAACCTAAAATTTAGACTTTTTTTATCTTTCTGGTAAAATTTCCGAGGCTTATTTTGTTCCATCGCCACCTGTACCCTGAATTCGCATGATTATATGGTTTGAATTATATTAAAAGTCTTATTTAGCAATAAATAAACAACTACAAAGTGAGGTTATGATTAGTTTTATAAAAATTTCGAAGGCCCAAAGGTCGAAGGTCCATGTAAAACAAAAAAAATAAATTAAAAAGCGAACCGTGGACATATCAAACAAACAAACAAAATACGTTTTGCATTTTAATTGAAAAAAATTTTTCTTCACAAGACAATTTTAAGATTTTTACCAAAACTACGTGCTAAAAAACAAAGGGCGCTGCAGTTTTAGAGTAAAATATAAAATTTCTCGTGCTACATAAAATTAAGCAGTAGTAGGAAGTTTCTATAACTTTAGATTTATAATATTGAGCAAGACATTTTCATAATATCGAAGTAAAAAGCGATTACTGTCAACTTTAGAGTAAAAGCAAAATACAATGACAACATGAAATAAAACATATCGTAAACTAAAGATATAGAAAAAAAAGCGCATTTCCTTTGGTATTTATAAACCCTGTATTTAGGCTTTATAGCAGCAACGAACATGTATTCCTTACCTTTATTAAAACAGTTTATGATCTGGAACGTCTAGCAAAGAAAAATCCAAACGAGGTAGGTCTGCAGTTAGACCTTCATAAAAATTTATCAAAGTTAGATACCGGAGTATGTCGTAAAAACGCTATATCGTTTGGAGAACTATACCTTTATAAGATTCTTCATTTGACGGCTTTAAGGGTTCTATAAGAACAAAAAAAACTTTGCCCGAACAAGTGAGAGGGTCTCAGGTTTTATGAAATAGGTAATCGAGACGTACAGTTATAAAACAAGGAATGTTAATTGGTAGCCCACCTCACGGGTAATCTTCAGCCAGTGTATGGCCATGGAGACTAGGTCGTCGCCGCCGTGGAATTCGGCCACGGCAGGAAACTTGTTCTCCAGCTCGCCGAGGATCCCATAAATCTCCGAGTTGGAGTGGTAGACGGGATGGAACTGGTTCTTGTCGATGCCGAAGTCGTACGCACTCGCCCAGTGCTGGGGGTCGTCCTTCATTAAATTTGGACTGAACTCGAGCGATCCGGACTCTGGGACCGTCTAGAACGGCGAAGTCAAGTGTGTTCCAGATTTTAAAAATACTTATAAATAACAAGTCGAGACAAACTACTTTTTGCTCATCTTTTATCGAAATAGAAAAAAAATGGTCATGTGAATAATTAACAAATAATTAATATTTATATGTTTTCTCTTCTTCCGTCTTTCTTTTTTTCTACAAGGGGGCTGTAGATTTACAGAAACGCCTCGAAACATTTTATCATCAAAGAAATTTTAGAAATTCCAAAGAGGTTCAAAATTTACTAAAGCCAGCAAAGTAATAGAATTTATACAATCAAAACACAAAAGAAACTCCCTCATTCAAATAAAACTAAATTGTATGTTACGTTTTGTTATGTTTCTTCCATAGTTTTCGTGATTGCGATGTTGCGATATGCGATATCGCATAAAAACTAAATATGCACGGTGTTGCCAAGTCTATAATTTTTTTTCTTAGAATTCCGAAAGCCCCATTTTATATGAGAAGAATATATTTTTGAAATTGCGATAATTTACAACTTATATAAAAACGCATTTTTTTCATTTATAATAAGAAACTTCAGACCTCTGGGGGGAAGACTATGAACTTGGCATTATTGCCCATACAATTATTAGTTATGGCATCCAGCATACTTAAAAACTGCATTAAATATTTAGCTGTTGTGCGTACGTAAAATTGAGTTTCGGTTTGTGGTAAAACGCGTTATTGTGTGTTGTTAGTACAGTGCCGGAGGTTCCAGTCGAGAATGCATTATTTGCTTTTAATATAACTTCACTATGCGCTACGAAACTCACGATCTCCGCGGTGTAGGTCTCGTAACCCCTGGCGGCGAACGTAACGTTGTACTTGCCGGGCAGCAGGATGCGCCAGTAGTCGCCGTCTTTGGCCGTCTTCACCGTATGATCGATGCCCTCGACAGCGATCTCCGCGTGCGCGATCCGTGTGCCGATCGTGCTGCTAACGAACCCGTGGACGCCTTTGTGAACCTGTTCGGCGAACGCGAGCAACGCGTCCCGATTGTCGAGCCAGTACCGCGGCAGGTCTTTCGCGTACGGGTACTTGTAGCAGCCGATCTCGAGGGTCAGCTCCATGCAGCCGGCCACCAGGTAGTTCCAATCTTGCATGCCGCCCGTTACCTGGTACCACCTCGCGCCGTTGGTGATGCCGCCGTCGAAACGCTCGTCGGGGAACATGGGACAGGGCGTGCCCTCGTGCATGGAGCGGTGCGCCTGGAAGCAAAGCGCGATCGGTGGGCGTGGTGGAGGTGAAGGCGACGTCTCACGTTCGCGTACGTCGAGGCCAGGTACTTGAAGACGGCGTCGTCGGGTGCGGGGTTCGGGTCGTGGTCGGTGGCGCCGCCGAAGCCCCGCCTACTGTCGTCGAATGGGTAGTTGGCGACGAGTGCGCCGTTGTGGAGATTTGCGGACAGGACGAAGGGCTCGGACGCGATCCACCTCATGACGTATTGGGTTTCCGGTTCCAAGAACCGGTTGAATTGGTTGACGCCGTACTGGTCCGGGAAGTTCCGATTCAAGTCGACGTTGGCGGCGTTGTTTCGACCCCGCCCGCTAGACGGGTCACCTGGGGAAATAACGGCAGGTAGAAACCGTAAGCTGCGATCGTGTGACGTCGCGCCCACCTTCCTGGGACATTTCGTAACCATCGGGGTTCATGCTGGGCATGAGGTGGATTCGGGTGGTGTCGAGCAGTCGCGTCACCCTCGCGTCGGTCCCGTACCGTTCGCACAGGTATTTGATGAGGTAAAGGAGCAGTTCCCTGCCAACCGCCTCGTTGCCGTGCATGTTGGCGACGTATTTGAACTCGGGTTTGCCTCGAACGCGTCAAATTTACTTTATTAACCGAATCGCGAAGACTTTTTGAGATTTCGGCGAATTTTAACCTAACCGCCCATTGCCACCAAACTACCTCTAACGTTGAAAAAACCAGGGAACAACTGTTTTAGTCTACGTACATTTTTAATTGGCGCCGGATTTTTTTTTAGTAAACCAGGAGTTAACAAATTAAAAACATCCTTGCATTTTGTTGTACAATTAAAACGCATTTTGTCATTTGTAGAACTTTTTTTTTTTGCTTAAACTATGCGTATCTAAAGTTATGTGTGTTATAATTCGCTAGAAGTCAAGGTCCGCAATTAACACCGGCTATGAGAAAGATATATTGGTACTTTTCATCGTATATTATGGAATAAGTTCCATAAACGCCACTTTAGTCACGATTAGAGTCAGTATGTAACAATCGAGTGACTGAAGAATATCAGCATGTTGCATATATGTAAAGCAGCACAAATACATTCACTGAATGATGTATGACGTCAAAGTGAGAACTGAAAAACATTACAATACCATTAGTGGCGAAAACCCCAGTGTCCAAAGAACGAGACACAAGCAGATGACTTAAAGTGATATTTAAATCGTATATGTGGGACGCAGAGCAGCAAACGTGTTAAGGGAAATGAAACTGTCAGTTTGATTAAGTGATAATAATCAAAAAATTGTTTTCTCATATAGTTTTGACGCAAATTTGGGGTTGAAATAGGTGTAGGTATTAACTAGAATGATTCAGAGATTACATTAGTACTCTAACAAACGAAACTCTCTCCTAACCTTCATTTGCATGTCACCTACAGTGACCCTAAATATGTTGGTTGCATTGACCGTATACATATTTTAATACAGATTCCTAGACACCCGTACTCACCTTTTGCATTTTTTGAATAAAAAAAAAACGTTATTATATTACGTTACGTTAAGTTCCATATTTAAGTAACTAACCAAACTAGACCATGCCTGTGCGCACAATAGCCACATGTAACCATTTATCAACTAGGGTGTCCCGAAGATATAATTTTTGCAACTTAAGCGATGGTAAAAAATCATTTTCTGTGCCGCAAAACCGCGACTACCTACCGGGTGTGTGATGGAAGGGGGTGTTGCTCAGGACAAAGACGTACAATTCCCGGCCCTGGACGGATTTTCCGATGGAATGCAAGTGGGTAATATTCGGGTAGGTACTGTTGTAGTATTTGAGGAAGTCTACCATCTCGTCATAGTGATGGTGGTGGAACAATTGCGCGTCTGGGATCATGAAGCCGTACTGATCGTACATGGACGAGTTCGACTCTAGCACTTCCGCGTAACTCCCTGAAAAAACCGCGCAATCCTGCCGTATTTCTCTCGCAAGGGTATGTTTTTTTTTTTGCTCCATTTCGCAAAATGTTAAGGCACAAATTCGATTTATCCGGGAAAAAGGAAAGGAGAGAAAAATACACATGTTTATTCATCGTTTTATTTATACACATATGTGAACTACAAATCGTACAAAATTGCGGAATCCGGCACATACAACCAATCAATCACATTTAGCCAAAAAAATAAAATAAAAAAATAAATAAACATATGTATTTTAAATACAAAAATTTCAATTAAAAAATATGCCACAACCCGCTGGAAGAATACGAAGAAAGAGACGTAACGCAGTTACTGAATACGCTCGTGGGAGATGATTAAGCAAACCTGCTGTTTGGTTAATGTTTTCAGGGGAAGAATATAATTATTTTATATATATGTAAATATCACATAATTATTGCTGCGCTCATGGAACCCAGGTGAATTTGATCAGGTCCACGGGAAATGTATAGAAAAAAAGGGCCCATATTATGGCCAAAGGGGGATATTAACGTTTTATAGCAAGCAATATGGGGCGGGTCAAATTTCACATTGTTCTAATTGGCTTCAAACTCTATAGAGGGCACCTATGAGATCCCAAAAATATTTTATCTATTAAAAACTAATTAATCAAGAACCACGAAAAAAATGGCTCCATTTTATGGGTTATTTTACAGATAATTAACTTTTTATAGTAGTCTAGAAGTCTAGGGTGAAATTTTATATTGTTGTATAAGTCTGTAGAGGGCGCTTAAGAGATTCCAAAAATATTATTTTTCGTTACAAACTAATTAATCAATAACGGAGCAGAGAACAATTTTTTCTTAGTTAGCTTAATATTAATTTAAGGATGAACTATTAGTCGCCCCAATACCACCGCTCGGGAGAAGCTTTGTTACCTTGCGCGGAGGGCTGAAATGACAAAGTAAAGTTCCGGACGGCGGTCTCCCCCTCCCGAACGACTACCTCGACTGTCTCCGACGGGAGGTACCTGAAGAAAAACAGTCCGAGTTCCGCCCGCCCCCCGTTTCGCACTCTACGCAAAAGCCTTACCCGTACGCGGCGGCGTAAATTTCATACTTTCCGGGGAGCAGCAGTCTCCAATATTCGCCCCTGTTCGAGGTGGTCACGTTATGCCCGACCCCCACCACCACGACGTCGGCGTCCAGGACGGGATCGCCCCGTTCGTTTACAACCAAGCCTTGAAACAGAGTCGGCATATATTTTCACCAGGCAATCCGACAATTACCTTTAACGCCCCAGTGGGCAGCCTCGATGAATCTTAAAAGGGCCTCCTTGTTGTTGCGCCACTCTTCCGGCAGGGTACCGGCTGGCGGAAACTTGCAACAACTCAGCTCGAACGTCACTTCGAAGCAGTTCGAATGTACGTAATTAAAGTCCTGCATGCCACCTAAATAACGATTACCAAAAGTGGAGGTGAGTCGACACGCAATGCGCTCAAAGACATGAAAAACTGAGAAGTTGCCCGTTTTATATATAAGAAAGGAATTTTTGTTTTGTGATATTTTATTGTTCTTAGAATTTACAAACAAAATCACATGTTTTAACTCATTTCTAGCAAAAGAATATAAAGGTAATAATCATGAGCAAGAGCACAGGCTTGGCATTCCAGTTTAGTTAGTTTCCCTGCAGATAACTGACCAACCTTACTAGATGGTCTCGCATAAATAGGAAAATTTAACATCGACTATAAATATGTCTCAAAAATAACTAGCCATTTGGTAGCCGTTTTTTAGTAGAGTAGAAAATCTCTGACTTACCCCGGACCTCATACCAAAACGCGCCATTAGTAATGCCTTTGTCAAAATGGTCATTTTTGCATGTTTCACCAGTCTTCATCAGAGGATGATTTTGAGCATATGTCAAGGCGAGCTCTTTGAACAACTCGTCGTCTGGCGATTTGCTCTCCTTGCAACAGGTTACGCCAAAACTGAAAAAAGAACGCTTTCCCTTGTTCTTTAATTGATAATTTTTCCTTTCTTTTACTTGGAATCATCATAGGGATAACTGGCGACTACAGCTCCTCCGTGCAAATTTCCCGATAACACGAAGGGCCGCGACAGGATCCATGTCATCATGGCTACAGTTTCGGGCTGCCTCGCAGATAAAATGGTACCTAACACAACAGCATTTTTTTTTTTTTAAACAGGTTGAAATGATAATATACCTGCTCTGTGTGTTTCAAATTGATCAGGAAAATCCCGATTCAGGTCTACCTCGTTTTGATTCTCCCTCCCCACATATTTGGGTTTCGATTCACACCTTCCTTCCTGAAATGTGCACCTAACACTTTAATATTCGCCTTGAAACCCATTAGCATAATCGACACCTAGGAAAAAGTTTGCTGTAGGTAAACAAGCAATGACTAACCAACCTGTGAATTCTCATAACCATCAGGATTCATACTGGGCATTAAGTAAATATCAGTAGAATTTACAAGCTTAGTAACCCTTTCAATGGACCCGTAATTACTGATGAGGTACTGCGCCAGATAGATCGTAAGTTGTCGTCCTATAGACTCGTCCCCGTGCATGTTGGCGACGTATTTAAACATTGGTGTCATTAGCGTTCTATTTTTCACATCGCTGTTTATTTGCAATGCCCAAAGTTCGCGATTTTTGACGGATCTCCCGACGCTGATTAGCTTCACAATGTCAGGATTCTCGGTCTCCAATTTTCGGAACAAGTTAGTCAATTCGTCGTAGTTGAGGTACCTCGGATATTCCAAAAAGTTTTCATTTTCCGCAACCGGTAAGGACACTATTAAAACGGAACCAAAAATCGCGCTCAATGGCACCGCCACGAAGATTTTGAACATGTTTCCACTTTAAATTTTGTTTCTAGACGGACATTGCAATACGAAAATTTAGGATTTGCGAAAAGAAAAACTAAAACCTTTTACGTGGAACGTCAAAAACTTTTTCAAAATAAGGTTATTAAAATAAATACCACAGATAAAACCCATTGCGCATGACATGACATTTCTTTGCATTTCCCATACCCCCGCCAGGTGCAATTTAGGTTGCACAATATCTATAAATTAATGTTTTATGGGAAGGAGTCAACGTGTATGAGACATTTTTATTTATATGGAAAAAAGCAGAACGAAAATTCAAAATAATCTTGAAGTTTTCCAATTACAAAGTCGTTCCTTAACGGTTTTGGGCGCTTGTTCTGGGCCACTTGCCCATCGTGGCGTTAAACGAAGACAAATGATTTGTGTACAAAAGTGATGATAATTGGAAATACTAGATAATATAAAACAATTCCTTTGTGAAACATGGGCTGGACGAAATACCAAGGGTTAATGGCCCTTCTTATGGTATTTACGGGCAGCATTAACAGCATAACTACAAAGTAAAGGCCTAACAGTTCCCGAAAGGGGAGACTTTTTTTAGCAACTATTTTTTCTTAGATGGGCGGACCGGATAGAGTCAGAGGGTCGCGACGGCCAAGAAAAACACTTCGACCACCCGTTTTTTCAAGCCAGCGCCATGTTTCTGGGTGAAATAATGTGTCTGGTAATGTTCAAAGTCATGTACAGGATATACAGCTTGAGAGCGGTAAGGGTTTATTTTAACAGACGTTTCGATAACCTTAAGTCGGGGAATGATTAGGACGGGACCGAAGACGTCCACGAATTGACCAAAGGCAACAGAAATTTCAATCGGTTCATCCTATTTATTCCGGCCATGTGTGATATGACTGCCACCTCCGTGATGTACATAGGGCTGAATTTGACCTACCTTTCGAGTTTTCAAATGTTTAGAGGTAAGATCAATTTTGAACCCCTTCGGGGTTTCCACAAAAATTTCTACTAATAACCATGGTTAAAGAGAGTACTATTTTAAAACAGACAAACAGAAAGAAAGAATGGAGGAGCCTTTTTTCAGGCAGCGTTAAGATTTTAGTGTAAATTGCTTATATAAGGTAACAAGTGGCAATTATCCTGCTCAGGGTCCGTCATAATTTTCGTGGGCCTTCTCAGCGTCGCGTTCTTGGACCGCACCCTCAAAAAAAGGGAATGGTCGGGCATAATACTGATCATCATTGGCTTGGTAGTGGTCGGGCTTGCCGATTTCATATCAAAGGACAACAGTGACTCGTACCACAACAGCAACGACATAATAACGGGCGATATGCTCATAGTAATCGCGCAAATAATTCAAGCCGTTCAAATGGTGGTGGAAGAGAAGTTTGTATCTGGTTTGGACATTCCCCCTCTCCAGGCGGTCGGTTGGGAAGGTAAGGCAGGTGAAGGACGCTGAATGATGGACACTTATATTTTTTTATCCAGGTCTGTTTGGGTTTACGACTCTTGCCTTGCTCCAGATCCCGTTCTATTTCATCAGAGCAGGGCCCCCGGTAACTCAGAGCATCGGCGATAGGCTGGAGGATCCCATCGACGCGTTCGTTCAGATCGGACACAGTTGGCGCCTCGCTTTTGCCATCTGCGGTACTGTCGTCTCGATAGCGTTCTTTAATTTTGCCGGCATAAGCGTTACTAAAGAGATGTCGGCGACTACGCGGATGGTGCTGGATAGCGTGCGGACCATCTTTGTGTGGGCGTTCAGTCTTGCCTTTTTCGATCAAACCTTCCATTGGCTGCACGTGAGTAGGAAAAAATGGGGGAGGGGATTTTTTTTTCAATTTGTTTTCAGCTCCTCGGCTTCCTCTTCCTCATCGCGGGCATGTGTTTATATAACGGAATCACCTTCGTTTCGACCTACATGTATTTACGGACCATCGTGCCCCACAGTCGACAATCGGATGAGGAGAGTATCGTGAACCGAAACGCCGACGAAGTAGACTCCTAACCTTAAGTGTTTATGATATTTTTATTGTTTTATTTCGACTAATAAAATACTCATGCGATTTTTTTTAACTTTTGACTCCAACGACCATAAAATAGCCTAGTAAGATTTTTCATTGGGTCAACTCCAAGAATTATTTCTTGTAAGTCGCATTTTTTTTATCAGCGTTAAAGCAGAGGCAATTTGTTAAGCATATTGAAATTTTTATGTTCCACCGGCATTGGAGGCGTAGCAGTAGTTCAAATGTACCGCGGTCAAGTTCTCGCGCCTTTCGATATTTTCGAAATGCATCGATTTCTTTTTACTTGCGCTCATCGATATCGAAAGTCAAAATCACACGATATATTTAAGAAAATTGTAAACAAGCGCTGCTACGATCAAACAAAGCACAAGTGTCTGTGTGACGAATATCTGGGTTACTGGCGGCGATAAAAATCGCTGTTTATTTACCAACACTTGAAATGTGGACCTCGTCGAGTACCGCCGGTCGCCATTTTTTAACCGGAGGCGACGGGTGCGGCGGCGAATTATCCCCAAGATGACCTGGACGCGGTATCGAGTGTTTCTTTTAGTGTTATTTGTGACCACCGGCAGCATAAACACGCTAAGCACGAAGTAACGCAAGATGAAACCTTTTGGTACTGTTGGTCATCTTTGCTTGTGTAGGTGGGCGGACGTGATCGAGGCCGTCGGATCCGACGGCGTCGAAAAGAGTTTCAACCACCCGTTCTTCCAGTCGCTCACCATGTTCCTGGGTGAAGCAATGTGCCTCGTGCTCTTCAAAATCATGTTTCGGTTGTACGAATCGAGAGCGGTGAGTCGGACGCCATACATACAGAGAACGATCTTTCTAACTTAACATAAAATCTTTAGAAAAAAAAAGTCAAATTTAATAAACGACATAACACTGTATACTTTGCGCCGACACCCACCCTTCTTTCCTTTTGAAAATCGGAGGAGTGACAGAAAAACAACATGGTCACATCCACCTATATAAACCAGCTATAAAGTAGCGCTCCTTGTCCCCTTTGTAAAACGAAGTTTGCCATGGAGAAGAGAAGAGAAGAGTTTTTAAGTGGGACACACTGTAGAAATCTCGTTCCAATTTAACATTTTATTGTTAATTAGGAATATTTAATCGTCGACGCATAATACGTAGGAGTAATTAATCCCAATAAGACGCGAGTATAGAAATGAATGCGAAATTACCACCCCTGGTAGTTCAAACGTACCGCTTCCGCAGGACGGCACAGTCGACAGCAACGAGCTGACGAAAGGCAACCGTAAATTCAACGCGTTCATTTTGTGCGTCCCGACGGCGTGCGACATGGCGGCGACGTCGCTGCAAAACGTCGGCCTCAACTTGACATACGCTTCGAGCTTTCAGATGCTGAGAGGTAGAGGGCGCGCGCGCGCGTCTCCGTCCCGCCTTCCCACTTCGCGCCTGTTTTTTTCCAGGCTCGATCATAGTGTTCGTCGGGTTGCTGAGCGTCGCGTTCCTGCGGCGCCGCCTCGCCAAGCGAGAGTGGGGCGGCATCGTCCTCGTCATGGCGGGGCTGTCGGTCGTCGGCGTTGCCGACTTTCTCTACAAAAGCGACGACGACTCGCTCGACAGCGACGACGTGATCATTGGCGACGTGCTCATAGTGGTAGGCCAGGTGATACAGGCGATCCAGGTGGTGGTGGAGGAGAAGTTCGTCGCGGGAATGGACATACCGCCGCTCGAGGCTGTCGGCTTCGAGGGCCTCTTCGGTCTCGCGTCCATGTCCCTTCTCATGGTCCCTTTTTATTACATCCGAGCCGACAGGCCGTTTACCGAACACCCTGGCGACCGACTTGACGACATCGTCGACGCGTTCAGTCAGATGGGCCACAGCTGGCAGCTCGACGTAGCCGTACTAGGTACCGCCGTCTACGCCGTCGCACACTGGTGCGAAATGGGGGAATAACGAAAAAAAAAACCTTACTATAAATTTTTAGAATTTTAATAGACTGATGGTATCTTTTTAATAGGCAAAAAATATGACTAATCTTTCGTAAAATCCTAGTACAACTAGAGTTTAGGCCATCATATTAAAAATAAGTGATACAACAATGATTACTTTCAACTGCTTTCAAATATATAATTTGGCCTAATCGGACAAAAACAGAAGTTCTAACAGTGTTAGAAGCATTAAATCGGGTAGTTGGCAAATTTTAGTCGAATGTAGAACCAAGTTTGAACAACCGGTCCTAGGATGTGCTAGAACATTTTTATTGCTGCAACCAAAATACATGAATTAAATTTTTTTCTTGGAATGTAGTACCTAAAGGCTTATTTTGTGTCACTATTTTCTGTGCCCACTATATTTCGATAATTACACACAAAAGCGTCCAAGTTTTGATAAAAAAAATGTTGGGCATATTTTTTTCAAAAAAGTTGGTTAGAATTCGCTAAAAATACAATTTTTGCGAAAAATTGCAAATTTTATTTTGTTTCTTTTTTAAGAAAATACTTAATTATTTCTCACGTGGATGTTCTGTAGAATTGAAGCTACCTGTCCAAAAACAACTTTTTAATAAAAAATGCCCAATATGACAACCAATTTTAATCATAGTGCGCAATGGAAATGATAACAATTGAAATCAACTACATAATTATAGCAGATAAAAAAAACCAAATTTTAACAAAAGACATTGCATAATCTAAAAACCTCTGTTACTATAAGTAAATATAAGCACGCACTTTTTTGCTAAGAGTAACTTTTCGACTATTGAAAAAAATAAACCGCATCGCGTAACAGCTAAATCATTATGAACACTAGACTTTTCAAAGATTGACAGAATAGAAAAATGGAAAAATCAAGTCACAAACTATTTGATGAAAGACTGCCTGAAATTAATTTGTCAAATTCAAATCGCGTTTTATATTGAAATATGTGTCAAAACTTTTGTTATTATTAAATATTTAGAGATATCCTCAATAAGGAAAGAGTTCAATTTTTTTTTTTTTTTTAATTCGATGTTAAAGTTTTTTCCATCTCCGAACCAGCGTGCGCCATCAGCTGCGGCCTAGAACTGCTTAAATTTCAGGATCCGTCCTTTCCATCGCTTTCTACAACTTCGCGGGCATCAGCGTGACCAAAGAGATGTCGGCGACCACCAGGATGGTCCTCGACAGTATCAGAACCCTCGTCGTGTGGGTCTTTAGTCTGACGGTCTTCGGACAGCAGTTTCACTGGCTCCAGGTACTCGGATTCCTTCTGCTCGTGGCGGGCATGTGCCTCTACAACGGCATCACCTTTGGATCTTTGATTTCGCGCTTCAAACGGGATAAAGTCGACGGGCAAGTGTAGGAAAGGAGACATCTATTTTTTTTACGAATTTTTGTAATAAAGTTATGTAAAAACGGAGAAAAAAACGCGTTGTCGAAAATTCCGCGGAATGGGAGAAATTACGCCAAGTCGTACCCCAGCAAGTCCTCTAACCCGTACCCAAACAGTTTAAAGTCGGCGAGATAGCGGCGGTACAAACGGCCGATGGTGTACACAGACAGTTCCTGGTAGTACCGCTTGAGGTTGTCGCGGGTGCGGGCGGGTCGAGTCACGGGAAACGCAAGGGGCGGCGCCCCTACCATATTGAGCACGGTCCTCGCGTCTTCCACCAACGTCTCGTAGCGTCCGACGAAAGTGTAGTTCAAGGTGCACGGCAGACACATGTCGTAAACTGGCCTCCAGTGTTCGTTCGTCTCGGCCCCCTCGTCCAGTAGATAAGCGACGAACTCCGAGAAGGTGACGTTCGCGTCCGACGAGACCGCCCCCCGCCGGTACTTTTTGATTATTTCCTTGCCGTACCGCGCCTGGAAATATTTCGAACTGGGCAGCGTCTCGGTAAACTTGTTCCGGTAGGCCGACAGGAGGCGCTCGAACGGGTGTCTGACTATCAGGAACAGCGTGTACTCGCGAAGGACGGTCCTTATTTCAGAGGGAGGCAGCTGCGATAATCTAGAAATCAGAACCTCACGGTCAATCTACGCTGAAAACTTTAATTATTTACCAGTATGGAACCGATTCAATATCCAGGAACGAAATTTAGGATTCTTGCAAACCAATTGCTCAATGAAACAATGCCGATTGGCTTAATTAACTTACACACTTAATTAAAAAAATACTGAAGTAAAATACTAAAATTCTATCGTAAGTATCGAGATTTAATCATAAAGCGACTGATTTAATATATAATTCAATTAATTTAGTTTCTTTGAGTAATGCTTCAATCAGATACTATATACCAGTTTGGAGAACCTTTGCCAGCAGTTTTTGCCTCAAGAAATTTATGGATTACTACAATAATAATAGTAATTAAAAATCATCTTTTAATTATCTTACTAAAAAATCGGTCGGAGATATAAATCTGTCCATTAAATTCAAAATAATTTTAGTCTAAAGATACTATTAAGCGATCTAATAAATCGTGTTTCACCAATGGGTTAACCTGTTTCCGAGTTAGGGTAAAATCTACTAAATCTATCACATCCATAGGTGGAATACTGGGAAATAAGTTTTGTACATCAAAAGACAATAGAGTTGCGTTAGAAGGGATTTTTGATATCTTTAATTTTGTTGATTAATTCAAAAGAATTTTTTATTGCAAATTTTGGTTTAAAATCGGTGTATATATTTAAAAAACAATAAATCGAAATGTCCAAAATGCCAAAAATCAGGTGTCTACAGGTTGAAATGTGGATCTTGTCCTAAAATTTATATTGGACAAACAGGTAGATCCTTCAAGAAACGCATTAACGAGCATAAAAGAGCGTTTAAAAACAATAGTCTAGATTCTAATTATGCTACACACTTAAACACAGAAAAACACATTTTTGACGACAATTTTGATATATTACACACAGCCACAAAAAGTAGAAAATTTAATTTCTCGAAGCCATGGAGATTAACAAAATGAGACATTCAAATGTATTGCTTAACGGTCAATTAGATTTAAATACCTCTCCTTTATTGAACTTAAATTCTGGCAACAACATTAATTAAGGGTTTATGGTCATTTTTCGGTATATATAGTAGCAGGTAGTTTGTAAATATTACATTTGATAAAGACGCGGTGTTGTCGAAACAATTGTCATGTCATAATATATAATTTCGTGAAAATCTGAACTTTTAGTTGTTATTTATTTTGATAAATGGATTTTCATCAAGTAAAAACCAACTCAGTTCAGTATGTGGCGTACTATTGAACAGGGAAAATCTACATTTATTAGGAAGTTAAATTATGCTGTTTAGAGAATTTTAAATGTTTTTAAAGAATATTTTGAATGTCCAGGATTGAAAGAGCTCCATCTAAACGAGGCGTAAAATTTACCATCAAGACATAAGTTGTATAGAGCAAAAATTAAACTGGTACGAGTATAGAACCTTGAGGAACTTAAATCAAAACAAATGCAGAAATTTCTTGTCCTTTCAGTGTATCATTCGGACGAACAATAGCATTATCGGCGACGCTGAGTACTACTCACCTGACGGTGGAGTAGTTCGCATGCGCGACGGAGGCCGGTATATCTACGAGATTGGAGACGTTAGACCGGCCGGTGAGCACCATCATGACGCGTTTCCAATTGGTGCACGCGATCTTGGGCACGTAACAGTAGAGGAGCTTGTGATTGGGATCGACGAGCAAGTGGTCGAGCTGCGAGAATCCGACGGCGCCGCGACGGCGCCCTAGTCCCAGTTTCTCGCAGCCCTCGGTCAGCTGTTCCTGACGCGATATCTGTTCATACCACGGATACTTCGGATCGTCGGGAGTCGAGTACCGTAAAAAGTCGAGGAAGATCACGAGCGCGAGCCACATGGCGTTAGCATTGTTCAGTGTTGAGTGGCTCCTTGCGTTTGCCCAGGCGTTTAACGAACCTCAGTTGAGTCCTGTTCACCACGCCGTAGTTGCCGACGAGCTCCTTGTCGTTTTTCAGAACCCTGCCGTTGTCCACGTTCTGAAGCCAAAACGTCTTCCATACGTAGCGCCAGCTGATTTTCGTTTTGCTCTTCTGTCGCTGCTGTTTTAGCGCGAAACCCCTCCTGAAGGCTTTCTTCAGGTCCAGAACCGTCGAGCCTTGTTGCGGAATCTAAAAATTGAAAAATGGGGCGCAACAAGATCGCGCGAATTGAAATATCTTTACCACCACGTTCAAGGGGGTCTCTGAGTACCGTCCGATCGTTACCGTGATGGACTGGCCCTGTATGACCGCGATCTGGGCATGGACCTCTTCCGTTATGACGTCTACAGGTAAATCCGACAACAGCGGATCGGACGCGATCAGCCTCCTTAAACTGCTTTGCGTTATTTCGCACAGGTCTTCGTGCGATAGGCTCTCTATGTCGCGGTCGAGGCTGGATTTCTCGCAAGAGACGACGTCACTCATCCTGCAAGACAGAAACGCGGTTATACACTACTAAAACGCGGTGCAGTATCTAATAAACAAATTTCACCATGTAAAAATGTATTATTTTACTTTATATTTATCGTTCTTACCGAATGTTGTAACGCGGGCGAACACATGTCGATAAAACAACGCGACCGCGACTGAATTATAACAACCAGAACCTTTGACCTTTGCCAAGGCAAAATTTTGGCCTATGATCCAAGAGGCAACTATAACATTACTTACAAAACTACTGCAGTCAACCAAGATAAAATTTACTCAATACGCGAGTACGTTTATTAACACGAAACGCATGATCCGCTGTTGATATTTAATTGTCGTTCCGAATTTTTCAGAACAGGTTTTGTTTATCGTTTGAGCATAAATTAACTCCAGACGTCGGCACACAAAAAACGGCCAGAAATCTTCGACCATTATCTTACAAACACTGGCTCAAATTTTTTGCTGAGCAAATCGTTAATTTGTTTAGTCGCAATATCCGATATAAATCTACGCACGTTGTTGTAACAATTCGTCAATCGAGATGCGGCGATCAATCAAAAAGATAGTGTCGTAATTTTATTCAAACAAATTATGATCGTACGCCAAAAAAAATATATTGAATGAGTTATGTGTACAAGCGTTCTTGGTGTTCCCACGATTTTTGTGTTCTTAATGAGATTTATCGTTTACATTGTTATTGCGACGGAGTACAATGTAATTAGAATAGTCGAAGATATAAACCTTTGTTTTATACACTAATATTCAAATATATACTTACCTGTTACCATCGAACTTTTCACGTTGTGGATTGAGGTTATGAACTTTAAGTAACTACACTTATACCACATTACAAAAATAAGAACTTTGCAATGGACGACAAAAATTGGGGTAAATTTATGATCATTTTTGTACACGTGTTCTTGTCAAATCTTTAAATTGAAGCAGAAATGCTTTTTGCCCCGTAATTTGTGGTGATTTGGGACTATTTCGATCGATAACGAAATGTAAATATAGTTTGACATGTTTAAACTTTTAATATCAAACTGAAATACACATCTGAAAATGCCGCCAGACGTGACGTGGTACTATCGGCACCATTCGATCAAATAAAGACGCAACCGACCAATATCGTAACGCAATTATTTATCCGTGGGTCTAGTTATTTTATCCGTTTTCGTTGGCAACACGTCACAATTAGTGGCGATTAGGGGTTAGTGATAGATCGGCTTTAATTCCAGAATATTTCCGAAAGTTTGGATTACGTATTCGGATTGTTCCCGAAATTGGGTCGAATATCTGGCACTTTCTCGCAACATAGTTACCCCTATCGCTAATTCCATGCAAAATATCGTGCGAAAATGATCGTCGATCAAGTGGACGCATTTAAAAGCTGGCTGACAGCTGTTTTGAAGCCCATGTAAGTTGAACCCTGCTGGTCGGATGAATTGGAATCGCGGACTTTAACTCTCTCAGTGTTTGACGCGACCCTTTAATTGCGATGACCTTCGCGCGAAATCCACCTATCCAATAGCGGCCCCTTCATAACCTCAACCCGCGAATTTCGTTTCAGGTGCGAGGCCGATCCCGCCGCATTGGCAAAATACGTTTTGGCGTTGATTAAGAAAGACAAAACGGAAGCGGAACTGAGGAAAAGCATGGTCGGCCAACTCGAAGTTTTCTTAGAAGGGGGTGTGTGATAAAAATAATTTCTACCGTGGGAGGTCACGTAGGAATTTTAACACGTTTTTAACGTTGCAGAAACTGAAAATTTCGTCAGCCTGGTTTTCCAAACTTTGGCCACAAAGGATTACATAACCACGCCGGTAATACCAAACGCCAACCCCCCCAACCCGAACGTACTCAAGTCCAAGGACGGGAAGGAGGCGAAAATCATAGTGCAACCCAGCGAACTGCCCAACCTGAGCGAGGCGGTCAACGGGGCCGCCCCCAAAAAGGAACCGGAAATCAAGAGGGACCGGTCCAGGAGAAATTCAGAAACGGTATATATCTCTTAAGTTATTTGTGAGGAAGCGCGCGAAACAAATGAACGGATCTTAGGAAAAGGAGGAGAGGGTGCGACGGAGATCGCGACACAGGTCAACCTCGCCACGAGTCCGGTCGCGGTCCCGGTCTTGGGAAAGAATGAAAAAGTCCCGCTCGAGAGAAAAATCGAGGGAACGGGACCAGCAGCACCGGATGGACCGCGAGAAGCGGACGCGGGGCGACAGGCCCTGGCGAAATAAATCGCCGACGCGGAGGTACGATCGGCGCCGGTCGCGGACGCCGTCGCCGACGCGGGCCCGCTCCAGGTCCCGTAGTCCCAGGCACTCGCACCGCCCCAGGTACCGCTCGAGCAGGAGCCGCTCACGGTCCATCGAGAAGAGGGAGCGGCGCGATTCCAAGGACGTGCGGCCCGACACGCCGACGGCCGACTCCGGGGGCGGCGACGTTGACATGCGCGCCAACCCCCCGGGCAACAAGCGCCGCTGCCGCGACTTCGACGAGAAGGGCTACTGCATGCGGGGCGAGATGTGCCCCTTCGACCACGGCATCGACCCGGTCGTGCTGGAAGACGCCGCCCTCACACGGGTCCTCACCTACGACCTGAACGGCGACGCGGGCGGCCCGCTCGCCGCTCCCCTGCCACCGGTCGCGCCGCCCGGGGTGATAGGCGCCCCGCTGCGACACCCCGGCGGCGAGACGCCGTACAACCCGCAGGCGCCGCACATGTGGAGGGACGGGCGGTTCCGCGGGCCGCGGCCGCCCCCGCTAGGCGCCATCAGGATGCCCGGCCAATTCCTGCTGCAGCCCCCGCCCGGCATGCAGCGAGAACTCATTCCGGTGCCGGTCGTGATGGATGGCGGCAAACCGCCGGGCTATCCGGCGGGGCCCCCTTACGGTCCGCCCGCACCGCCTCCGCTCGGTTACGGGCCCGGGGAGGGCGGCGTCGCTTTGCCGCCCGGCGGCCCGTACGCGAAGAAGAAGCCGTTCGATTATGGACGGCTCGGTCCGCGCGCCAAGAATCCCGCCAATTGCTCGCTAGAGCTGAAGAAGGTGCCCGTCGGCATGAACACCATCACCCACCTCAACAATCATTTCGCCAAGTTCGGGAAAATTGTCAACATCCAAGTGCAGTACGAGGGCGACGCGGAAGCGGCCCTCATCACGTTCTCGAGCCATGCCGAGGCGAACGCGGCGTACCGCAGCACCGAGGCGGTCCTCAATAATCGCTTCATCAAGGTGTTTTGGCATAACGCGGCCGCCAACAACGACAAACAGGAGAACGTGCCGCCGCCGGCGCAGCAGAGGCCGGTCAAGGACCGTCTGGGGGGCGGGCCGGTGGTGGTGCCCAACAGTAACAAGGTAAGCGTGTCGGGAGGCGCGGTCGCCGTCTTATTGGGGGGGGGGCCGGTTCGCTATGCAGGTGCTGAATCTCGTGCAACCGAAGGCGGACGACGCAGACAAGGAAGAGGCCAAGCCCGAGATAACCAAAGAGGAGACCAAGGCGCAAGCGACGGTCGCCATAAAAAAGAACCAGGACCTGATCGCCGCGCAGGTCAAGGTCAACAAGAACAAGGACGAGCAAAGGAAAGAGGTGCTCAAGATACAGAGCGACCTGCGCAAGAGGAAGCAAGAGCTGCTCGACAAGCAGCTGTCGCAGCAGAAGATCCTCATCGATAAAATGTCGAAACGTGAGTAGGGGGGGTGGCGGCGCCAGAACTGATGTTTAGTTTACTATATACTTTTGAAAATCGGGCACTAAAAAGTCGCTAATACTTTTACAAAACAATAATTACGGATCATGATGAAAGCAATAAAAACAAACTTCTACAAAAATCTACCAAAAAAAATGTAATTTTTACTTGATAAAGTTATTTTTATCCAAAGTCTTTGACGTTCCTAAACGAGTTTTTAAAGTTAACTCGAAAGCAAGCAGGCAACCGTAGGAAAGGACCAACATTTAATAAAACACCGAGTATTGAGTATTTTCTTTACAAAATTTGCTGTAGTAGGCAGAAAGGAAGAGGTACGGGAGGAAACTCTGTCCAAGGTATTAGTACAATTTCCTAACAACAAAATGCAAAGAAAAAAACGCTCGAATTGTTTCGAGCTATAGCTAATATAGCTATAGAAAATAGAAAGCACGACATCAGTTGTTGTTTATTCCCGATTGGCTAGCCGAGGCAACGCTTAATACACACGCCGGAGTGGGGAAAGTGTCATTTTACCACATTATTTTCGTTTTCCACGAATCCGGGTTTCGGCGGCAATCGGATATTTTCGGAAATAGTACAGCACGTCTTGAAATTTTTAACGTTTGTCAATTCTGACAAACGTTAGTGAATGTATTCGTGATGTTTTGGTTAGTTGTAAAAAATGTACCCAAAAACTTTGTAGAACTTTTTCTGTCACTCGTTTACCACTTTTGTTGCATAATGTATTATTACAAGATCTTTAAGTTAAAAATTTTGCAATTACAAAGAAAATTTTCAATTTCATTTATAATAATTAATTCAGAACATGTTATAATCCGGCATTGTTTTCTAGTTTTAACTGAATATACTTATAAATAATATAATTCAAGCTGGTGCCAAATGAAACTCATGATCAAAACGGTGTTGATCAAACTTGTCATCTTATTATGCATTAGTATAGATAGATGGATGGTTTATTGACTACTTTATAATACCATTGTTTGTAGCAAGTCATACAAAGGAATTTTTTTTTTTAATTGAATATATGTAAGTATATGCTAACATAAAATTGTATATAACGTCATAGATATACAATGTATATAACGTCATAATAACAGGACAACAAATAAAAAATAAACAACGCCCCGCAACACGTTATTACCGATGTTGTCTTCTTTAATTTACTAACAGGACAACAAATAAAAAATAAATTTATATGTATATAGCACAGGACAATCGGTAAAATACAATCAATGCACAACGCCCCGCAACACGTCATTACCGATGCTGTCTTCTTTAATTTACTATATCCTCTTTTTGCCGCAAATCTATAATATTTGTGCCGCTGCGCGCTTGAAGAGGGAGAACTGACGGCCGGGTCGCGTTTTCAGTGGCGCCCGGGCCTCAGCGCGACGTCGTCAAGGAGACGATCAAGAAAACGCAGGAGGCGATCGAGGCCATCAAGAAGGACCTCGAGCAGGCGGCGTTGGCCGCGAAACGCGCCACCCTGTCCGCGCGCAAAACCAAAGAGCAGGCGCAGAAGGAGCTACTCGACACGGAGCTCGATTTGATCGCGAAGCAGCAGGAGGGCGCGGACACCACCGATATCCAGAAGAAGCTCGCGGAACTGAAGGCGATCGTGGGGGCCGCGGCAGCGTCGAAAGGCGGTCGGGGCCGCGGACGGGGGCGGTACGTGCCGCCCGTCATCGGCCGACACCTGCTAAGCAAAAACAACCTGATCGATAGTAAGTGCGCGTTCGGCGTCGCGACGCCGCCTACCGACGTCCCCTTTTTCTCGTTTTTAGAAGCCAAAGGCGGCGGCGTCGTCAAAGTAGTGAACCGGGCGTCCGCGGCTCCTAAGCAGCACGCCGTGGACCACAGGCCCGCGCGTCTCCTCGTGTCCGGCTACGAGGCAGATGAGCAGGACGCGGTGCTGACGCATTTTCAAGTAAGAGTCAGTAGGTTGCCTTAGTTCTCCTCCCACCTCAGTTCCCGCGGGGTGACGTCACTTGGCGACCCAGTTCCAAAGCCCATACCAAACGCTCTCTTTTAAATACCTTTTAATAACTTCTCGCTGACGTGGTAGTATGTTTAATAGATTTTTAAACAGAGCGTCTGTTAAAGAAAACATTTACGGGGTTTTCGTAATACGTTGTTGATTTTTAGGGGCCTCGTTCCTCAAAAAAAGGGCAAGTTAGTGTAGGTCGGCAATCGCTTTATTGCCATATTGAAAAGATTAACAAAAATTGTTTTTTTGGTTTGTTTGGTAGACGCTCGCATTGCATAGAAACAATGTTCACGTTGTTTATTGCTAGTTTTTCTTATTGAATTGTAAATTGTGATGATTTAACTTTTAATTTAGTACTGATTTTTATTGCTTTTTATTTATTTTTTTTTTCCGCTGGGAGCTTTTTGTCGGACTACGCAAACTCGAGAGATCGTTTTTACATGAATCGCGATTTGAAAATATATATTATACGAGGTGTGTTCAAAAAATAAGATGACTTTTATTTATTTATTCATCAAAATTAATGTTGCCCCACTCTAAGCACTTTCTGGAAGAGGCTTATGTTCTTAAAGCATTTTTTCTTAGCTCCTTTGTTCCATTTTTTTTTTACCGCAGAAAATCGCCGAACACGCAAAACACGTCTAACGGTTCTGTCTCACAACTGCAACGTGCAAAATGTCGAAGATCGAATGCACGTAGCTGAACCAATTACAAAAGTCATCTTAGTTTTTGAACATGCCTCGTATATGTACGTCGAAAATAAAGGGATTACGGGTCTACGTTGACATAAACTTTCCAGAGTGTTCAACATAATAATGGGCAATTTCGCCAACTATTTTTTGTTCGTCTCATGGAGTTTTTTTCTTAATATAGCCGTGTATGACTTAATTATTTTCAGGCCTCCTATGAGTTTTTCAAAAATATGTAAGAGTTATTGCAAATACCTTTAATTTTTTTTTATTAGCAGGCCATGGAAAAAAGTGTCCGTTTTCATCATATACTTTAGTTATCAAATAGTCCTAACATTTCGTAATTTACTTTAATGTTACCCCAAAATATCTCAATTAGATGTTAAAATAATTGATAAAACAATGCGCATTTGTTATTTCTTGCACTCACACTCAAGTTCATCAGCTTAATGAATTTTTAAATAAATTATGTAAGTTATGCAAAAAACACTGCATTTTCCATGGCTTACTCAAAAAAGAAAGATATTTGCTTTATAATTGGAATAGCCCTTATATATTTATATATTATATATTCTTGAAGATCTAACAAGCATAATAGAATTTTTAAAATACAAGTTTAGTTTATATATCAAAATTTGTGAGTTTCTGAAGAAAACCTTGTCACCGTGTCATGCATATCTAATTAATTTAATTGTTTAGCTATTTCAACCCTAGATTGCTTGAGAAATAAATGTTGGTAACCTGTGAGTCGGGACGTTGTTTTTTTCGCAGCAATTCGGCGAGGTAGTCGAGTACGCGATCGACTCGTCATTGCCAAGCATCACGCTGAACTATAAGGCGCGCAAGGAAGCGGAGACCGCGATGCTGAAGGGCAAGCATTTCCAGGTAAGGTGAAGTCTAGCTTACCCGAAAAAAAAAATAGAAAAAATACTGAAAAAAAGTGTGCCCTAAATAATTTAGTTCTTCATAGGGTTTATAATTAGAAATATTCTGAGATAAAGACTGTGATCAGAGTATAGAATGCGGTGGCCAAGTGCTTTTTGTGGGGTCGTCTTTCTTTTTTAATATAAGTTAGTATTTATAGTCCGGGAGCCCTGGACCTTTTTTCAAAATGATAAGCAACAACGTAATTCTTTGGAAATCGTTTCATTTCATCAAGACACACAACGTTTTCCTCTACGAAAATTGTTGTAACAGGTAGCTAACCATACGCGCAGGTATAAAATCATGTCAATTTAGTTACCATACCAAAATGATCAGCAACAGTTTAGTTTTTAGTTAAATCTATAGATATTGAAATATATAATTTGAAATTGAACTTGGCCTACAAACAAATTGGTTTGGTATAGAGTGGCCACCCCCTCAAAGTTGTATCTATTATTTATTTATTTATTTATTTATAAAAAGCTTGCTAATAATTTTTATTAACAAATGATCACATTGTCCTACAAATAAACTGGTAGGATTTTTCAGCCCTACGCTTTAAAGTTGTTGACCTCACCGTAATACGTAATTCATCAGCAACTGTGGGACACGAAAATTAAATGAAACTTTATGACATTTTTTATCTAAATCAATTAATGACCTACATAAAAATAGGTAGATTTCGCTAGTCCGACAAAAAATGGGTTGCAAGTGCGACTCTTGAACATTATTCCTGCTTAACCTCTGAATTACGGTCTAACCTATAAAATATTCCTACAGCCATTATCTATGATGCTATTTTTTACAAATGAGTTTAATTAAGCTGTTTCATTATTATTTATGACGTAATAAATCAACATTTATTTTTTTTTCATATTTTTTGTCACGCCGGATTTTTTTTTACTTGTTTTTAACTCATATCAGTATCATGACAGTAATTGATCGATAAACTTTTGAAAAAGTAAGTAGATTAAAGTCAACAAAATTTTATTTTGTTGACTTTAATCGATTACAAATAATGCTGGGTGTACCGTTATAATACAAGTATTATAATCCATAAAAATTATGACAAAAATATGTCGTTATTCATGAAACAATCATTCATTTTTTACTATTTTTTTTCTTTTCACTTAAACGACAAAACGAAAATAAAAAAAATTCAACATTTTCATTTTACATTTACTTAAAAAATAAAGCATAAACTTACCTTTCATAACATAAATATTTAGCTTTTACTCTGAACTCCTTGTAACAGCAAGAGTGGTAGCGTATTACATCGTCATTCTAATGGTCAGGCGATTCAGCATCATTATATTTGTGGTTATGATGCTTTCGAGCGTGTAGATAATTTTTTCACGGGAGATAAATGTCTTTAGTAAATTTTTTTATCGTCTCTTTTCACGAAAATTAGGTTTATCACGGAGTATATTACAAAGAAAACACTCCATGATCACTTTCACAATTAAATGTTATAAAAGAAAATTAATTAACACGTGTTGACAAGCCAAGCAAACAAAACTTTTTAATGCACAATGTATGTTGTATGCGTGTGCTGGATATTGTGTATGTTACGCGCATGCGCGTCTGATGCGAATACATACCGCCGATTTGATATAAGTATGTGTATGTATACATATACACGTATATTCGAATATACAAGTATGTACATGTAACCACGTTTAAGTTACGGGCAATTTTCGAAATTTTCCAGAGTAGGACTGAAAAAACCCACCATTTTATTTGTAGGACAAATATTGTTTTAGATTATTTATCTGATTAGTTAAAAAATAAGCTGTTGCTGATCACTTTTACATAATAATCAATTTGACACCTGTTCATTCTTTCAGCGTCTTAATAAAACGAATCCACTCATGGTTTTTAAAAATAGTTTTGTTAATAAAAATTATTGGCAAGCTAAAGTAAAAAATTTAGCATGTTGCTCGTCACTTTTTATAAATAAATCATAGATACAACTTTGAGGGGGTGGCCACTCTATACCAAACCAATTTGTTTGTAGGCCAAGTTTAATTTCAAATTATATATTTCAATATCTATAGATTTAACTAAAAACTAAACTGTTGCTGATCATTTTGGTATGGTTGACATGATTTCATACCTGTGTGGATAGTGGATACAACAATTTTCATAGGGGAAAAGGTTGGGTGTCTTGATGAAATGAAACGATTTCCAAAGAATTAGCTTGTTGCTTATTATTATAGGTTTGTAATTTACAGAGCACTTTTGTATTGTAACTATCTGTTGGAGTATAAATAAATAAGTAAATCGAAAGCTCTAATAATATTGGAACCTCGTTTTCAGGACCGGACCCTATCTGTGACGTGGTCGACCGGGGGCGGCCGACTGCAGACGCAGAGGAGCGGCGGCTCGTCCACGAGAACCGCGCTGCTCTCCGAATCGGAGGAGGAGCACCTGATCGATCAAAGCTTGCTCGAGGGCGAGGAAGAGGTAAGTGAAAAGTTTCGCGGTTCATTTGAACTACCGGCCCCCATTTCGGCGGAGGGGCGCGTCTAATGACCTCTCTCTCGAGCCGGTCGTTCGCCCGAACGGTATACAGGGTGGTCGCGCTTTATTTTTTTTGTTTCCTATCCAGCTGGGACCGGAGATTTCCGAGGAGGCGCTGTTGCAAGACGACGAGGAGGAAGACGAGGAAGACCGCTCGTGGCGCCGATAGTCCCGGCGATTTCGGGACGCCGCTCGAGAATAATAATTAGAGTCGTTTTTGGGTGATTGTTTTTCCTCTCCCCCCCCCTTTTAGTTTTTGTTTAGTTGCTAAGAGTCGGCCTAGGGCGGAATTTTTCTATTGTATTTTTTCTCCTCCCCAAACTGTTGCCAGTGATTTTTGATTCGCTTCTTTTCCTTAATTTGTGAGCCGAAAATCCGACGGAGGGGACTCGAGCGAAATCTCACCCTTATATGTAGTTATATGTATATTGGGACCACGGAGGCAGGCTCCGCTCCGACGGATTCACGGTAGCGTTGTACTTGTGTATAAAAATATGTATGTTGATATCACTCGATTAAGAAGGAAAAAAGTGCAGGTCGCCCCCCAACCACAACCCTTAGAAATAAAAATTACACGGTACATATTAGGGCGCGGATCTTAAAAAAAAAAACCTCTGAACGAGAAAAAAAAACTGATAGAAAAAATAGTGTCCAATGTAAAATATATATTTTATTAAAAATTTTCGGGGGGCAAAAAAAAAGACGCGCAAAAAACATCGTCTCGTAAAGAATTCGTTAAGCTTCGGCCCGGAAGGCGAGTGTTGCCGTTCGACAGCCGCCCCGTACATAATCCGACCGCGTAATCGCTCTCGGACGTATACATTGACATTGCGGAGGTCATCAAAATAGAGCAATACAAAAACAAATAAATATTCGACCAGTAACGGCGATTGCCGAATAAACAAAAAACGTCGAGCCGCTTCCGACATGGCGCGTCGCATTTCCACCATAATCAAGAGCCTCCCGTTAGGTAAGTAAGATTTCGATTAACCGATTCGTCGATATCCTTTTATTCCGTTTTTGAATCCCCAGTAAGGGGGACGAACGAGCTAAATCGGACAGCACACTCTTTAAAAAAGTTAATGATGTAAGGTATTTTTTGCACCTCTAATGAAATTTCATCCCTGAGTCACTTTATTAGTTATTGACTGGCTATAATCTAATTTTTCTGAGGTTATTTTGCTTTGCATTTGGCGTAAATCACAATCCCAACCTTATAAGAAATATTTTACGCGAAATTTTTTGTGATCAACCCAACCCCTCAAGTAGACTGATTTTATTTAGACATTATGTTATATCCCACACATTAGTACTTAAAAAAGGATTTAGGTCTACTACAGCTGCACCGAGTCCATCATTGGCGTTCCAATATTTTGTATTTTAGAAAAATCGAGAAGGAAACCACTGAGTCCGATGTGTGATGACCATGAATGACGAAATTAGAAATGTTTTTTAGAATAAACAAGAATGGAACTAGTGAAATAAACATATCTGAAAGGTGGCAGTTCGAGTACAATGAAATCAAAGCAAATCTAGAAATTTTAATTCATAACGCACGAAATTTTCGAAACTTATCGCTACCTACAACGAAGCCTACGCTTTAAACTTTAGTAACGAGAGATTTATACTTTATTTGTTAATAAAGGAACATTAGGGATAAATTATAACAACGCCAAAGCAAGAGGTGCAAAAAGTCCCCATTAAGGCTCTCGTTAAGTACGTATAACGACAGGGTCAACAGATTTGAGTGCAGGACGCTTGCCCTCGCGAGTGCACACGAACTGCGGCACCACATACGGCAAGCGTGCTGCTTCGTTACGTAATACGCAGTTTAATGCACGCGAATTTTACCCGATAACGACAGATTGCCAGAGCGATGCAACGTTTAGCGAGCCGCGCGTCTGGTACATCTCGGCAGAGCCGTATTTCGAAAATTTTGTCGACTTGCCGACAATTTTAATGTTATTTGGGTTTTAGGTGGCGTCAATGCTAAAGCTCGCAACGGCGACGAAGCTTACCGACGGATCCCGCCCGGTTACTTGCGAAACGGTTAGACATTTTTTTTTTTTAAATTAATATATCCGGGAAATTTGTTTCAATCACGGACCTCCAACGTAGTGTCCGTGATCGAAGCCGCGCAAACCGACCGAAACGATATCGGCGCGCACGATCCCTGCTCCTAACCTGTTTAACTTGAAAATAAGCCGTAGAAATGAAAACGTCCGAGACTTTCGGACGTCGTAAATCGTTTATCTGCAAAGTCTTCGCGTAATATATCGAAAACGCGTCGTTGTTTACAAACTACGCGCTAACAATCTCAATGACAGCGAAATAATTGGGCTGACCCCGCGGTCCGATAAAAACACAAAATGCCTCTGGCGCAAAACGTGAACGTTTTTTTAGGGGCCGCGGTTTTGGGAGTGGTAGGGGCCGCCGGATTGTTCCTCGCCGAACATTACAGACAGGAAAAAGTGCGCCACGCCATGGCCAGGGACCTGGCGCGGATGGACAGGGAGCTGCGCTCTCTCCGCACCGAATTGCACCAGCTTCAAAACCAAAAGTGATTATTTTGTCGTCGTCTCGATAGATCCCACGCTTCACGGTTTCGTTACAGATCTCTTAGGGTAAAAAAAAGTAATAAATCCACCGTCACACGCAAAGTGAACTCGACTCTTTCGACGGCCAGCGAAGACTACTCTAGTGCCGCTTCCACCATCGACGACAGTTCCGACCTCGAATTTTACGATTTAAGCGAAGACGACGCGGACGTCGGCCCGAATTTGGAACGGGTATGCACATTTCTTTTTAATATTTTTATGGGAGCAGCGCACAGTGCAGATACATGCCGACTGCGTCAAAAATCAAATACTCAATTATATGCCAGTTTTTTAACACATCTTTCCTATATCTATAAGCAAGATGTAAAAAAACATGTTATGGTGAGGAGCCAAATTGAAAGTATTTTTATTCGTCAGGAGTTATCTAAAATTGAATTTTAATTGGTCTACAATACTAGGTAGATAGGAGGTGGGGTTTTTTCCACATTATTTTTTCAAACAAAAGGCGAAGTCACAAACCACAATCTGAATGACTCTTATACGTCAAGTTTCCAAACCAAATGCACTTTTTTCTCGATTTTCTCTTGATTTCTCGAAGTTTTTAGTAAATAATTGTAATGTAATCTTCACTGGGATAGCACTTTTCTTGGACTTCAAATCATTTTGATATGAAGGAAAAATGTTATTTATTTTGGAATTAATAAATTTTGTTAATAAGATTTACTGATAGTTGGTCAGTTCAGTTTCAACAAGAAGGGATACTGTCTCAGCGCATTGATTTTCTTGTAATTAATTTAAGTGAATTTTCTCTTTTGTGACCCCCCAATAACACTCTTTTTTTTTGGTTTTCCGCCTGCAGGTGATTTGTTGACTTATGTGTAATTAGAATTTGTTTTTAGAAAAAATCACGCGTGACTTTCGTGCAACCCAATATTGGTCCTTTTAAAAGTATTTAATAAACTTACCTTGTTTTTGGACATTCACACCCTAGAAATATTAAACAAGTGACACTTGGGAAGCGCCAACTTGATTAGGTTGTTTTTTTTTTTTTATTAGGGCGTAACATGATATAGGATTTTTTTAATTTTGTCTATTTGTGGAACCACAGTGCAGCGTCGTCATTTTTGGTTTCTAGACGCTGCACGAGTTGGATGACAAATTAGACGGGGGCACGTCCGACGAAGTGAGGGCGACGTTGCAAAAGTTGCAACAATTGCAGTCCGAGTATCCAAACCATCCCGAACTGTTGTACAGAATAGGCAAGGCCCATTATAGACTGGCCGAAAAAACGGACGATAAGGATCTCATGCGAGTCCACATCGACCGTGGCGTCGACGCGTGCGCTTCGGCTGTGCCCTTCGCGCCGAACCATCCGGAGGTACACAAATGGTACGCCGTGTTGATCGGTAGCCGAGCCGATTACCAATCGATACACAACAAGGTAGGCGACGCGCATTTGTTTAAAAAACACGTCGATACGGCGTTGTCTCTGAACCCTCACGATCCGTCCCTGCACCACATGCTTGGACGGTTCGATTACGAGATCGCGGGGCTGAAATGGTACGAGCGCAAAATCGCGGCCGCGTTGTTCGGCGAACCGCCCCGCGCTTCCTACTCGGAAGCTTTCGACAAGTTTATGGAGGCCGAACGACTGGCGAATACAGAATGGAAGGAGAACCGACTCATGCTCGCCAAGTGCAAGATAAGCATGGCCGAATACAAGGAGGCGGTCGAATGGCTGGAGAAGGCGGACTTGTGCAGGCGGGACGCGGTAAGCGTCTATTCCCTCTCCGTTTTCCAGCTTTGAGCAATTTACTTCTTTCAGGAGGACAAACTAGATAGCGAAATAAAGGTGCTTTTGGAGAAATACAATGGTTACAGATAATTTCCGTAGGTGGCGTTTTATTAATACTTAGAGGTTAAGTTAAAACTTGTTTTGTCCTATGTAATTGTCATTATTTTATACACCAAATAAAGTGGCGGTTTTTTTATTCGGCTGTTTTTCTTCCTAACCAGTGCGTAGACAGCTAATCGCCGCCCAGGGAAACGTTCCACAGAAGTCAGTAAAGAGCCGAGTCATAATTTGAGGTTGATTAACCGCTTTCTATACACAAACATTTAGGTGCAAACCGGGAGGCATTTTTCCTTATATTTTAAAAACATAAAACATATTCGTTTTAAGAGAAAATAGAAAAATATAAAAACAATCAAAATACACAAATTTTAGTAAACAGCTATCGAACATAATCCTATGCTTAAAATGTCAGCGAAAAATTCAAGTTTTATTCATTTTTTGGATAAAACGTAACAAGGTATATATTGCGTCTAAAGAAACATGCTTATTGACGTTTATTGTTAATTAACTTTGATATACTTTACTTAATTATAAGTAATAAATTATCATACCTTATAAAATAAAAAATAGGAATTTCCGAGTTTTTTTTAATTGCCACACTACCACTACTTTCATCAATTGAAAAACGCTTTGAAAATACTCAGGTAGACACGATGCGAAATGACAGGGCAGGGAAATTTGTTTAGATACAGTCAAAATCTAATCACAAATTATGACGTCACAGTCACAGGCGAAAGCCTAACCTCAAATAATGAACCGAAAAATCGGTTATACACTCTCTACATTTAATGCAATTCGGAAAACAGTCCGTGAGTCCAGCAACGCGACCCTGATACTCTTCTCGAAACCGTCCTTGACGTTCGCGAACTCCATAATGTCTTTAGGACGGCGCCCCATCCAATAACGGTCGAACTCGTAGAACAGAAAGCTGTAAAACGAGTGAAACAGCCGTAGGGTCGGGAGACTCTTTGATACGTTGTAAAAGTAGGTTTTAGCGGTCCCATCGCGCAGCAGCACCCACGCCATTTTCGTTAGGTTAATGCCGACTATCGCGAAAAAGTAGCCGTAATCGGGATGGTGAGAGTGGGAGAGAACGTGTCGCGCGGGGGGCCCGTACTCGGTGGCAAAAAATAACAAATTTTGTAGCCCGAGCAGACCCATACCGCGGAAATCAGTTTTCGGGTCGTCACCCTGGAACCCGATGTCTTGCCACTGCTTTGTCACTCTTCCTTCTAGTTTCTCGCCGGGCATCAACGAATCCCACAAGGCATAAAGCATTCGCTCGTGTTCGAAACTGTCCTCGTCGAACGGAGTCTTGCGCAACGCCTCTACCTCGGCAATCAACTGCCGGTAGCCCCAGATTTGCTCCACGCATTTACCGAACGCGCTGACGAACTGGCAATGCACCTTGGGGTTGATTTTTTTAACGGCCAATACGGTGCCAACGGCCCCTTTCAGTATCTCGCGCTCGTTGGCGCCGGTGAACCGTCTGTGGTCCGCTATGTCGTTCAGATGATCGATGAGTTGTCGAATTTGCTTGCTTTTCGAGAGACCCAACGAGTACTCGACGCGTTGTATCCTCGGCGCGCCGCTCACCTCGCCGTAGCAGATTCTCTGCAGCTCGCACAGACCTGTCGTCTTGCGCAAGAACCATTTCAGCAACGGTCTCAAGCAGTACACGAAAAACCAACCCAACGAAAGGTTCATCACCACGGGAATCGTTAACGGGTTAAAAATATTGTTGACATTTGTAGCGTTTCCTAGGCAACGATTGTCGTTCTCGCGCCACTATCGCCACCTAACCAACAGCGCTCAAACTAGTTTCGGAAGTTGCAAACTAGATGGCGGCACTTTCCACATTAATCGTCATTTCATGACGCACTGCATCCTGCAGATCGAAGCCCATTCCCAGCCAGGCTATTTGTAGACATCAGTTTTTAATCGACAGAAACATGCTATCCACAAAAGGATACGTGATATGAAACGCGGTACAGTGCCCGTTCACGGGCGTTTGAAAGCCGCTCACCTCGAACTAGTTTCGCAATTATCGCATTTTTCAAACTAGATGGCGAAACAATCGCATCGTCACACGGTGACGCACCGCGTCCGGCGAAATAAAACCCGAGTCCAGTCAGATTATTTATTGACATCACAGATTCGAATTGACAGAAAAATATTATCCATCTTTTTTTTGTAAATGCCGGAAATAATTTCCGTCGCCCGGAAAATGATGTGAAATCTGAGACGCGGTGAGGCGGGCTCTTATAATATAGTAAAAAGTCTTAAACCTATCGCTGTCACTAGCCTACCTGCTATAGTATGTTTTTTTAATTTGTGCTAGGCGATTATTACAATATAATGGGAGGCGGGGCCGAGCCCGCCTTCATAGGAATGCTTGAAAAGAGCGTTTATGTATATATTTACAATATTTGTCGGTAAAAAAAATATACAGGGGGGCGCTCGCGAGGCTAGATAGCCAAACGGAAGTTAGAAATTACGAGTTCCGCCAACCTTGTCCTGTGAAATAATGGCGGGAGGGGCGAGGGTGAGTTTCTTCGCTATTTACAAAATGGTGACGTATTTACAAAATGCGCGCAATCAGTCGACGTAAAATTCAGGATGCAAATACCATCAAATGGAATGTGTTTTGGGGACCCCCCGCGACCTACACCGACGCCGCGTCGTCGCCAAGACGCTAAGACACCGTCATGCACGAGATGAGCTGTTGGCACAGCTGGTTGTAGATCAGGTGGTCGCCCGATATCCGACGCATCTTGAGCCCCTTCGAGTGCTTCTGCTTGTCGACGATCTTGAGTTCGATCTGGATGCCGCCCTCGTACTCGAGGCTCAGCCGGTCGGAGACGTCCTGCGAGCTGACCAGCTGCTTGGGCGGTATCTGGTCGTTGATGGTCTTCTTCACCATCTCGAGGATGTCGTTGGAGTGGAGGCGCGAGCAAACGTCGCTCAGTTCCAACTCGAAACTGCCAGAGTTCTTGTGCAGGGTCGCCGGGTGGGCGGAGAAAGACGCGCGCGCCTCGTCCACGAAACGGCCCGACGTTTCGTTCAATGTCAGTTTCAGGTTCTGGAAAGATAAACGCCGGTTTAATACCCCAAGAGCAAGCGTCTCTGAGGGACAGTATCGCTTTTATAAAAGACAAAATCCTGTTATTAGGCAGGTACATTAATGACGTTTCAACCACGCCGGTTTAATACCCCAAAAGCAAGCGTCTCTCAGGTACAGTATCGCTTTTATAAAAGACAAAATCCTGTTATTAGGCAGGTACATTAATGACGTTTCAACCACGCCGGTTTAATACCCCAAGAGCAAACGTCTCTCAGGGACAGTATCGCTTTTATAAAAGACAAAATCCTGTTATTAGGCAGGTACATTAATGACGTTTCAACCACGCCGGTTTAATACCCCAAAAGCAAGCGTCTCTCAGGGACAGTATCGCTTTTATAAAAGACAAAATCCTGTTATTAGGCAGGTACATTAATGACGTTTCAACCACGCCGGTTTAATACCCCAAGAGCAAGCGTCTCTGAGGGACAGTATCGCTTTTATAAAAGACAAAATCCTGTTATTAGGCAGGTACATTAATGACGTTTCAACCACGCCGGTTTAATACCCCAAGAGCAAGCGTCTCTGAGGGACAGTATCGCTTTTATAAAAGACAAAATCCTGTTATTAGGCAGGTACATTAATGACGTTTCAACCACGCCGGTTTAATACCCCAAAAGCAAGCGTCTCTGAGGGACAGTATCGCTTTTATAAAAGACAAAATCCTGTTATTAGGCAGGTACATTAATGACGTTTCAACCATGCCGGTTTAATACCCCAAGAGCAAGCGTCTCTCAGGGACAGTATCGCTTTTATAAAAGACAAAATGCTGTTATTAGACAGGTACATTAATGACGTTTCAACCACGCCGGTTTAATACCCCAAAGAGCAGGCGTCTCTCAGGGACAGTATCGCTTTTATAAAAGACAAAATCCTGTTATTAGGCAGGTACATTAATGACGTTTCAACCACGCCGGTTTAATACCCCAAAAGCAAGCGTCTCTCAGGGACAGTATCGCTTTTATAAAAGACCAAATGCTGTTATTAGGCAGGTACATTAATGACGTTTCAACCACGCCGGTTTAATACCCCAAAGAGCAGGCGTCTCTCAGGGACAGTATCGCTTTTATAAAAGACAAAATGCTGTTATTAGACAGGTACATTAATGACGTTTCAACCACGCCGGTTTAATACCCCAAAAGCAAGCGTCTCTCAGGGACAGTATCGCTTTTATAAAAGACAAAATGCTGTTATTAGACAGGTACATTAATGACGTTTCAACCACGCCGGTCTAATACCCCAAGAGCAAACGTCTCTCAGGGACAGTATCGCTTTTATAAAAGACAAAATCCTGTTATTAGGCAGGTACATTAATGACGTTTCAACCACGCCGGTTTAATACCCCAAAAGCAAGCGTCTCTGAGGGACAGTATCGCTTTTATAAAAGACAAAATCCTGTTATTAGGCAGGTACATTAATGACGTTTCAACCATGCCGGTTTAATACCCCAAGAGCAAACGTCTCTCAGGGACAGTATCGCTTTTATAAAAGACAAAATCCTGTTATTAGGCAGGTACATTAATGACGTTTCAACCACGCCGGTTTAATACCCCAAAAGCAAGCGTCTCTCAGGGACAGTATCGCTTTTATAAAAGACAAAATCCTGTTATTAGGCAGGTACATTAATGACGTTTCAACCATGCCGGTTTAATACCCCAAGAGCAAACGTCTCTCAGGGACAGTATCGCTTTTATAAAAGACAAAATCCTGTTATTAGGCAGGTACATTAATGACGTTTCAACCACGCCGGTTTAATACCCCAAAAGCAAGCGTCTCTCAGGGACAGTATCGCTTTTATAAAAAACGAAATCCTGTTATTAGGCAGGTACATTAATGACGTTTCAACCATGCCGGTTTAATACCCCAAGAGCAAACGTCTCTCAGGGACAGTATCGCTTTTATAAAAGACAAAATCCTGTTATTAGGCAGGTACATTAATGACGTTTCAACCACGCCGGTTTAATACCCCAAAAGCAAGCGTCTCTCAGGGACAGTATCGCTTTTATAAAAGACAAAATGCTGTTATTAGACAGGTACATTAATGACGTTTCAACCACGCCGGTTTAATACCCCAAAGAGCAGGCGTCTCTCAGGGACAGTATCGCTTTTATAAAAGACAAAATCCTGTTATTAGGCAGGTACATTAATGACGTTTCAACCACGCCGGTTTAATACCCCAAAGAGCAGGCGTCTCTCAGGGACAGTATCGCTTTTATAAAAGACAAAATCCTGTTATTAGGCAGGTACATTAATGACGTTTCAACCACGCCGGTTTAATACCCCAAAAGCAAGCGTCTCTCAGGGACATATCGCTTTTATAAAAGACAAAATGCTGTTATTAGACAGGTACATTAATGACGTTTCAACCACGCCGGTTTAATACCCCAAGAGCAAGCGTCTCTCAGGGACAGTATCGCTTTTATAAAAGACAAAATCCTGTTATTAGGCAGGTACATTAATGACGTTTCAACCACGCCGGTTTAATACCCCAAAAGCAAGCGTCTCTCAGGGACAGTATCGCTTTTATAAAAGACACAATCCTGTTATTAGGCAGGTACATTAATGACGTTTCAACCACGCCGGTTTAATACCCCAAGAGCAAACGTCTCTCAGGGACATATCGCTTTTATAAAAGACAAAATCCTGTTATTAGGCAGGTACATTAATGACGTTTCAACCACGCCGGTTTAATACCCCAAGAGCAAACGTCTCTCAGGGACATATCGCTTTTATAAAAGACAAAATCCTGTTATTAGGCAGGTACATTAATGACGTTTCAACCACGCCGGTTTAATACCCCAAGAGCAAACGTCTCTCAGGGACAGTATCGCTTTTATAAAAGACACAATCCTGTTATTAGGCAGGTACATTAATGACGTTTCAACCACGAAGGTTTAATACCCCAAAAGCAAGCGTCTCTCAGGGACAGAATCACTATCAAAACTTTGGGCATGTGGAAAATTATAAGAACGTCAGGTCACAGATGAACATTCTACAACCCTTAATTTTTTCGAGAATTTAAGTAAAGTGGTTTTGATCACAGATTGTACAGGTTCCTTCTTGAAGTGGTACATTTAACCGAATATTATTTAAGTTTCATTTTAAGAGTAAAATAATCTACGAATAAAAAAAAAAAACAAACAAAATAATTAAAATTTTTACCTGAAATATCTGAAAGTTTTGCGCCTGGCCCCCCGCGTTGCACAGTTCCCTGTTTAACTGGGCGGAATCGACGCTCCGGTGCCGGAATTCGTTATCGAACGCGTGGCTCGACTGAGTGTTCGAGCTACTACTCGGACTCTGGTTGCCGATGCTCAGGCTGTCGTTGGAGAGCGAGTCGTCCGAGTAGCAGGAGTTCCTTCTTAAAAAAAACTCGTCGGGTTGGGGGGGCGGCGGCTGCTGCTGCTGCTCCTCCGTCGTCCTAGGCTCGCCCTCTTGACTCGTCTTGCGTCCGATGCCCCTCGTGATGCTCGGCGTGTTCTCCGACGGTTCCGATATTATAAACGACGGGATTTTCGACACCCGGTGATTTTCCAGACTGTCCATCGAGTCCTCGGACGTGTCCGAGCCGGCCACGAGGGTCACTTCGCTGCCCAACACGTCCGTGACGGATATCTGCGGGTGGCCTTCGGCCTTCGCCTGCGGATGCTGCGAAGACGCCTCCTCCTGGATCATGTCGAGCCCCGGGCTGCCCGGATTGCTGATCGGCGAGTTGGTGAGACTCCGGTGACCGTGCACGTTCAGCACGTGCATATGATGGGGCACCTGGTGAAGGTGATACGAGCCGAGCGATATCGGACCGGTGTCCATTTTGTCGTCGTGGACGACGGACCCCAGTTGCAGACTAACCGAAGGCGTGCCCTGCGTGATCGATCCTCCGGCCGTGTTCAAACCGCTCAAACCTGAAACGCGCCGAACCGTCTACAGGCGGGCGGAGCATCGCCACCGATCGTTTACCTTGCGTAATCGAGGACAAGCTGGTGCCGCCGCTGCCGGTCGACGCGCAGCCGTAGGCGGGAGACTGACTCAGCAGGGGGTTAAGAATCTGAGACGTCCCGGTGGGAAACATACTTAGACCCTGCGACGTGAAGGTAAAATAATTTAACGTAAAGTGCAGATAAATTCTGTATTTCAGTTTTTAAGAGCACCTCAAATCTTTCCTGTATTAAGCCCCCCCCCCCACAGACGCTCAGTTTTTTAACACAGGCCAACTGTGCAGGCCTGTCCCACACACACGCAGTTTTATAGCACAGTTCTTTCTATACTGGGGTAAATTCACACTCATTAGTTTTGGCGCGGTTTTTCTATACTTAGTAAAAGAAAACGGCTTCTCGAGACACGCCATCATATTGCATTGTGCTTCCCTGTGCAATAAAGAAAAAGCAAAAAAAGCAACGGTTGGTGAAAAGAAGCAAATGGACCAAAGATTGGTTACTCAAAAGAAATGATTACTCCCATGTCAATTTGCTTGCTGATTTGAAACTCGAGAAGCAGGATTGGTTTAACTACCTAAGAATGGACGAGACGACCTACTTGAAATTATTGAAACTCGTTTCTCATTTAATACAAAAGCAAGACACACGCATGAGACAATCAGTTTCATGCCATGAGCGGTTAACAGCTATTTTTTTTAACCACAACTTCCCTATTTGCTCCCGTATCAACTTCTTTGAGTTTTTCGACCAACACACCATAGGCTGCGGACTTTTTATTTCGGTCACTTTATTCTTTACTCTTTATTTTCCATAAACATGCTAAGCTTTTGTATATGTTGCTTACTATTTTTGGACTCCAAATAAACCTTAAAACTGAACAAATCAACTGAACGAGTCCCACACACGCTCAGATTTCCACGTTTGCGCGGGCTAAATTCAAGCACGGTCCGATTTTGCTCGGGCCCGGCCAACGGCCTGCGCAGTCGGCCGGACGTTCACACAAACGAACCGATACGCCTGCACAAACTGCACGGGCAGCCTGTATTAAAAAACTGAGCGTCTGTAATGTAAAGAGTTTTATTATTATATTTCGTACAAAAAGGTTTATGCAAAATTACATTTATATTTCAAGACCTGGGTATTTTTTGCATTTTCTTGAGTGGTAGGATATAGTAGTAATATTTGCAAGAAACTCTCGAGGCAATCACCATAGTTACAGTTAACGCTTTATAATTGTCTCACATTAAGACCCAGTTGTAGTAAACAAACGATTTTGATCGATCCGAATGGCTTTAGAAAAAATTCCGAACGTTTTGCATCCATTTAGCAATCACACGCCAAATCGTATCAACGATGATGACAGTAACAACCCAATCAGAAACCTTAATTTTGTAACAGACTATAAATTAAGGTCTCCGATTGGTTGTTAGCGTCATAAAAATAAATGGTGGATTTTGTTTAAATGCTGCCACGATTGATTACTTTGATACTATGACATTTGATACATTTCAACTACTCCGGCTCTTTTTAACATTGATTTTCGTTGGACCAACCATGGCATTAACTCGTCTACGAATCGAATGTGCAAGCTGACAAATATTTTACTCACAAATAACGAGCATATTGATTTATTTTCTGACTCTCTCAGTAGTTTTAATCGCAAAGTAAAGATGTCTATTTTTAGTCAAAACTTGGTAGTCTAGCAACTGTAAGTTAAATTAAATTTTAATTTAACTTTATTAATTAAATTTTAATTTAAATTAAATTTTTATTAATTAATTAATTAAATTTTAATTTAGTTACCGGTGAAAATAGCTGTCCTCCCCCGCCGCCCCCGTGCAGGGGACTCCTGTCGTAGCCGCCCAACGCGCCCGGTATGTAGTTCTCGGGCGGCAGGCCCAGCGTCGGGTCCACGCCAATCGACGCCGGGTAAAACTGGTGAATAGGGGACGCCCCTTCGGAAGCGAGCTGGTGCCGCAGCGCCGGGTCCGACATCATTTGGTGAATCGGCGAACCTGAACACGGGTCGACAAGAAAGCCATAGTAAAAGTTATAGTTTTTCGATTGAAGCTATTAATTCTTGCGCCGGTGTTCACCGACTCATTTATTATTTAATCTCGGCATATTTTCACGCTATTCTGTCAAACAAACGTCACATCAAAACGGAGAACTATCAGCTGCCAAAAGTGTTCTATATTTCTAGTACCCATACGCAACAGTTAACACAAACCTAAACTTGTTTGACCTAAATATAGACTTCAATCGGTCCACAAATGGACAAAATACAAGCAGTAGGAGACTTAAGAAGTCTTTTTGTTCTGGCTGTCAAACGGTAAAGTATACTGGGTTGATCAGATCACAGTTTCACTATGATTATGCACACCACACACGACAATGGTGTGATTTTGTAATTTGAAATTTCATTTATTCACATATGGCAAGTTCTATGTATCTCAGGGAACTTTAACGCGGAAATAGTCTTTTCTTTATCAGTACGGCAAACATTGGAATTATTAAATACGGGCATCGCGTTGGAATATTTACGAAACCAATTTCCACATCAAATCATGACCTTCAAAAGAAAGCAATGGAACGGTGGTAACAATAAAGTTATGGCATGGAATAACGAGATTTCAGGGTGTAAATGCCCTCCGCATATAATGTGAAAAAATAGAACGCAACTGTATTGGAAAATCCACGAATCCATGTTTTTATGGCGACATTTGAAAAATTTCTCGAGCCATAAAGAACTACCAATTCTGAGAATTAAACTTTGACACTCCGTATCTTTCTGCTGATTCTGTCATTTTACTAAGGCATATTTGACTCAATATACCTTCGATGATTAGTGGGTTTTCTGTAAAGGGGTAAAATAAATAAAAACAAGAATATACCCGGTATAGATCTGGGCGGGCTGGACCGGTTCTGGAGGCCGCGTTGCAGCCGCTGGCACTCCTGCTGCGGCGTGGACGGGCTCAGGTTCCGGCATCCGCTCGCCGATCCCTCGCTGCCCCGCCTCACAGGCGAGAATCGTTCGGCCGACTTTTGCTCGCGACCTAAACGCACGCGTCGACAATTAGACCGAAAAGCGGCGGAACCTGACCGGGCGTAAAACATCGAAAAACGTGCGGACGATCAAAAGCACCTACCCTGCAGTTCCTGCACCGTGGGCAATTGGGGCTTAACGTGTCTGCTATGCTTACGCTGCTGCGGCAGTAGCGACGGCATGTAGTTGCGGCGCATGCGCGCCTCGACCTCCATCACGACTTCGGGCGGTATTACTGACATTTGTACGACAAAAAACGCATGCGTAAAACAAAAAAAAAAAAATAAACGATAAAAAAAAACGAAAAAAAAAAGCGCAATTAAAAACAACAACAAATGGGAGGGTCGCGTGCTCGACGATTAAAAAGCTAACGCCCATATGACAATACTTCACAGCGACAAATTTTTAGTATTTTAATTTGAGATTCAACTTATAGTTTCCGCGTAAAGTGCATTTCGGGGTAGAACTCACCCAATTCTGACCACGGCGTATAACAACCTATATATACGGTATTAATATTGTGGAAATTATTTAAATCTTAATGTTACTCTACTCCACCTTGATGAATGACCGAAAATAATTTCAAAAGGCAAGTTAAAAGCTGAAAATTGATTTCAGAATAAAACTTTTATATAGGTAAGTCTATTAAAAATTTCTTATTTCTTCTCATCGATTGACGCATCGATACTCACGAGCAGACCCAAAGATTATCTAAATTTTATATAGGTACTTTAAACCCTTTCAAAAATAATAAAAAAAAGTGGTCCCTTTTGTCTTTTAAAATTCTATTGACCCTAGAAATTAACGGATAGTTTTATGAAACGCCCAGTAATTGCAGTGATAATTTACTAAGTGTAACTTTCTGTATATTTTTTAAATAATTGTTTACACTATATTCTAGCAAAATGCCCGCTATTTTATTATTTAATATTCAAATATGAAGCATTTATTTGGCCGAGTAACTAATTTTCTAATCATAACTTTATTTCATTTTATTTTAATAAACAATTTTATTACGGCAGATTTTTACCTTCGGAAAGATAATTTTTTTATTTTACCTTTTAACGCTAATAAGGTAGTCGGGTGAATAATGAAGTGTACAAAAATGTTTCTCAGCTGCCGTAGACGTTATTTTGAAATTTTTTTTTAGCTGAGACTTACAGTTAAAATTTTCGTAAATTACTACGCCAGCAGAAAATTTAACAATGTAGTATTCAGACAAAAGGAATTTGATAACATCGCTTTCATCAATCAGATAATGTTTGCTTTATTTTATTTTTTTTTAGTCGAAGGCTGCTCGACTAATTTCAGTTGCGCATTTTATTTGGCCAAAATACAGGTTATAGAATTCTATCCGTGACGCCCATAAACTAGTCACGTTAAATATCCACAGATTTAGGAAAAAATCACGGACCACCTCTTAAAATATAACTCCTCGCGTTATCGTTTTGTTATTGGAAATACGTGACGTTCGTATCTCTTCCAGAAGTTTTACAGCGGATCGTCTTTATATACCGGGTGTCCCAGTAAGGGCAATGGAGTACGGTATTAGAGAAGCGGACGTACCAAGAAATTTGAAAAAATAAATAAATAAATCGGCCAGGTGAAATTGCCGCCAGAGGGCGTAATTGCTATCTTGATTTTTAAACCTCAGTTTCTAGAAAAAATTATAATATTAACCATAGTTAAAGTGACTATTCGATAGCTGAGATTAATTTAGACCTTTTTTGTTTAATATTGATTGTAAGGAAAGTGCTTGGGCATGTTCGCATATTTTCAGAAATAATTTTAAAATGGGTAAAGTATTTTACTAAACTGGCACTTTAATAAAGTAGTCGACTATCAATCGCGATATGGCTTTCTCTGACATATTCACAAAAAAAATATTTTTCTGAAAAAAAAAAATGCCCCTTATGATTTTAGATGTCCAAATAATGGCCTGACAAGTCAGTGAAAACCGTATTAACCTAAAATATGAATAACCATACTTCAAATCAAATTGATGGTTTTGTCTTTGTCTCGTTAAAAGTTTAGACACACGTTTATCACTTGTTTTAATCCCTTTTATGCTATTTCGGAAAGTTTCTCTATACTCAATTTGTCCTTCATATAACTAGTGAAATGTTGATTAACACTCATGAAAACCTCGACAATTCTTTTCATGAAAATTATATCAATAATTCTGCGGGACGAAAAAAATATATCGTGAAATTCTGAGCCATTAATGGGAACAGGTCCATCATTTGTATTTTCAATTTGTTCGTTCTGATCTACTTATTACGTCAAAATAAACGATTGAGGTAAAAATATTTATCTGACCATATTTTTGTAGAAAATTGAATTCTCTATAAAAAATTTTCGAAAAATATTGATCAGACGAGCAGTTTCCAAGAAATCAAGCCCTATAACATCAATACGTTTTTTTGTTGGAATTTTGTTGCTTACAAACAACTCAATATACAAATTTGAGAAATAAATCTTTGTTTTTTTTTTTCGTTTTTCGCTCAACTTTTTCCACTCAATGGAACAAATTCGTATTCTACATCATCGAAATTAATTGGTATCTATTTAAAACGTTCTTTTCTTATTATTAACCGTTATCATCAATCAACCAATGCAGATATATTAAAAAAATAATAATAATTTGGGATATCTAGATTTTCTTCTACTTATTACCCAAAGCGACAACCTTTATAAAAAGGTGGTACTTCCTTATAATTCTAACTTGAAACGACGTTTTTATGAAATTTTTAAGAAAATTAACATATTTTAAATTCGGTTCGAAACCTAGATTAACAATCCAAAAATGAAACTGTAGAATCGAACAAAAAAAATAGATTCTATGAGCACTGTCGTTTTATGCTTAATTTCGATCAAAAAATATTATTTTGTCGCTGAAAAGTGTCCATTGCGTGCGCACGTGTTACGTCATGCACTCACCCGGCGGTCTTTCGGTCACGGTTAAGAGGCCGGTCCTGCGCGTGCGTCCGCCCGACGCCGCGGACGTCGTCGCCTGCAGCGAGTGTACGTCCTCCGGGTTGGCCATCGTGTGCCTCTTGGTGTTGCCGCGGCCCTGAAGATACCTGCCCGGCAGAAAAATCCACAAATAGGTCAACGAAAGGAGGGCGCGCGCGCGCGACTCTAACCTCGCGGCCGCGGCCAGTTCGTCGAGCTGGGCGTGGTCGAGCGCCTGCCCCGCCGTCCCGCTACTTAGGCTGCTCGGGTTGCCGCTCGAGCTATTCGACATCATCGACAGGTGCTCGTGGGAACCGGGCGCGCCCCACGACATGTGCAAGTTGGCCCCGCCATCTTAAACACGATTTCCGAACGTTAAAAGGGCTGTATATTTAGCACTTATTTCTTGCGGGTACAACTAAACCGAAGCATAACAAGTCTTATGCGCCCGATGGTATATCAGCAGTTCTGTTAAGGAATTGTGTTGCTTTTTGATTACAATAAATTTATACAAATCTGTGGTCTGGCGGACCACAGATTTGTATAAAATCGCCCAACTCCTTGGCAAATAGTTGCTGTCGTGGTGTGTTAAACGTTTGATTGTTGATAAGAAGCACGGCTTCGTTTGTGAGGGGTTGACTGTTATTAATCTCCTTACTTATGAACAATACCTTGGAGCTTGGAGCTTTTGAGCAGGACCATACTGACTTTTGTAAGGTTAACCTTCTTGGTACGGGTATTAAGTTGGATATAGCTAATTGGCTTAGAAACTATCTAGAAGCCAGAGTTCATCAGTTTTCGCTAGTGTTCCCCAAGGATTGCACTGTGCCTGCTATTACGGACAATCCTAAGCAATTTAAGTTTATGATCGGAGATAAACGGTTCGAGAAACTTGGGATTTTGTTACTAGAAATAGTGCTGATCTATTTTCCTCGTGCGCTCTAGAATGGAACATGCTTCAGTGATCTGGTACCCCATATATGGCAGCTTGTGTTCATGAAAAATAAAGTTTTTGCGAACCTTAGCATTTAAAAGAAATACGAGCAATTATAATGCAAACGACGACAGAATTAATTATAGTCCAGCAGCTGAAAACTTTGGGGGCGGTGCCATTTCTTTAAGATTGTCAATGGGTTTCTTTACTGTCCCGCAATACTGCGAAATTCTATCTTTAATACTGTTAAAAGGACTATTTCCCTATATTTTAACCGAAAACTAACCAAAAACAATGCCGCTAAGCTTCCAAAACCAATTTATTTGATACTAATTTTTACTTCTCCTTTGCGTCTCGGAGAATACTGTTTCGCCAAATATTCAAGCGTCAGCGTGGCTGTGTTATCCATTGCAGCGTTGAAATTCAGAGATGGTTGGGCGAATTAAATTTATTACCTTCATTAACTTCACTTTCCCCTACGTCGAAAATTATGTAAAGCGAATTTAAGCGATGTTGAGAACGCTCAATGAAGAGGCGCGAATCAGTGATTTTGCTATTTTTAAGTGTTACTCAAACGTGTAATATTAATTCTTATTGTATATTTAATTTAATTAAAGATGCTTATTTCATTGTAACTTGTAAATAACTAATATACTCATAAATCCAACTAACCTAACCTAAAAAATATTTTAACCATTTCAAAAAAACTGTAATCTATATGAAAAAAAAAAAAAAAAATATATATATATATATATATATATATATATATATATATATATATATATATATATATATATATATATATATATATATATATATATATATATATATATATATATATATATATATATTTTTTTTTTTTTTTTTTAAGAGGCCTACTAGAAGATAAAAGCGAATGAATTGCTTTAATTTCGAATTTTAACGCTTTTAATTTGTTTTTTTTATTGGAATTGGAGATTTGGACGTTTTCTGTGGGATTACGGGAAGAAAAATAAATAAATAATCGATCGACTTACCGGAAGCCCGCCTTCCGAAGCCCCCGGCGGCGCTTAAGACAGTCGGCGGCTTCAGCAGGTGGGGATCTTTGCCGCTAAAGTAGCGTGGATTCTGGTGGGCGAGGGCCGGCAAATGGAGGTTCCCGTACGGGTTCGGTCCGGAGCCCTCGGACACGGGCACGCCCATGTAATGGTTTTCGAGTACCTGTTCGTGGGCGCAGTCGCCGGGTCCGACCGTGTGACGTCTCGCGGTGAGGTACTTGTCGCCGGACGAGGAACCGTAGCCCGTCGACGCTGACGGTATCGCCAACGAGCACGTATCCTCGCCTTGGTCCAGGTCCATCTCGCCGAATTTCTCAAGGGGTTGCTGTTCGCCGCCTTCGCCGTCGCCGTCGGCCAAATAAACGGCGGGTATCGCAGGCATCGACACGAATGGCGAGCCGACCTCCTCGCCGTCGTTAAACGACCGGCGGCGTTCCGCGGCGATCCCGAACGGCGGCTCGCCCCTCAGGCAGTTCTCGTTAAAGCTGCGGTCATAGAAGTGCAATCTAGCTGCGTAACTAAATGCAAACAAGGTCGAGTGTGCTGTGCGACGCACAGTGGTCATTTATGCCAATTTAGGCGTAGAAATCTTAGATTTTAACCGAACTTCCGTTGGGCTAATAGTTTTAGACATGATAATTAATTTAATTAAGATATATTCCAGGTATTAGCTACGTGTTTATAAATATTTAGTATAAAATATTTTAAGTAAATAATCAACTTAAATATTTCTCTGTGTTAGGCGCAAGTATATTTGTCAAAATTTGTTCTTACGTCCTTCTCATAATTTTATTTTTAATCATGTGTATTTCATTCGGCAAGTGGCTAACGCAAGTTTTTCTTTTCGGAACCGTTTGCAATTCTTCCGCATCGCGGAAACGGTGCTGTTAAAATTATTAATTTCTCTCTGTACAACATTGGCACCGGTGATTATGTAGATCATTCGTTAAATTGAACTTTCTTAAAATAAATTTAAGAAAGGCCCTTCTTGACGCCCAATTTTGTAACTAACAAGAAGTGATATAATATAATTTAATATAAATATACTTTTTAAAAAATTCTTTGTTACTTATGTGTAATTTTTTTAAATAACTTTATGCCCTTGCGTTGCTCTGTAAGATAACAGAATCCAAATTTACACAGCACAATATAATAGCGAAAAATTAAAACCCGAGTTGACAATAATTGTTTGATATTTGAAGTGTTTTCGTGGCCAGCTATAGGCAAAAAAGCACGTTAAACAATATTATTCCTTGGAATGTTTCGTTTAATATTACTGCATAAAATAAATAATTTTTGAAACATAGCTTTTCATTTATTTAATAATATGGGATTTTAGAGGAGTGTATTTGCAGCATTAATTTGTCATTGTGTATTATTGTTCGTGACACCTATTTTTAAAAGCGGTCAAAGGGCAAAATCATAGCATTCATACATAATCTAAAAATTCAAAGCTCTTTGCCTTGTTAGGAAACTACCAAGTGTGTGGTGCAAAGGTTTAATTTCTAAAAATCAACATCGCTTTTGTCCAGGCAAGTCCTAACTTAACATAATAATATACGGATGTTTTGAAGGCTTTAGGATATTGTAACAGTTGTCTAAATATGATTTCACGGCCACAATCTTTAATATTTCTATATTTTAAGAATAACGAGAGTTTAAAATATACTAACGTACTACAGTCGAACTTCGATAAGTCGAATTTTTGATAAGTCGAACCAAATTGGTTGGCAATAGCGTCAAAAGTAGGAAATGCGTGTTAGTTTTGTCTTGATTGAAGGAAACATGTGGTGCCAACTTCGATAAGTCGAATTTTCTCGGGGAGCCCCCTAATTACGACCGATCTTAACCTGTCTTTTCAACGTATCTATGCAAGCAGTTCAGTTTCTGTGTTCTAGTTAATACTAAGTGAAAAATACTGTCCCTATTCAATTTACACATTATATTAAAGACATTTTTGGATTTTTGCATTTGTTGATATGGCATCAAAACGTACTTAAAGCTTTGTCTGTTGATCAAAAATTCAAGGTTATAAAAGAAGTGGAAAGTGGCTCAAAAAATAAAGATGCCGCTGTGAAGTATGGGATTTCGGCAAGTACAGTGTCTACAATTTTGAAAAATAAACATTCAGTCATCACCGCAATGGAACGTTTCCAAGAAAACAAAAACAATAACATTAAACTAATGGATTGTGTTGACGACGTAACTACCGCCCGGAATATTGACGTTAAGCCTGAAACAATTTCCAATTGTTTTAAAAAATGGGAAGAAGAAGATGGGGTTCCCTTGACTTTCCTAAGTGAACGCCTGAAAAAGAAGAGTGAAGACGAAATCCAAATAGAAATCGAGTTTAAAGCTTGGACAAACATTAGAGGTATAGCAGAGGGTAGCACCATCAACGATTTTGTACATGTGGATGAGGATATTGTTACTTCAGAGTTTTCTACTGATGAAGATATTATCGAGTCCTGCAGATCCGAACCGGTACAGTTAAACATCGAAGATGACCGCGAAAGTGACACCATGGAAGAGGAATTGGAAGATGATTCCCAGCAACCACCTTCAAATGAATTGGTTGAAAATTCGTTGATTGTCTTGCGTTCCTAGTGAATACACAACCGATTCCCTCTATGATTGTTTAAATAAAATTGAAGCTTTTGTTGAAAACCAAAATAAGAAATCCGGGTCGTCAGTCACAAATAATTGACTTTTTTCCAGTGAAAGAGTAAACTTTAATATGTACATACATATGTATGTACTGGGTACATATGCAATACATTTTTATGTACATATATTATGTAAATAAATACATCCATATGTACTACTACATATTTCATAATTTTTCGTTTTTTATTCAAAAATCATGGATATTGGGGCATTTATGTAACGTTCAACCACAACAAAGTACATTCATTTGTAGTTTTTATTGATAACTCGAAATTTTCATGTGTCAAATCGCAGTTCGACTTATCGAGGTTCGACCGTATATATAAAAACACTCTCCTGTTAGATCCATATTAGAATATTGCTCTGTAATATGGTCAGAGTTATTTCAATTCTTTAGAGAAACTAGTTTTTTTACCAACTCTAGTAAATTGCCCAACTGACAGTTAACGGAGTTCCCTGCGTATAAACAAATGAAACAAAACGCTACTAGAGGCGTGATTTTATACCTTTCCCTTCTCCAAGTGGGAGATTGGAACGAGTTCAGTCTATCGTCCGCGGGGGTGCCCGGCGAGGACAGTCGCTCGTTGAACGACTCGCTGCGTTCGTTGACGTTCGCCGAGAGGAAGGACGACTCGCACGCCTCCTGAAAGACGTCGGTTCGAATGAACTACCGAAGCGCCGGCGGGAGAGTATGCGGCGACACCTACCGGCCGTTTCCTTTGCCTGGCGGCGACTTTGCTCTGGAAATTCATGGTGCGCCGCTTAAGTTTGTCGAGCAGCAGATGGTAGATGGCGTAGATGTGATCGAAAGAGTTGGTTTCCAGAGATCTGGCCACCGCGGCCCTGTCCAGCCCCGGCAACTGAAGCATGTGCTCTATGACAGTGTCGTTGAGCCGTTGGTCCTCCTCGGCGTCCAGTTCCAGCGGCGCCTCCGCGTCGCTCAGCCACCGGTGCTTGAGAATTTGGGTCACGGTGAGCCTCTTCTCGGGGTCGACCACCAGCATGTGACGTATGAGGTGTTCGCAATCTGAAGGAGTATGATAACAAACCATGTAATTGTAGAACGGACCCCGCTCAGGCCTACCCACCTTGCGACATAAAATAGGGTATCCGAAATTTCCCCTCGATGACCACGTTTCGGAGGGCTTGGAGCGTGGGACCGTCGAACGGTAAAGAACCGCACACCAGCACATAAATGACCACGCCCAAACTCTGGATGATTTTTACCGAAATAAAAAATTATATGGGTAGTGGTACAGAGATTCAAACAAAAAAACATTGTCCTGTCAGCACATTCACAAATTCCTTATCACCATCAAAGAGAAAAAAAAAAAACAAAACCGTCAAAAATTGAAAGCATTTTTTTCATTTTAATTGTCAAAAAGCGTTTTTAAACCTAGTTTATTTTTTAAATAGACTTGGTCCCTTTATTGGCCATTATAAGAACTAGATTTCTTTGTTTCTTCGGACTTCTTCCATCGTCTGATTTTTCATACCTTACACAAAGTATGTGACTAAATCACTATACGAACAGAATGACTTATTGTTGAACTTTGTTTCACTGAAGAAGCTTATTTTTATGTTCCGATAATTGACGAATAAAGGGCCGAAATGTCAGTATAGAAGCTGAAACGTTTTCAGCATTTGTCCACTGATGTTACCAAAAAACCCTCAACAACAACGGTTTCTCTCACCCAAACGTCCGCCTTTGGCCCATCATATTTCAGCCCGAGGAACAGCTCGGGGGCGGCATAGGGGGGCGAGCCGCAGAAGGTCGAAAGGGCGCAGCCCTCGCTGAATTGATTACTGAAGCCGAAATCGGCAAGCTGGAAAGTCCCGGTCAATCCGCCACATTCGACCAATCGGCAATCTTACCTTGATGTTAAAATTGTGGTCGAGGAGCAAATTCTCTGCCTTCAAGTCCCGGTGAACGACGCCCTGCTCGTGACAGTAACTGACGGCCGAAACTATCTGGCTGAAGATTCGTTTCGCTTCGGGCTCAGCCATACGGCCCTTGGCAACCAGATGGTCTGAAAGGGGCAACAAAAACATGTGGCTCTGGGCCCTGACCAATTGAGATTTTGGGTCTACCGAAAATCTCGCCGTTGCTGGCGTACTCCGTTACTAAATAGATGGTCTGTTTGGTCTCCATCAGCTGGTAGAGGCGGGTGACATGCGGGTGCCTCAGTTTTTTCAGGATCGCCGTTTCCCGGAATATTTTCGTGAGGTTCTCCTCGTCCAGCACGGTCTTGTCGATTATTTTTATCGCCACCTGTTTCGGATTTCGAAATTTCAAACCTCCGATTTCCGACCGTTGTTGATATCATCTCAACGTTAGAAAAACAACACAGACAAAACATAAACATTGATCCCACAACAAACAAAACCTTCGCGGTCTAATCGGCAGTGCCCTCGCGGCCGCCGACGTGTTCTTTTTGTCGATACCTCGGCCGCTGGAGCAGACATTCGGGGCTCCGGGGACAAACCAAAACAACACAAGCGGGGCCCACCCAACTTCGAAACGTTCGAGAAACAGCGAAAACGCGAGAAAAAGCGGGCCAACGTTTCGTTGCTGTACGAAACAAAGGCCTTAACGAATTCGGCCCCGAAAAAACAGTTTTGACATTTCGTCTGGAAAGTTTTACCTTGGTACGGGTGACGATGTGTGTCGCCGACTTGACCACCGCGAAATTGCCCTTGCCGATCGTTTTGTCCAGTTCGTAGTAGCCGACACGGACCAGTTTTTCCACGGGAAACGTTTTCGCGGACATTTTCGCACACACGAGGAATATCACGGCCGCGACACCGCAATCTTCAGCGACCACTGGATCGCCGTCCGCGGATCTAGTACGCCGTTTCGCGTGTAGATCTCACCACAACCGTCCTACGTCACGTGACGTCACGGGCACGTTCGGGCCTAATTTAATTGCAGCGGCCGAAAATCGATTTTCGGCGTGCCTTTACGAAAAAGGACTTTTTGAGATTATCTTATTGACATTAGTGGATAAGGGACGCTCCGCGGGTGCCCGCCGCAACACTTAAAGATAATTTCAGTGGAAGTATTGTTGGTTGCGTGTAGCGGCGATCGGAGGGAAAAACTCATTCTTTGCAATTAGCAGGGGTTTGCTAACTATAAGATCGGTCACGTTACGCGAAATAACTGGTTAAAAGGACGAGCGCCGTGTTATTAAACGTCAAAAAGTATTTGCGTAAAATATTAGTGAGGAGAACTCATCGACCTACGTGGCCGACGGGTATGTTCGAGCTCAATGACAACAGAGTCAATGGGATGAGGGTTGACGCAGAACAATTTTAAACTTTCGCTCTAGTTCCGTGCTACAGAGTTCAATCGCTACTCCTTTGACGTCAGCAACGACGATTGACGAACTTTGTCGCCACGCCACGGGGTTGGGGAAAGAGCGCATTTACGCAAGCCGCTTTATTGCACTACGGCAATGACGTTCGCTGAGATTTAAACTCGCCGCTGTACATATATAATTTAAACGAATTATTTATTAGGCTCATGCCGAGAATACGGAGAAGGTAAGAAAAACATGTCCCTAAATATCAAATGCAGCTGACATAAATTTGAAAAGATGGGAATATTGGGGGGTTAAAAATAGGAGCACCCATATGCATATGCAGCTGTTCGAATCACTTACGATGTCAGAGTAAACTTTGTTGGGAAAAAATTAGCAGCGCTTTACAAAGATGCAACGACCATGCAGTCAGGACATGCTGAAAATGCTAAACATAGAGGCGATGTAAGGACGCTGACGCAGTTTTGAAAGTTGTGAAGTTGATGTAATTAATGTTGATTCGTAAAATCAAATGAAATCAAAATGTGAGCCTTACTGTACAAAGAAAAACAATTAGGGCATCAAATAAACTGTTTGCATTAGGACAGCGCTCAGTGCATAAATTGGCGCACAAGGATCTTTTCAGCTACATAACAGCACTACAAGAACACCATCTTGTGCTTATTTGGGAAGGAGCGTACGAGGAAATGGGATTTTTACAATATTTTGACCAGGGAAGAAGTGTGAAATAACGGCATCATAATCTTTAGCGAATTTGATATTCTTTTCGTTTTGCTCGATCTGCTTAGATATGTTTTGGTTAATTTTGGCTATCCGAATCAAAGATCTCTTTTAAAAGAGTGTGTCTTACTCTATATTATATGTTTTAGAACCTTTTATTTTTGAAAATTACAAAAGTGAAATTTTTATTAGATAATCCTAAGGAGGGAAAACCATTTCATGAGTAAATACGCTCAGTAAATATAAAACTAGCCATCAACCGTTGACGAGTGAATTAACCCACTAAAATTCTATAAAAATCAACATTCAGTGTTATAATAAAGCTTGTTGAAATGCAGTTTTTTTTCGGTGTTTTACAATCGATGGATAACTTGCGAACTCGTTAGATCTACCGAATTTTGTCTAGATCCGGCAGCACTCCGTAAACAAAACATCGAAACCCGAAGGCAACGTAACAACAGTCATCTATCGGCGTTCTATGCAAGCACGAATGCCTACTTGTTTTATACCGCAGTTCCCTTCTACTAATCTCTACTACTAATCATTCGTCCCCCGGTCGCTAGATGAGGCAAGCTGCGTTTCTTGGCGCTTGCTTATAAAATTTGTGGTTACGAGGACAGACCGGATTATCATCGAAACTGGACTTTAAATATTAATAACTTTAAAACTGGAATTCACCCTAGAAGTTCAAATTTAATCCCCCAGCGATGTTTTATGCGGTATCGCGTTTACGCGACAAATAAAAAGCTCCACGCCGTTATACGAAATGCGGTCCCCGCGATAACGCGTTGCGTTTTTTATTACCGACTAATGGAGTCGATAAAAGGTAATTTTTAGACACAGTAAGCATGTGGAAAAAGATATGACTGTATCGTCGGTCCTAGTTTTACTCAACTTGTTGGGTGAGTATCTCGCTTGCAATTAAATCGCATTACGCGAATTTGGACGGGTTTTCCAAGCCCCGTTCTTGTTTTTATTTTTGTCTTCGATGGTCGCAGGTCTAACGTCTTGCCAAGATCGTATCGTCGGCGGCAGGGAGGCCAATATTCAAGATTTTCCGTATCAGCTGGCTCTGAGGTAATCCGATCGGCCTATATCACACCCCGTATAATTTTGGCGTTCCGGAGTGTTGATAAAAAAATAGCATATAACTATGAAACAATACGGTGAACGTAAGGACGGTAAAAATTGATGCGTCCCAGGCGACCATGATGTATTTCCGCGCACGCCCCTACTTCACAACACACGCACTGTACACCATTTTGTTTATAAACACCTATCTCCATTCACTTACTTATTTTTCGCTAAAGACGGAATCTGGGCATATTTTGAGAAAGTACCGTCGCAAAAATATGCCGGCTGAAAACTGGGAATTGTCGAATTGACGAACTGTCAGCTGCCATCTTGATTGTTAAACGCCGCCAAGTCTCGTTGAAATTTAAAATGGCCGCGCATGCGCATACCCTTTTGAACATTTGTTTTTTTATGTTGACCCCAAAACTGCCTGTACTATCAGCATATGTAGGGCCTATATATATGTACCTGCTAGGTATATGATAAAACGACGCAACAAGAGCAATTAAACTTAATTTTTCAAATAAATCTCCACATCTCGATTTTGTACCTACTTATTTTCTTGGTTAAATATTGAAAAGCTACATGACATTAAAATGGTCGAAAACTAGTCACATTATACAATTTTATTATTTTAATAATAAAAAATCCCTTAAAACAGAATAAACACCCCTGATTGAGTTATGACGCGCGAGAGAGAGTGAGATGGAAGGAGGGGGTGGGAGGGAGGGAGGGAGAGAGAGAGGGAGAGAGGGAGAGAGAGAGAGATCATTTATAAATACTTAGAATATATAAATATGATTGTATAAATAAAGTATTTTCATGCAATAATGAAAATTGTTAATGTATACGTCATTGGAGAGATCGACTTTGGGGTAAGAGAAGGTATCGGGTTGGAAAAATTTTGTACACCGGTAATTGGCTATTTTGGGTCGGAAAGGTTTCGAACCACGAAAAAAAGTAAGGACTTTATCAAAAAGTATTTATTTATTTATCAAAATTAATGTTGTCCTCTTCAAAGGAATCCCCCACAGAGATAATAAACTTCTGCCAACGTTTTTTCCAATTCTCGAAGCACTTCTAGTAAGCACTTTCTGCTATAGCCTCGAGATCTTCCAGCGATGTTTTCTTTATCTCCTCGATCGTTCCAACCTCCTTCCTTTCATGAGTTTCTTGAGTTTTGGAAAAAAAATCGCAGGGGGCCATATCCGACGAATATGGTGCCTGAAGCATCATTGTGGTTTTGTTTTTGGCCAAAAAAAGACACTAGCAACGATGAGTGAGCAGGTGCATTATCTTGATGCAAAATCCATGAATTGTTTTCCCACAATTTCGGACGTTTCCTTCGTATTGCTCTTTATTAACCGTACGACTTTGTGGTAAGAACTCTTGAAGTACTACGCCACGACAATCAAAGAAAACAGACGTGCTTTTTTCGGTCTTGGCGATTCTGGGTTCTTCCATTGGAACGACTGGGCTTTGGTTTCGACGTCATAACCATAGACCCATTGTTCGTCAGCAGTTATGCCTCGCTCTTGAGCGATGCCTGTTCGACGGTCCTTGTAATTTTGAGTACAAAACAGTTAAAAAAAAGATTTTTGGAAATAAAAAACACCAAAAAAGTAAGAAATTATTTTAATAACTAAAAATATAGTTACGAGTGATGGGACAGGGAAATCAATAATCGTGTATATTTTAAGTCTTTTTGAAATATTTTTCGTGAATAAATGCATTTTTTTTAAAGCGTGCAAAAATTACAATAAGTTTATTGAATAAGACTCACAGAACTTGGGCGGGTCTTTAAGACTAGGTAAGTACGTAAAGCTAATAGACGAGAATTTGAATTGGTCTGATATTGACCATTTACTTAAAAAAGTCGCTCTTCATTGTTCGGATGTCGAGATTATTTAACGGTTCGCTCTAGAATGAATGTCTACAATGCATTTTTCATGCCCCACCTAAGATATCTGATTCCTGTTTGGGAAACTTATGGTGCGTTAGTTCTAAATCTATTCTTCAATTATATAGATAGATAATATGAGCAAGAGAGAGACAACGATAGTCCGCTTCTCTTGCTATTCCAGTTTAGATCAATATCATTGATGTTAACTATTCATCGCCTAGTTACATAAGTAAGGGAACGCTCGCGATAAAATTTCGCGTGTTACGCCACTGGTTTTCGAACATTTTCCAAGCGCTTTTCGGGTTCGTGTAGCTTCAACGGGATCCCGATTTGCGGAGCGGTGCTGATTAGCGCCGAGTACGCGCTCAGCGCCGCGCATTGCATTTCCAAGCAAGGGCAATTCGCGGTGAGGGCGGGATCCGACTCACCCCGTAAGGGCGGGACCGTCACGTTCGTCTCGAACGCCCTCCTTCACCCGAACTGGGCCGGCCAGCACGACTTCGACATCTCGATTTTGAAGCTAAGCCCCAAACTGGAGTGAGTAACTCGGGATAGTAGGGAAAGCGTCAGCGGGAGGCCTCCAGAAAACATTTTTCAGACTGTCGGACAAAATCCGCGCGATAAAGTTGCCGGAGGCGGGGGAGGCAGCGAATCCGGGCACGGTGGCAGTTGTGTCGGGATGGGGGGCCCAATTCTCTTACGTCCAGGGGCTCACGCCGCAGCTCAGGTCGGTAGAGGTCACGATCCTGGAACGTCGGCCGTGCCAGTTCAGTTACAAGTGGTTGGCGATCACCCCGAGGATGTTCTGCGCGGGGTACATGGGCGGCGGCAAAGACTCCTGCCAGGTAAGAGGAAATGGATAAAGAACCACCTAACTAGAGAAGTCACGTGGATCAAAAGGAATACTCAAATTTATCTAAATTTTGTTTTTAGTCTATTAACATTTTCCAACATACAGAGTGCTAGGTAGCAGACTTTCGCAGTCACGAGTCTTATTATAGATGTCTTATTAATATCACAAGTATGTCGTCATATAATGACTTGACTCATCCCAGATATGAGCTTTAAATTTATATAATAATTAATTTAAATTATTCTCAAATTCTTGTATTTGAAATCTTGACGTAGACGAGTACATCTCGGTTATTATTATATCTATATAAATATATAGGGTGATTCATAAATGCGGGCAAAATTAAACTTATATTTTTAATTATTAATTGATAGTTGATAGATACTCCCTTTTATACTCAATTACCCAATGTTAATGCCGAGTTTTTTTGGATCTATGGCCAACTAGAAGGCGCTGTATATTATAGTTCCATTATTACATTTTTTAAAAGAAAGGCTCGTCATAATTCTTCACTTTCCGCAACCGCAAAAGACGTTCTATGTAATTTAGTTTACTGTACTTACTTTACGATTTACTTTTGAATTTCCCCACTCCAAAATGGACGTAAAAAAAATCACGTCACATATAATGTCATTTTCGTCATTTGGTGAATAGTTGAAACATCATTCTGCGACCCTCTGCTGCCTGGGTAATAGTATCCTGTAGCAATTCTTTCGAAAATTTTATTTCAGAAAATAAATTTTATGTACAGTGATGGCGCAAAGCGCCGTCTAGCGGCGATGCGAGCAATCTAAATCAATCTGCTTAGGGCAGCGTCGATAGCCTAAACTGAGCCTTATTCAAAAACTCCAAGCTTCACAAAATGCATTTAGCCATTGTTGTGTTGTTGATATAATTTTAGAAAATACCAACACCAACAAAAGATGTAAAAATCGAGAACGCAAGTACGCTCCCTGGCGGCCATTCTGGAAACTTTTTAATTATTTCCAGCATTTGTTGTCACGACAATTACTTTTTGAGATAAGGTCGAGTGTCAATCTTAATTGGCTACGCAGTTCAACAAACAAACAAAGCTAACCAAAAACTTTTTTCGGTGATTGATGCGAGTATATTATTTTGAATGTTCATTATACTTTTTTCTGATGCTTTTTATATTTTATAATTTTGAAATAAAGCGATATTAATTAATAATCATTGCAGTTTTGTTAGATTTCTATGCTGTTTTCAGTATTTAATTAATCCCGTAGCTCAATACTAAATCTAATACAACTCAAGTATTCTCTAGACGTCTTAAAAACATATTAGGGACGTCACTATGACGTGATTCTGTCGTTGCAGGGTGATTCCGGGGGCCCGCTCGTCATCGACAACAAACTATACGGCTTGGTCAGTTTCGGTTTGAGTTGCGCTAAACCAGGCTACCCCGGCGTGTACACGAACGTGCCGGAACTGCGCGAATACATCCGAATCAACACGGGCGTGTGACGAAATAAAACGCTTGTTCTCGATTATTCTTTGTTTTTTAATATCCACCCTTTCCCCCGCCCCCCGTCGGCTAGTAACACGTCATCAGTCATGCTGAGCGACGAAGAAGTTGCCGCCTGCCGGACCTACGAGCCCGTTTTCGCGGACAAATTCTTCCAAGGGCCACTTGACGCGTTCTGTAGACGGAATCGACACGTTCAAGGGCGACGTCTGGCGGTACAACAGGAAGATGTAGCGGTGCAGGCCGGTGCCGACCGAAGGCCGGGGCCGCGGTACGGGGTTACCACGTCACCGTTTGCGACAGCAAAGTCGGATCCCGGAATATTGGTCACCTGTCGATTCGATAGGGATAAGTTTTAATAGTAATAGTGATAAATTTATTGTTTATAAAGGAATACAATTATAACACTAGAAAACAAACAAAAAGGTAGAACCTGGTTCGCCAGTGTTGCCTATTACGCCCGGGTATCGTACACTCGACGGAGATAGCACCAATTACCGAATAATTACAGTAGTTTCCACTACAAAACAGGGTCATATTTTTCAAAAACTGATGCCGAAACCCGAAAGGCCATCTTTAATTATTATGGATAATGCACGATATCAGACTTGGTGAAAGTGTACCAAATGCATCGACAAGAAGAGAAATTATTATTAATTACCAGAAAATAGTCTAAAATGTGAATTATTAAAACTTGTCAAAAATTACAAAACAAACTTTTAATTTTTGAAAGAAACTTCCACAGACCACTGTGATACTTTTTATAAAACTTCTGGATTCCTCGTGGGTTGGTTTTTCTACTCGAACTTGCTAACGTTTTGCCAATCATCCTGTTGGCTTCTTCAGCTCTTGACTGAAACTGGCTCGCATTTTACCCTGTACCTGCTTATATATTGTTTGAGGGGGGCGCAGCTGAATGAGGGACATTCGGATTTTCTATTGATAATAATATCTAAGGATATACTTATTACACTTATTCTTAACTAAATATGATATCTTAAATATTCGCATGTCCTTAAGGAACACCTTCATCTATTATTACATAGAATGGCTTCCAGAAATATTAAGAGGGCTTAAAGACTGCCCTTGAAGAACGCCGCATGTGATATCAAAATTCTCTGAAAGTCGGTCAATGACTCTGACAGCATTCTCGTGTAAGTCCTTTAAAATATTCATCAATGAATAAGATAAAATTGGGAACGGCCGAAAAGCTTTGCGATAATTGCGACATATAAATGGACGAAGTCGGGGGGAACGAGGATCCATTTGATAACTAGTGTAAAAGTTAGACCAAATCAGTGAACTCGATCTCTACTGGAATAGTAACGGCTTGACGGAAGACTGAGACAAATTTTTCAATATAACTTTTTCTAAAGTTAAAAAAAAATGTGCCAAAATTAAACAATAGGTAAAGAATATCAATTACTTAATTAGTTTATATTTCTAAATAATATATATGATAATATGATAATGATATAATAAAATCAAATTAACAGTTTTCGTAATTATTAATGGCATAGTAATTTATAATTTATATATAAAACAAAATCAAGTCGTGGAACATACAATGTATAGTTGTAAATAAAATTATTAGTAGACGTCAAAATATATCACGACCATTTAGTTCACAGAAAGATAAAGTATTGAAATTATCAAAGTAGTTAGATGTATCCCAAAAAGAGCAGAAAAATTGAAAAATAATATAAACTATCTTTAAGATTATTAGCACGACAAAGAAAACAATCACCATGGGATGAAACTGAAGAACTTTAGCCATAAATAGACAAAAATCTGAAGGTAGATTTAAAATAAAATAATAAAAATTGAAATCGGTCGGTTTTGGGCAAAACCGCTCTATATTCTGAAAATTCTGTAAATGTTCGTAACTGCACAAAAATTCTTTAAAATTTCTATTTAAGTAAACCACAAAATAGTTAATAAAATTTATATTTGTTACGATAAAATTGAATAAAAAGCAATTCAAAATTATTTCCTAAACAATTAATACAATCAAAATGTGAATAAAACTATATGGTTAAAGTTTGAGTAGTGTCTTATTTTGGAGAAAGCAAAATTTGAAACAATTATAATTGTAAAATCAGCTTTACACGGGTCTACCATATTTTATTTTTAGACTTATATTGCCAAGATATTTTATTTCGATAGAGCAAACTCGAAAACCTAAGTACCCAAATGAAAAAAAATATATTTTCGTTTCTTTGATTTATTAAAGTTTCAAGTCCTCTGCTATTTTCTAGGTTTGTGGTAATCGTCAGATCGTTCAGCCTTTGCCTCTTAAACAAGTTTTTTTTTTATGTAATGTATACTAAAGGTAACCAAATCATTATTCCTCATATATCGATAAAAAATATTGGATTTTGTGTATTGTTAAGTCGGGGCGAATTGTATTTTGTCGCACTATGGGTCAGAAATCCCTTAAAATAGTGAATAATTGAAAATTAGGCAACGTCAAGTATCTTCCCAATTTTTTGTATCATGGTCAAGTAGGCTAAGAGGCAACACAAATCAATCGACTCACGCGTTGCCATGGAGGCGCATAAATTCGTACCAAACTTTGACGTATTTGTTAGCGATTTTTGAAAAATCTTGTTAAAAACAAAATGCATATTTACATAGTTGCTTTAACCAAAAATACCTGAATGACTTTTCAATAAAAAAAAAAATTCTGCAATATTTTGAAATTTTTTCATCATTTCTAATTTTTCTTGCAATGTGGAATAAATTAAAGTTCCGCCCATACTTTTAATTTGTTTTTGTCAGGTGGATAGGTTTATTGTATGTTGCGTAGTTAATTAAATTCTAAACAACAAAGATGGGGCCATGCATTAAGTTAGCCAGACAGGCACCTAAGGAAATGTCCACAGAATTTTGGAAACGTTTAGTATAAAACTATTTTTTTTTAAGTGCTTTATACATACCTAAAACATCTAAGCAGAAAAGCAGAAAAGTTCGAAGTTGAACTAAATTTTAGCGGTGCTTTAATTTTGAGGAGAAGTTTATATTATGAAAATTACGGGACTGTTTTGTTTATAACAAAAAAAAAACTTAACACTTTTTACACATTTTTAGAGGTTTGTTGCCGGCCGTGCGTCGTGGAAAATGCGACTAGCCGTACTTACCAACCAGTGACGTACGAACGCGTTCTCCCTGCTCTGCCTGCTGGGCGCGTCCGGGTCGGCCAGCACCAGGGTGTAGGTGCTGTTCGGGTCGCTCGAAGGGAAGTGCACTTCCGGTTCGGACGAACTCTCATTCGTAGAAAGTTCGTTGCCCAAAACTACCACACTTGAAACATAGTCGGCTTCTGTAAACTCTTCGGGTAAGGAGGATATTATGTCGGGGTAGATTTCCGCGTCTCTGAACGCCTTCTGGACGACGTCGTTGACGCCGAAAGTCAACCCCGTCAGACACAAAAGAACGAGAATATTTCCCGATATCGCCATTTTGACACGTTTCGATTTTCTGCTAGACGTCGATGTTATATACTGCGGCGATAACGAACGCAATCAGTTTCGTCAGTTCGATATACTATCGAAGTCTCAAGTGCCACGTGGAAATACGAGACCAACACGTAAATAATTGAACCAGATGCGGATACAAATTTACTGTTCGACAATACGGCAAACTAACCAAAACTGAAAATGTCGATTTAATTTTCTTCGGGGTAATTTCACGAGATGGCCAGAAGCCGAAAACACACGTTGTCATTTTTTCAGATTTGACAAGTTTTGTCTCACGGTGACTATCATAAATTTTATTATTGTTTAATAATTGAAAAAATAAATTTTATCAATTTTTTGGGTTGAGATAAATATCAGAAATGATAAAAGTTTGTTGTTCTGCTATTGTCCCTTATCTAACACACATTATTGATTGTTGTATTACAAATTCTGTTTTTCCCAAAGTCAGTTTTGTCTCTTACTGTATATTGCTTGAGGAAATTATAAATACCCACTTGGTTTTGCTGGATCACACTTTAAACCATCCGCTTGCCTTTCCCAGAGCATATTTTTCTGGTCGAGCGCGAACGAACGAAGGGTTCGATTTTGGGACCATTATTATTTTTCATATACGCACGCGCTTTACCTCTAATGATACGGCTGTGGCTGACCTCATTGTTAAATGAAATTTTTCGTTTCTCCACTCTCTATGTTTCTTGGATGCCGCCAAGACTGGGCGAAAAACATGTTAAGCTCAAAATGTCATATGTAGCTATTCCCGTGGTAAGTAAATGCAAAAATGTCAGACACAACTATTAGGAGGGAAATAAGTTCTGAGTGACTCGCACGATATCTCACACTGTAATTATACGTTCCATTTTTCAAGTTAAACCAATAAACCAGGTAATAAAGACCTTTTATTCTATTCTGCATTATATTCTAAATATAAATGATAACCGTTGACATTTTCAAACCAATTTATTTAGTAGTGCATCCACCTAAGTGTGGACATTTTAGAACTCTTCGTGGCTTGTTGCGCATCCGATGATCGATATGTAAAAAAATGTTGCACTTTAAAAACCTGGGAATATTCAGTTAAAACCCAAAGTACAACGATGGCCTTGGAAATACGAAAGAAGTGCTAATATCATGTGTCAAATTTGACGCCCCATTTCCATTATAAAATAAAGATATGATGTTTTGACATTTCTTCCACATATTAATAAAGCTACTGTATATTTAGAGACTTTGCCTATGCTGATAATAACCAATATGCGCAAATCTCATTTTCAACAAGCAGCATGCTCGCTGATTATGAAAAAACAAGTTAAGTGTGTGGAAATGGATGTTTTTAGAAAATGGCGCCCAATGCCTGCGGAAGAATCCCACATCTGCCTGAGGCGCGGCAATTTTAAGATATTTACGGCCCCTATATTATCAACAGTTGAATTTTAGTATCTATAACTATAAATCATAATTCTTCATAGAAAAGTAAACTGCGTACGAAATTTTAATTTAAAAATTCGAGTTAAAACACGACATTGAAAGATAAAAATAGGAAAATTTAGACATTTCCAGGTAATACACAAAATTCGAGCTAAAACATGAAATTTTAACTTGAAATTATATAAGAAATTTCGAGTTAAAAACGCATCACTTGAAGTCTGAATTTCGAGCAAAAATGCGAAGTTAATAAATTTCAATATAATGTACGAAATTTTACGAGGGGGAACCCATAAAAAACCGGAATTGAATTGCCGCGCGCAGAGCTTGTTTAGTACACCTTTCTGCCGCTAGGTTGTGGATAGTATAACTTGTTGCGAGTTCAACGCCACCTTCGTTTTAAATTTAACTTGTTTTGTTCACTTGCAGCGCCATTTTTGATAACGCTGTTTTTTTGTTATTTCGTTTTTTTCGATGGCAAGTTCAAAACAACAACGTGCAGCTGTGAAGTTTTGTTTTCTGCTCCGTAAAAGTGCTGCTGAAACTGTTTCACTGTTAAAAACAGCTTATAAAGACGATGCGATGGGAAAAACTCAAGTGTACCAGTGGTTTGTTCGCTTCAAAAATGGCGACGAGTCAACTAATGACCGACCTCGTTCTGGACGTCCATCAACTGCTCGAATCGACGAAAATATTGAAAAGATTCGAGAGTTTGTGCTCGCTGACCGTCGACAGACAATTGAACAATTATCAAAGATTAGTGGGTTGTCTTGGAGCACGGTTCAGCGAATTTTAACCGAAGATTTGGGAATGAAAATGAAAAAAATGCTGCCATGTTTGTTCCTCGTTTTCTGACTGACATGCAAAAAGAACATCGCACAGATTTTCTTTCACTGGTGACGAGTCATGATGCTATGGTTACGATCCAGAAACGAAGCAACAGTCCAGCCAATGGAAGACGTCACTGTCTCCCCGTCCAAAGAAATGTCGTCAGGTCAAATCAAACATTAAAACGATGCCGATTTGCTTTTTCGACATCAACGGCGTAGTTCATGCAGAGTTCGTTCCACCAGGTGAGACCGTTAATCAAGCCTTTTATTTGGAAGTTTTAAGAAGATTGCGCAACAGTATTCGGCAAAAAAGACCCGGGGACTGGTTCCTTCACCACCATAATGCACCTGCACACACAGCCATTTCTGTTAAGTAGTTTTTTGCTAAAAATGGCATGGCTCCTCTGCCCCATCCACCTTACTCACCTGATCTCGCTCCGTGTGACTTCTTCTTATTTCCACGTATGAAAAGGGACGTGAAAGGACAGCGATTTGACAACATTGAAGAGGTCAAGAAAAAAACGAGGGATGAGCTGTCGGCTATAGCCAAAGATGAATATAAAAAATGTTTCGAACCGTGGAAGCACCGCTGGGACAAATGTATTAGTTGTAATGGAGAGTATTTTGAAGAGGATAAGGTCGTTCTGTGATTTTCAAAACAATATGTAGTTTATAGTTTTTTTTGGGTACTCCCTCGTAAGTTAAAGTTCTTGTAAAATTTTTGGAATTGGGTTTTATTTTTTTTGATGCGCTCCTTTTACCCTTCGTACTCCCTCAAGTTTTCGGCTGTCCCGGTATACGAGGGCCGTTCGGAAACGTCCACACCGCGATTTGATGCGCACGTTGAGACGTTTTGCGGGGCAAAAAAAGAGACGGACGTCACTGCGTCGTCGCCTGTGGAATATCTGGACAAAATAACCTTGTACTTGCACCTTACAAATTATGTACCTAAACAATGTGTCATTTAAATTTTTCGTTAAATATAATAAGAACGGGCGACCGGTCGCTTGCAATAATTATTATTGTTCGTCTTATAAGCATAATAATCAAATTAGGCGAGGATGGGCCAGCGTTTTACTGACGCAGTGGATCGTTTGACGTGTTTTTAGAGTCTTGCCGTTCAAGTTGCGGGCTGCTGCGGTCGAATAGTTGATCCGTCGAACCACGGGTTGCAAGTACGGAACCCTCGGTGCCGCGAACCACTCAGATTCGTTACCGCGGAAGGTAAGTCGTCGACGAATCGCGAAATATTTTGTGAAAAGTTTTGGTGTGCAGTCTCGACCGGGTAGAACGGAATTAAACAATTGAAAGTAACCAGGTCTTCAAATGAAAAAAATATATGCATTACAAAATACGCGTATGTCGGTAATAATTGCATTTTTTCACTCCAAATATTTCGTATACGCGCGCTACTTTTGCGCAAAATGCGGCCTTGTGTAACTCGTCAAAATTTCGGATTTATGTACGAGAAAATTAAAATTAAAGAAATATACAGGGCGTTTCAAAAAATTCGCGGCAACGATTTTGTTGAAATTTGGCAACGTCTTGTATAGCGATAAAGGACGTGATACAGAGAGGTATCTTAAGGAATAGTATTGTCAAAGAGATAAATATGCGATGCAGGGAGATATATTGTTTCCGTTTTAACGTAATTCAAATATCTTGACGGGCTTTTATCTATTCACCCTACAAAGAATAATATTTTTCTATTCCCGTCTGTAAAATACCCAGTAATCAAGCATGCGGGAAGCGTCACTTTGCCACGTCAGTTTCGTTTCCCACGAATCCGAGCCACTTCGGATATTTTCGGGATTTTACAGCAACCACGCTTTGAATGTCGACGTTTATCAATACAATGAAGAAAATTTTAGTTTTTTCGGGAATTATTTTCTCAATTCTTACGTGGTAACTATAGCAACCATTCATTTTTAGGCAACACACCTCGTCCCACTCGTGCCTTGCCTAAATACCTGATAGGTATATAGTATATTTCCATCACAACAATAGTAATTCGCGGTCTCTTTTAGTTGGACGTATGAGTTCGCCACAGACTTTTTTGAATAATATTAAGGAAAGGAAGGAACATTAAGGAAATTGATACAATTACAATGTAAGGATTTTGGCACAACCAATTTTTGTTTTTAAATATTTAACACCCTGTATCTATATCATATTCCTCTTCATCGGTCCATCTCGTAGGGGGTTTCCCCCCTATACATTTATACCTTTATCCATTCGAGGTCTTCACTCTAGGATTCTCTTTGTCCATCTGCAGTGCTATAGCATCCGCAATGTGTCCCGCCATCTCTATTTTGCCCTTGTGATATCTTCTTCTTTTCTAACTCTATCTCTGAGCATTAGTCTTTCCATTTTTCGTCAAACACGTATATTTGTCTACCAGTTGTATTTGTTTTTCTTTCGCCCCAATTTGTTGACTAAGGACCATGTTTATCATCATTTTGGGTTTCAGACAGTTTAAATGTAAGCCGATTTGTGATGTGACTTGTTGTAGTTTCCAACTACGTCCGTTATGTGTGCGAAATTGTCCGCTAACATCTGTAAAACAGAGAACACCTCAGTCTTCGAGGATCGCAGGTAATTCAACTGTGTTGAATGCTTTATGGAAGTCCACAAAAGCAAGAACCAGCGGTCTGTTGTATTCCAAATATAGTAATGTATCGTTTTTTTTAATTAACGCTTTTAAGGTAACCGCTCGTTCTGTACCAGTTGCAAAAACCTGCCTGTTACTTGGGCTGGTAGAATTCCAATTGACTTTTTAACCTGTCTGCTAATATACTGGTGTACAGGTTATATAAGTGGTTTAAAAGACTTATTGGCCTGCAGTTTTCGATGTTAGTGTTGTCCCCTTTTTTAAAGAATAGAAGTTAATCCTCCTCAACGAAACTTCCCCCACCCCTCTTTTCCGTCTTGTTTCAATTACAATTTTAATAAATTTAAATGAAATTTTTCGCCCGTTTTGTGGATCGGTTTGATCGGTTCTCATGTGCATTTTGCAGTTAAATAAATAAATAAATAAATAAAATATTTGTCACGAAAAAAATTGGGTCGACTCTAAAGTTGATTTTCTCGCGAACTACGTATATCTTAACTGTAACCTAGGTCTCCAGAAATGATGTTATGCAAAATAATTTTATTTAAATTTATGTTTTAGGCACATATATAAAACCAGTTTTAGATAAAATGTTTATCAGATGCTATTGGAATTTTCGTTAACACTATTAGGTGTCTGTCAATGCATAGCGTCTTGCTATTCACTCCTTTATCTCAGTTATTAAACGAAATAGTTCAGTGAGAAGAGTGAGAATAGTTCAGAGCTTAACCAAATAGAACATTTATGGAATCAAAGGGTAGCTTAGAGGCTACTTCCATGATATAGAAAACTTTCTCAGGGAAATATGGACTAATATCGAACAAGCATAAATTAAACGCCTGGCGTTAAGCACGATGTCACTTTTTGTTTTGTAATAAACTTTAATTATTAAATTTAACCCAAATATCAGCGATTTTGATGCGAAGTTTATTTGATATGATCTCGGGGTCGCTGTTATACCACTGGTTAAGGATAGTGGTATATTCAAATCCAGTAAAGTTTTAAATAATATTAATATTCAAAAAAATACTCTCCATATTACAAAAGACGTGTGTAATATTCGCATTTTTAACTTCATCGTCAAAATTTCGGGCCTATGCGTCCACAATGGCAGAAAATCGCAAATGGCCGTCGGGGTCCGCGCTTAAAGGACAAGCCACACGCGCGTTCCTAAGTCCGCGGCCGGTCCCGCACGTGTGTCGTAACCCTTAAACCGCGCCGGGGCCCCACTTGCCATTTCTCCGTCATATCTCGCCTCTCCCGTGTGCTAAAATGGCGAGTCGCGCCGCTAATCAAAGCGGCCCGCGACGGACGACGGTTTCTTCTTCTTCCGCGCGTTCCGTGAACACCGATCGGTCCGTAGAGAGGCGAAATGCGCCGCGACGACGACGTCTCGATCCGAAACGTTACGCGTCATCGTCAGAGAGGTTTCGCGCGACCTGCCAATTATTTATTCGACTATTCTTATTAATTGCCGTTCGCCGATTAATTCGGACATAAATATACGTTTAATCGGGACGAGAGTGTGTGTGTCGTCCGTCTGCTGCGACGATAATGAGGTTTTACGAACTCCGGTGTTGACTCTCCCCTGTTTAGTGGTTTTACGTGCGGCCGTTTTACCCCGTGACGACGATGTGGACGTTTTAGTGGACGCCCGAAACCATGCAGATTTGATATTTAGGTAAAAAAAAATTTGCGGGTGGGGGGGGGGGGGGTACGAATTGACGCAAACACAGGATACGAATATTTATTATATTATTTGAAGTCGCGGGACCGCATTTTTGTTTAATTTTGGCGAGTTACTAATTATTCCGAGGTCGTCTCGTCGTAAAATCCGCGCGGATTCGTCGATTGCGGCGTCAAGGATGCGACGTTTCCAAAAAAAAAAACGAAGCAGCCTCTTCAGAGATATCGACTGTTCAGGGAGAAGAGTTTATCTCGAGGATAAGGAGCGCGTCGCCTCGAAACGATGGTCAAGCGTTTTTTTCTGGTGGTTTTAGACACTGTTACGCCGGTTTTCCACTAAACGGAGTTAAACTAAACACGAACTAGTCCCGAATAAAACAAAACCACAACTTTTCGCTTTAGTTCGTTTCTTGTTTTAAAGTCCCACTCGGATACGAATATTTTTTCGCTAACTGATAGGTAAAGTATGTTCATAGATATAAGAAAGTGACTAACTGATACGAATTAAGGAAATATGGTCGAACAGGTCCGTACTCTGCTTAGAATTTAATTATTTGGGCTTTTTGTTAGGAAAGATACTAAACAATATTTATTTATTTATGTATGTATTTAGTTTAAATCTACTTAAATTACTTAAAATAATCATCATTCATCATTTTCATCTACACTCGAGAAAATGTCAGCATCGCTTCTTTTTTTCCTCGCTGAAATGGGATTATTCACAATTTTCCATACAGTTGATGTTGGAATTTTCGTCAATATGGGCGTTTCTTCTAAAGATGCTTGCTTGCTGGCACTACGTTCAATGAGAGTCAAATGAATATTCTTTATAAGTTCCTTAGTCTCAATAGAATAGTGTTTACTGCATTTGGGCGGGAGCATCCCCTAAGATACACTAGACTCGCACATATTTATTCAGTACACGCTGTATTACACAGGAAATAAGAATGATTACTAATAAACTTAAACTAAGTAGTATAGGAAACCAAAGAATATTAAACACAGGTAGGTATAAAATAATTTTCTATTACGGAATTTAAATTCTGAAACTTTCGGTAATAATCAATTGGTCACTTTCTTATATCTATGAACAGGCCATAAATATAATCTATACATTTATATGTATGGTTACTGTTACGTCACATTAAAAGTATGATAATTTTATTGATTATTGTAAGAAATTTGTTTTGATTCAGCGCAACAATGAGTAATACAAAACAATACATACAATACAATACGTTTATTTCCATGGACAATAATATTTTGTATAGGAAAAGTTATTTTTAACACTAACCTAAAAGATACTACGAAACACGGCTCCTATAAATAATTTGTACTAATTTTATACCATGAAACTTTTTTCTAATAAAAAACTTTATAATACAACTATATAATACAACTTTGACAAGCTTTAAATAATTACAAATCTTTTCAAGCAATCATAGCGTGGGTCGACCAACCCGAGAAACAGATGTCATATAGTCTTGCGTCAACGTTAGCAAAATAAACCTCAAATCAAGTGTTCGATTATTAGAACTGATTTTAGTTGTCTCAGAACATAACTTTGTTTGACAGACATTTTACATTTACGACGACATTAAAGACGACACAGCATCTGCGAAAGCTGCAAATTAGTCAATAAATAAAATAAAAAATATCGGACCCAGAATCGAACCCCGGGGTTCAAATATTTAACCTAGTTGAGATAAAATTTTTAATATTATTCAGTATTTTAAAGAGAAACGTATTGTTTCCTGTTAAGAAAGATCAATCAAAAGACTCACCCCGTATAGATTAAGTTTATCAGCCTCTCATAAAAAAAGTGTATAGCTGACATTGTTCTTTTATCATTTCTATTGCCGAAAATAATTCATTTACTTTACCACTGAAAAAATTAATAATTGTTAATTAAGTTTTTGTATTGATATTATTTTGTTTTCGATTGATGTTATTGACTATTTTCTATTGCAAATGGCATCAGATGGATCTACGGTGTAAAAATTCGCGGTACATCCACAAACGGTCGTTAAACATGTTTCTTAGAAATTAATATTGACGGAAAAATAACCCCGAGGTGTTTGGAGAAGAAGGTGTAATGTTGTACATAAAAAAGGATTATTTATTTTATCTGTTACGTCCAAAGTGTGCAACGAAAATAGTCAAGCGTACCCGAGTCGGAATATAAAAGCAGTTATCTGAATAAAAGCCCTATTAAACCGTCGTCTCTTGTCCGCTTCAGAAAGGATATAATACAACATGTCAACAAATTACCTAATAGTGAAACTGCACGCGAGAACTTGATATATCGAAACATTTATCGTATGTATAAACATACACACAATACAACGAAGGCTATAATATACATCTAGAAATATGCCGAATATGTTTGTTACAGTAAATGCATCATGAACTATCATGAAATATTTGATTTATTTATTTTACAAACAATTACCATAACGCTCTTTCTTGGGCTACAGAAACTTATTTTCATAAAAAAAAGGTAATTTTATTTTTTTCCTCTTAATTTTTCAAAGCATCTTCCACAAGCTACTGTAATCCTTTTTATAAAACTTCTGGATTCCTCCTGCGTCAGTTTTTGTTGTTTTTGTGAATCATCCTGATGGCTTCTTCAGAGCTTGACTGAAACTGGCTAGCGTTCTACTCTGTATCTGATCTTATATTGTTTGAGGGGGTGGTCAGGAATTCCTAGTAGATTTTCTTAGACATTTCGACTCTATACACCCTAACTAACGTTTTACCATTGAAATAGAAACTAATAACACCCTCCCAGTTTTAGATATTCTTATCATGACGTTGGATCATTGTGTTTACAGAAAACCTACGCGCACAGACCGATACCTTAATATATATAATATATATAAAAAGAATGAATCTTATCTTCTCACAATTTTCTTCATTGTGGTCCCATTTGAATCCTCTAAATTCCCTGAAATTCTGAAACCAATCAATTAACTTTTCCGTAATACCCTGAAACATTCCTAAACTCCGGAAAATATTCTAAAATACCTTAAATTGCCCTGAAATTATGTTTACCCTTGTTCACTGAAATACTCCCGTAATTTAACTCGCATTTACTTAAAACATGATGACCTGATGACATATATTCTAAAATACTTATCAGTGGGGTTTGTGACGGCAGAAAGCCAGATTAATTCAGTTTGCCTGTTGGACTTTTTCGCCACTTTAGTCACGAGTTTGATTTAGCATAAGCGGAACGAGTGCTTCGTAAACGAACGAGTCCTTCCAAACCCGTGACTAAAGTACTGGAAATGTCCGGAGTGGACTCGTGACCATTGCTAACCGAGCTGACATATTAAAGTGACACTTTGCGCACGTTTAGAGTAGAAAACATATTTTACTAATCTGTACATAAATTTTATGTACTATAATAATAGAACTGTTTTTTAAAATTCTTGCGAAATAATACTCCAAAATCCTAAGATATTCCGAAAAGTCAAGAAAAATATGCTTTTTGGTGTATTGAAGCGTTGAAACTTTAAATTTCACTCACTATTCCGTGAAAAATTAATACAAATAAAGTAAAATAATATAATTAAATTCATCTCGAGAAGGGCTTTATTAATGCAATAATTTTTATGTTTAAAACGGCGAGTCAAAGCGAAAAAGTCAAAGAGACACTCGTCAAGCACAATTAATCTCGCGTTCAGAATGGGACGCTAATTTCTGCCACCGATGTTAGTGTTTCAGAAACATTGACATGTACCGACACTAACCCCTATCATCATCATTTTTTCGATGTATAGAACTTTAAGTTGGCATTACTGTTCAAGATGGCGACCGATTTAATAGCTGTCAAGTGATTTATTCTCAGATTGGTTCGGAAATTTCTCATGCCTGAATAACGCTTGCAAATAGTGCAATTTTATTTCGAAAATAATGGTTCTGTGCGGAATACGTATCGCGGACTACGTGCATTTTATCGTCGACAAAATCGTCCATCAGAGCAGTAAATTCGATTAACCATGGAACGTTTTCGCACCACGTTTACTTTTATTGATAACTCGCATCCCCAGAGACGCCGTACGGTGCGTACAGAAGAAGCTATTGCTGCTGTAGAGCGTAGCATTGAAGAAGAGCCCAATGAGTCTATCCGCCATCGAGCACATTAATTGGATCTGTGTCCATCCACTTTATGGAAGATTTTGCGGAAGGATCTTGGTTTACGTGCTTGCAAAATCCAACTCGTGCAAGAATTGAAGCCAAACGATCATCAAGTAAGGCGCAGATTCGTCGAATGGGCCCAAAACGAGATTGCCGTTGTTCCCGATTTTCATAAGCGAATTTTGTTTAGCGATGAAGCGCACTTCTGGTTGAATGGCTACGTCAACAAACAAAACTGCCGCATGTGGAGTAAAGTGACTGTTTGGTGCGCTTTATGGGCTGGTGGAATCATTGGTCCGTACTTTTTCAAAAACGATGATGGTCAGAACGTTCCAGTCAATGGTGATCGGTATAGAGCTATGATTACTAACTCTTTTTGCTGCTGAATTGAATAACCACGATGTCCAAGAGATGTGGTTTTAACAAGATGACGCAACATGTCACACAGCTCGTGCCACAATCGATTTATTGAAAGACACGTTTGGTGACCGCCTAATTCCACGTTTTGGACCTGTCAATTGGCCTCCAAGATCTTATGATTTAACACCACTAGACTACTTTCTGTGGGGCTATGTAAAGTCATTGGTCTATGCGGATAAGCCACAAACGCTTGCCCATTTGGAAGACAACATTCGCCGTGTTATTGCCGATATACGACCACAAATGTTGGAAAAAGTCATCGAAAATTGGACGTCTAGATTGGACTACATCCGTGCCGCCCGTGGCGGTCATATGAAAGAAATCATATTTCATGTCAAATTCATGTCAATCGAATAATCCATCGTCGTTTTATTGCAACTTAAAGTTCTATACATCGAAAAAAAACACCCCTTATAAGAACTTTTTTCCTGT